CCCGTGTGAATCGGGGAGAGCTGCTCAAGGTCGCTCACGGACCATGCCCTAGGTGAACGGGACTCAGCCTGGATCCCAGCTCCGTGCCCTCCCTTCCTGGGCCCCAGCATCAAGCCTGGGGTTCTAACCCTGTCCTCCTGAGCTCGGGGGTGTCAGGGGATCCGGGGACATCCAGCTCGGCTCTGCCTGCCTACCCCTGCACGGTGCAGTCGCAGCCCGGGATTGACTGCATCCTCGCTAGGAGGTCAGCTCGGCAGGGATTGGCCGCTCGGTGGGTGCAGTCGCTTCTGATTGGACAGCGGCAACAGCAGAGCCGGGAGGTGGGCTCTGAGCAGGTCGCCCTCCGCTGGTCCTGCATCCTGTATGCAAAGCAAACTGTGAGGAACTTGTCCATCCCCTACCCCTGCCCTGGAGCTGGCCAAGGTGGGGAGCCAATGTGCCAGGCCCCTGGGAATGCTGAGACAGGGCAGTTTCTTGTGACGTGGTCCTCAGAGTAAGCCCAGTGTCCACCTGTGGCTGTGCGCTAGGAGCTGACCGCCAGCTCAGAGAGAGCCTGCTCCCCGGATCAGCGCTTCTTGGAGCCCAGGCAAGGACAGGAATGGTACACGTGGCCTCTGAAGAACCTCCCTAAGTGGCCACTGTTGCCCCACATCAGCAGCTGCACTGAGCACCCCTGTGAACAGAGCGGGCATTGCACCCCCAGGGAAGGCTTTCCGGCTTCATGGTGGTGTGTCCCAGACCCGTCACTGTTGGCTGGAGGTGTGCTGCCCACAGTCACACACACACCCAGCCCCAACTGCCTCTCCTGCACTCTCTGTGGACCTCCAGCAGGCCGAGGGACAGCCTAGTTCTGTCATTCATTCGGCAAACATGGACTGAGTGTGCATGGCGTGCACCACTGCTGGGAACACCACAGCAAAGCTCCCAGAGCAGGTGATAAACACTGGGGAGAAAATAATGCAGCAGGGGACACCAGACGAGCAGAGGGAGAGCGAATCAGGGCTAGGCGAGCATGGAGGAGTCTGTGAGGAGGTGACTGGGGTGTAGAGCGGCAAAGCGGGGTCCCAGGTTAGGGTTGGAGGCTGAATCCAGACAGGAGAGAGAGGAGGGTGGGCAGCTGAGGACGGGGCATCTGCTGTGTTCCGGGAGCCCTGTGGCTGGGCAGAGCGACCCAGGGCCATGATACCACCGGGTGCACCAAGAGCCCTGGGGACAGGGCCGCTGTGCAGACGGCCAGGCTTTGGAGTTTAACACTGGACTGAATGGAAGCACCAGAAAGTTGTGAGCAAGCTAGCGTGGGCTCTGTCTCAGGTCCCAGAAGGAGGAGTCTGTGCAGAGAGCATAGGGTGAAGGCGCCTCAGGGGTCCACGGGGCACCCGTGATGAGCCTGGGCCAGGAGGAGGAGAGAGGCGACATGAGACACCTGGCACTTCCGGATGATTACTGGGGACTTGAGCAGAGCTCTGGGACGGCGCTCCTGCCCTCGGCTGTGGGAGGAAGGGGGCTGCAGGAGGGGCCGCAAGTGTGGGTCCTCAGAGCTGCCCCGTGGTCTACAGCACAGGGTGGCTTGCGTGGCACAGGTTCCAGGCCAGAGCCTAAGCAGCTTCCAAAGGCAGAGGTCAGAGAAATGAGCGGGAATCGGCAGCCAGAGAGCAAGGGGAGCAGAGGATTTGGGGTCCTGCTGGGCCCAACGCCAGGTGCCATCAGATGGCAGCAGAAAGGCCCCATGCCTTGGCAAGAGCAGGTTCTCAGTGTGGCGAGGGCAGAGGGCCGCCTGGGGTCCACTGGCACCAGAAAGCGGGAGGAGCTGCAGACAAAGGAAAGTTTTCGAGGAATTTCCCTGAAGACGAGGATGCTCTCCCGCGGTGGGGAAGGAAGCCAGCCCAGGCATGGCACTTGGGGCCTGAGACAGAGGGGCACTAACTCCTCTGTGCTCTGTGAGAAGGAAGCGCAGGCCAGCAAGACGTCCGTCCACGGTGGGCTGTGGTGCAGGAGGGCCTGGGTGCTCTGGGTGCTGCATGGCTGGCCGGCGGGCCTCAGGCCAGGCTCAAGTTGCTTTGTTTCCTGGGGGAAACAGGAAGCAGCAAAGCCAGGAGTGGCCAGGAGAGGAGGCGCGGGGACTAAGGCAGAGGAGCCAGGAAATGCCCCCCACGACTGGGGGAGGCAGTGGCACAGGGCAGGGGTCCACACGTTGTTCTGTAAAGGGCTGGAGAGTAAATGTCCTAGGCGCTGTCGGTCCTGGGCTCTGTTGCAGCAAATCGGCCCTATGAAAAAGGAGCAGGACTCCTCAACCGGGGTCAGGGAGATGGGCCAATGAAACTTTATTCACAAAACCGGGCAGCGCTGGGCTGGCTCGGGCCTGAGGACTCCTGCTGAGAGGCCTGCCCCGCCCCCCCCCCAGCCAGTGGTCCTGTGAGTGTGGGGCCACAGCCCCATCCATGGGATTAGAGACCCTTGGTCCCCTCCCAGCTCAAGCGCACACAGAGTGAGTGATTCAAGCTTGCTGGACGAGAGCTGCCCCCAAATACCCTGCCGTGCAGCTGGACCTAGGCAGAGCCACAAAGAAGGGATCTGGGATCTGCACACCCACGAGAGGACATGTCCTGCCTCTGCTCCTCCCCTGTGGCTTTTTTTTTTTAATTGGGAATCAAACCTAGGGCCTCACGCTTGCCACGCAGGTGCTATACTGCTGAGCTGCGTCCCCAGCTGTTTTTAAACTTTTGTATTTTGAGACAGGGTCTTGCTGCATCATGAAATTGTCCAGGCTGGGCTCCATCCCCCTGCCTCAGCCTCCACGGGGACTCCATGTCCCAGGGTGGGGGTGGCAGGACCCTGTCTGTCAGCGACCCAGGCTGGGTGCAGACCTGAGAATCAGGCCGCTGACTCAGAGCACCAGGGGCTCTGCAGGACCACAGAGAAAGCAGGAAAAGTGACTGGGAAGCCTCTGTGTCCCCCAGGAGCCTCCCTGCAGGCCAGGCCAGGCCAGCGCCGGGGGCGCTCATGGAGAGGGCCGGGAATCCCACCCCTGCAGCTCCAGAGGAACCATGGGTTAGTATCAGCCAAGCATCTGTTATATTAGTCTTAAGGATTGAAGTGCATTTCATTTCATTGTAGCATTCCACATGAGGTTCCTTAAGGAGAGAACCTTGGGCCCAGGCATGGGGTACACACCTATAATCATAGCAATGTGGGAGGCAGGAGGATCACAAGTAGGTGCCCAGCCCAGGCAACTTAGTGAGGTACTGTCCCAAAATAAAAAAGGGCTAGGGTTGTAGCTCAGTGTAAAGGCCCTGGTTTCAATCCCCAGTGCCTCCAGAAAGGAAGGAAGGGAGGGAAGACAGGAAAAACGAAAAGCACCTCGGGTGGGGGCTGTCACCGAGCCTGCCACTCCTCCGAGGTTCCCACGGAGGGGCACCCACCACACACACGTGCCCAGCATTCCCAGCAGGCTCGCACAGGCAGCCGTGCTCTCCCCTGGAGACCTCACATCAGGGGAACCTGAGTCCACGCTGCACCGACCTTGGGGTGGAAGAGCCCAGCTTCCTGCAGATGGGAGGTTTCTGTCTGAGGGGAGGAAGCACTGGGTGTGCAAAGCATCCTGGTCATGGCTGTGTCCGGTCATGAACCAGTTCCCAGGGCTTGTGCTGATGGCTGGGGCCACGTCTCAGCCCCAGGCCCCCCTTGCCTGGAGAGCAGGACCCCGTCACTGTGCACCAAGAACCCTTCCCCTGTAGTGAGCATCAGGGGTGCAGAGTCATGGACACCCCAGACACCTCAAACCCCCATGCAGAGGGTAGGCGGATAGGAGGGCCCCCCTGGCCTGGCAGAAGGAGCTGTCATGCAAGGACCTTGGGTGGAGAAGGCGCAGGCCTTGAGGCCATGGCTGGGGGGAGGGAAGAGCCAGATGGGCCACGGGACTCAGTCCCTTTAAAGCTGAAGCCCTGGGGGCTGAGCAGGGCTTCAAAAGGAAGATAGTGGCTGCTCCTCCCAAGGGAGGACCTGGAAGGATGGATGGATGGATGGATGGATGGATGGATGGATGGACGGACGGATGGACAGACGGACGGATGGATGGATGGATGGATGCATGGACGGATGGACGGACAGACGGACGGATGGATGCATGGACGGATGGACGGATGGATGGATGGACGGATGGATGGATATTGGTGGTTGTATACGTCATCTCCTACTGCCATAACAGGTGACTTCAAGTTTAGTGGCTTCCCGCAGCAGGTGTTTATGATCTCAGGTCCCGAGTGTTGTGGTCCTGAGTTCCAGTGGACTTGGCCAAGCCTACAGCCTCTGGGCCCCACAACCAGACAGGCACAGGTCCAGCTATGGCCAGCGCTGGGCTCTCGTGGGAGAGCGCAGTGTGGGAAGGCCTGCCTCCCAGCTCCCAGGGTCCTGTGAAGGAGTAGCTTTGTGCGGCTGTTGGGCCGAGGCCTCAACTCCTTGCTGGCTGCGAGCAGAGGTCACTCAGTTCTGGCCACCTGGGCCTGGTCCACATGGCAGCCTGCTTCTGCAGAGCCAGCGAGAGTCAGTAACAAGATAGCTGTTACAGTCCGCACTGCCCAGGCACAATGGTGATGGCTCATCAGGTTGGTCGTGTTGTGCTGCTTGCAGCCACCAGCCATCCTCAAGGGGAGGGGACCGCTTGAGGCGGGGACATCCAGAAACCAGGACAAGCTCAGAAAGCTGCCGTGAGCGGGAGTAGGACCCAAGGAAGGGGGCCGGGAAGATGGGCCAAGAGGTCCACAGAGCTCTGCTCGTATGAAGAGCAGAACCTTCGCTTTCCAGGAAAGGCAGAGCCCAGTGGGGTGCAGAGTGGAGGAGTGGGGTCCTCCGGGGTCATCAGGCCAATCAACAGGGCCCCTGGGTCATGCTATCCGTCGGATGAGTGACGTGCGGATGCCCCATGGGCTCAGGCCGCCTCTTGCCAAGCCTGGCTGGCCTTCACTAACCACCGCTTCCCCCACCTTGCTTTGCTTTCCTTCCAGAACTTTCCGTCCTCTGTGAAGAAGGGAGCAGGTCTGCAGGAGTGAGGCCGGCTCCATGTATCCGGAATCCACCACAGGCTCCCCGGCTCGGCTCTCCCTGCGGCAAACGGGCTCCCCCGGGATGATCTACAGGTAACCCCGCCCCGTCCACCAGGCCACTGCCCCCACCCCGGGAGCCAGAAAGACCCAGCAGGCTGTGCAGGACCATGGGGCTGTGCCCTGCACAGCCACAAGCGTTCACACAAGGGAGAAAGGGAAGCTTTTGAGAGCCGAGGTGGGAAGGGAAAAAGTACGATTTCCTGGGTGGATTCCAGCCGGCAAAGACTCTTACCTGGTTCCACACTTCCAATATCTCGTTGGTGGGTGCACAGGGCACGACTATGCACGAGGGCCCTTCCGGCTTCCGGGTCTTGCACTTCACATGCATCAGTCACATGACTCTTGATCCCCATTTCCCCAGTGCCCTGAACAGGGCTCGTGACCTCTCAGCCCTGTGGGGAGCCGCATCTGCCCGTTTCCCAACAGCCAGGCACAGCTGGCTGCTCCTGGGGGACCCCAACCTCCTCCCCATGGGAGCCACTTCCAAGCCCAGCTCTGGACGTCCATGCCCAGCAGCAGCCTTGCGGCAAACCCAGCCTGCAGAGGGCACTAGAAACCTGCCGATCACCCAGCAATCTAGATCATTCCTAGATCAGAGGCGACCTTGACTGTGGGACCCCAGGAAAAGGGACGTCTGTCCTAAAAAAGGGGTCGGAGTCACCACCTGTCACACCGGGTACAGCTGGTGGCACATCTGTGCTGGAGAGCTCAGCCATTGTTCTAGAGCGTGTTAAGATGATACTGTGGCAAGACCCTGCCAGACCGTACCCAGAAGCTCCCATGCAAAATACTATGGCCAGGCCAGGACCAGGTGTCTGGACCTCTGCTTCCGTGGCCACTGGGTGGCACTGCTGCAGAGCCCTGGTGCTCTGCCCGCATCCTAGGGACCTGAGTTGTGGGGGTTGGGGCTCAGGGGCCGCAGAGCCAGCGACGACTTCCAAGCTGCCTCCTGCCCAAAGTTAATGCCCACTGTGGACTCTCTCTCTTTTCTTTCCTCCATTGCTGTCCGAAGTACTCGGTATGGGAGTCCCAAAAGACAGCTCCAGTTTTACAGGTAATGAGTCCTTCATCCTCCCTCCACCCCCGCAAACAGAACGGCAGGGGACTGGGTGGGAGGAGCATGTCAGTCGGGTCGGGTCGGGGAACTGGCATCCCCAGGTAGCACCCAGGCTCTGTCTCTCTCGGCACCTCTTCCGGAGCACTGTGTCTTGAGCTGGGGAGAATATGTGGTCACGGTGATCAAACGTGCTGGCCGACTTGAACACTGCTGTGATCGGGACACGTGGCCTTCTGAAGGCTACTTAGCTCCCAGCCCCATGTACCCGTGGAACCTCGAGCATGTAGCCGTGGGTGGGACGCGTTCCTGAGGCCACGGATTTGTGCTTCCTTTGTTACCATGGCAAAGGCCCCGTGGCAAGCCGTCTGTTCTCTTGTCTGTGGATTTGGGCCGATCTGGTTGGTGGGAGGCTGATAAGCTCACGATAGGGGTTCATGGCACCCCTGAGACCCAGATCAGGGTCAGGGTGGAAGCAGGTCATCCTTCTGTTGCATTCCTCGATTGGCAAGATAGAAGTAGGTGTTTGCTGCTGCTGGGTGGCCAGGCCCAATGGGCCGCAGCATCTAGAGCCCTGGGCACATGTCCAGCAAGAGCTGTCAAGCCCGACCATCCTCCTTCTGGTCCTGCTGTCCTCCTGTGAAGCAGGGCATCCTACCTGGACACCCTCTGGATCCAGGAAGTAAACTGTCGGGGTCATACACGCCGCCCCCCCCCCGGACTATGCAAGCAAGCAGCAGCCCTTGGTGGCAGGTCCACATGCGAGCTGCCACGTCGTGGCGCTGGGCCTGGGAATAGAAGACCTGCACCCTTGCGAGAAGCAGCACTGAAAGCATTTGTGGCTGGCGTCTCTGGCAGGGCACTGACAGACCTGCACTGTGTTTCCATGGAACCTGTTCTTCCCCTCGGCCTTGCACCTGAGTGTGACCATGGCCTGGGCATGCAAGCTAATTTGTCCAGCTGCTGTGGTGCTTCCAGTGTGGCCCTGTTCCCCTAGGTAAACAGCTGATCCCAATTTGCTGGCATTTTGGTTCAATAAGATTTTCACCAAAATAGTGAAATCTGAAGCTGAGCTTGCAAAGGTGCACAAATCTATCGTAATGACTGTGTGGCATTCGTCCCAGAGGATGTGACCTGTGATGCCGAAACTTGCCCCTGAATTGCAAGGCCTGGGCCGCTTCTGTCCGTAAAAGAAGCAGTTTGCCTGGCCGGGCAGAAAAAGCCCAGGTGCCCACCTGCAGCTCAGAGGGAACCCTGGCAGGGCCGAGTGCGTCAGGGTGTGTTAGTCATCTCCCACACCACTTGCTGCCCTTGGAAGCTCGGAGGCCCAGGTGCGTCCTGTTGTCCATTCCTGGGGAGCACGGTATCCCCGGGCCTTCCTGTCTTAAAGCCAACTCCAAAGGCCTCCATCTTGGCCTCTCAGCAACACCATCCACTGTCCACAGCCTCTGGTCATCCTCTCCCTGGGTCCCTGTGACACTTGAGTGGGGCCTCTGACAATGATGACTGTCAGGGCTGAGACCTTTGTTTCACAAACTGGGTGCTGCTCCCAACTGGGCACCTCCATCATGTGGAATCAAGGAGCTGCTTAGGCTATGTGAGGTGTCCTCTGCCCTTCAGAGGTGAGCATACTGCCCTTGAGCAGCTCCCAGACGAGGACGGCAGTAAGACCCTGTACCAGTCAGCTCAGTACAAAGTGCCGCAAGACAAGCAGCCCCAAGGCACAGTGACTATTAGTGTTTCTTTCTTGCTTGTGTGTCTGAAGTCTGACTCAAATCAGCTCCTCTGGGATGGGCTGGACTAGATCTGTCTCCAAACTGTAGGGAGGCCTTGGCGGTCTCTGTTTTGCCATCATTCTTGACCAAAAGAGAAGCAGAAATCTGCTGTGTCTCCAAGGGCCAACGGTTGGAGCCAGAACTTTGTCATTTCTGCTTCCATTCTTTTAGCCAAAGCAAGAATTGTGACTATGCTCAGAGCCAAAGGAAAGAAAGATCAGTCCCTCCTGGAACAGGGGGAGGAAGTGAAGTCATCAGCGCTCACCAACACAGCTGGTGAAGTCTTGGGGACAGTCACACAGTCGTGCATCCACCCCAGAACTGTACCCCAGTGCCAGTCATGTCTGGAAGGCAGAACAGGTCACAGAGGAAGCCCCCAGCCCAGTCAGTGTCATTACAGTTCATAATTGGGGAGCACGGTGTGGGGACTGTGAGCTGCCCTCTGAGGCAGAGCAGGACCACAGAGGTGACAGCCACCACGTGGAGAGGTGCACAGAGAGCAAGTGTTGATGTCCATGCAAACTGGGCCACCAGGGACGTGACAGAGGACAGCGAGAGGCCGGACTGCGGAGGTGCATCTGGGTCCTTGTGGCTGATGGCAGGTGAGCAGGAAGCCAGAGAGCACAGCTTGGTCAGGCTCATGCCAGGGTCCCAGGAACATGGCACAGTGACTTCTGGCCAGCCCTCACTGCCCCTTAGAGGCCCACAATCCCAACACCACCTCCCTGGGGACCAAGCCTTCCACACAAGGCCCTGGGGACGCACACACACTCTGTCCAGGTGTAGTGATGAACATGGCCTTTGGGGGAAAACCACCCCAGTGCACTTCCTGAGCCTCCCAGTACCCACCCACCACCGGGCACCTCGGATTCCAGGTTCTCTCCACTCTGTTCACCTTCTCCACCCCATCTGGGGCACCAGTTTCCTGTCTTGTCACCCCCATGGTGGCAGAGAGAAGTCAGCCTCCATCTGGACTCCACTGGGCATGGGTGTGGCCTCTTTAGCTGGAAGAAGTCAAGCTGGGACTTCGTGGTACATAGCACCCCTGGGGTGCAAAGTCAGGACCTTGGAGCCAGGACTGAGCTCAGCCTCACTGGAGCAGCCTTGAAGCTTTCCCCAAACCCCAGCTCAGGACCCATGTGACAGGAGAGGCTGCCGAGGTCCTGCCTGGAGATGGTGGCCGTGTGATGTCCAAGGAGCAGATTTCCAGAACCTTCCAGCCACGTGTACTTCCTGGCAGCACAGGATATACCAATGAGGGGCCCAGCAACCTCACGTGCTGGGGGACCCCTCAGCAGACCCCTGCTGCTTTGCTGTGGATGGCAGTCACTTGCTTTGGGGACCCCTGCCAGCCCACCACAGGCACGGATTGGAATGGAGTAAACTCTGTCCCACACACTCGGATAACGAATAGCACAGCTGAACTCTTTCTACCTGTGGCTGAGAGGAGTGCACCCCCACACCCTCTGGCTGCACCCCTACCCGGCCTGCCAGCAGTTGGCAGTGCCAGGCTGCACAGCGGAACTTGCTGCCCGAGCTTTCAGGGGAAGCGGAGCTTGTGAATAATTCAGCCTCTCGCTTAGACGAAAACGCCCTAATAGAGCTAATGGACTCGCCGCCTCCAGAGTGGACCCTTGTGGGACTCGGCTCGCTCACCGATTGCCTCTGACGTTCTGCAGCGACACTCCCAACGACACGGTCACTGCCGCCGCCGCCACCACAGCCTCACATCCCTAATAACCAGCAGCCACCCCCAGAGGCAGGTGAGTCGTCCCTTCAGCCCCAGGACTGGACACGGTGGCCACCTTCTTAGGGGGAGCTGCTGCCCAGGGGCCAGGGGCTGGCATCCTCGGAACTCAAATAGCACCTGGGAGGGTGCTATTTTGGGTCACTTCGGGCCGATCTGAAACGAAACATTTTTCATAGCGTACAACTTCAGAGATGAGCTGCCCAGGGTAGCCCTGGAGGGGAGGGTCCTGGCATGTGGCCCTCGGGGGCTGTGAGCCCTTGCGTCCGGCAGCACCTGCATCCCTGGGGTTCCTCGCTTGCACCTGCTTGCTGCTGCCCCTTCCTGTCTGCTGAAACACTGGGTGCACCCTGAAATAGGCATTTTCGAACCCGCCCGGGGGAGTTTGGTGCCAGCTATAGGGTCCCTCTAGGCAGCCTGGTGCTGTTTGTCGCACCTCGCCTTGCTGACCACTCTGGTTTCTGCCCTGAGGGTGGGGGTCTGTGTGTGTCCTGGGTAGCTGCACCCCAATGGTACCTGCTTCCCTGCATCTCCACTCTGGAGCGCCAGGGCCAGCGTCACTGTCTGGCACTGCAGGCTCCTTCTCAGTGTCCCCGTTATCCTTTGGGGGCTGTCGGTAAACAGATCCCGGTTCAGAGGTTCCAGGTGGGAGCCAGGCCGGGAGGGCAGCGGTTCCTTCTGGCTAAATGAGGTTAGCAGCAGCGGCGCCCCATCTCCGCAGGCTGCGGTGTAACTTCACGTGAATTCCCCCGAGCCCCCCAGCTGACGAGAATAGATTTGCTGAAGGCAGGGCCGGAGCAGGCAGGCAAGAGCCACAGCCAGGAGCCCTGGCTCGGGCAGTGGCAGGGACGGCTTGTATCGGAGGCCCCAGGGCTGTGTACTCCCCGACACACTGGAGCTTGGACTTGGGAACTTAGCACTGAGCTACATCCCCGGCCTTCTTTCTGTTTTACGGTGGGACGAGGTCTTGCTAAGTCACTGAGTTGGCCAGGCTACGTTTGAAGTTTCAACTGTCCGCCTCCATCTCACTGCACTTTTAAACTCCGAAGGTAGCGGGCTCGGGGCCGGGGGTTTAGCTCAGCACCACAAGCACCTGCCTGGCAAGTCTGAGGTCACCAGTTTGATCCCTGGTACCAAAAAATAAGGAGATAGAGGGCTCAAGCCTAGAACCCCAACAGTTGGCTTCCCCCACACTCATACTTCCTGGCCATGTCCAACCTGGGGTCTTGTGTCCAGGGACTGTGCTAATCATCCCCTATTCCCAATGAGAGGGATTCCAGGGGACAGGGACTGTGTCCTCCACACCCGCACAGTCCCTACAGCTCTAGTGACTGCCAGGGCCCCTGGGCCGTCTGCAGGTGCCTGTCCTCCTCCTCCTCTCTCTCTCTCTCTCTCTCTCTCTCTCTCTCTCTCTCTCTCTCACACACACACACACACACACACACACACACACCCTCCCCAGAGGCCTGCCCCCACAGGCCCCTCCCACCTGGACCGCTCCCGGGCCCAGATCTCTGCTTCTCTTCCACCACTGCCACGGGTCACCGTGCCCACTCTTTACCCTGCTCACAAGTCCCTGATGCCACACTCCAGCAAGAGGCTGTGGGTCCCCCCGTGTCACAGTGTCCCTACCTCAGCCCACTCCCAGGGCCACAAAATGCAGGCAGATCATAAGCAGAGAGACCCTGGACCCCATAGCATAGGACAGGCACCACTGTGAGCTGGCCAAGGAGGTGGCCCTTCCTTCCGCCCCGTCTCCCAGTTCACCCACTGTGCAGGTTCTCCAGGGAAGAGGTGATCGTTAGCATCTCTTTGATCCTGCAAGCCAGTGCTGCCCGGTGTCTGCCTGGTGTCCCCCTCTGTCGGACTGGGGCTGTAGTCCCCTCGCCATGTGTGGTGGCTGGTACCACAGCCCACACCCTGGTGCAGGCCCCCCACCCGGTGCCATGTGCTCCTGGCTGCCCCCCAGCTCTGCAGGCGCCTCTCTTGTGGTTCCACGGGGCTTGGGAGACTGAGACCTGGAACAAATGCAGGATCTCCTGGGTGACACTGCGTAGGTGGCAGCCAGGGGCGCCCCATCCTGGGCCCAGGAACCCCGCCCTGCTGTGTTGCTTCCCAGGGCCTTGGCTGTGTTTCCAGGGCACAGCCAGGCCGCGCTCGCTTGGAGCGGCTAATGTCTTGAAAGCTAATGACTATCGATCGCTGGCTGGCCGTGCTGGCTGGGACAGTGCTCGTCTGAGAGTGGCCTGCCTTTCGGGAAGAGCTCAGGCTGCAGCCTGCCTCAAGGAAGGGAGCTGGCTGCCAGCCACACGGCCACCTGGGAAGGAGCTGCTGGGTGCCACCCTGCATGCACAGGACGGTGAGGAGCTAGCCCTGCTACCTGTGGGCTTGTGGCCCCAGATCCTACCTCGAACCTCACCCTGAGGCCAGGTCCCTCTGCTACCTCCCCACTGACTCCCCAGAAGGTGAGGCAGCTGTGCCCACATTAGCACCCAGAGTCCTGCACAGCCCCACCTGGCATGTGGCCCTCGGGGGCTGTGAGCCCTGGGGTGGGAGCCACACAGCTCCAGGCAGACAGACAGTGGCCTACACAGAGCTATTGGCCCTGGGCTGGAGCTAGCACAGTCCTAGCTGACGGCTATCGGGGCACGGCCAGGAAATGGCCATTGCAGCCCTAGCTGGCCTTCTGTGTCCCCTCTAAGGGTACTCTGGGCACTGCTGGGTGTGCAAGAGCAGACAAAAAGGTCACTGCCCTGTGACCAAGCGTCCCGAGGGAGCAAGTGTAATAATCTGGACGTTAATGGATGACAGGTGGCACCACAGGAAGGGGGCCCAATGGAAGTGCAGGTGCCGGGCCTAGCCCCACAGCAGCCTGTCCTGGGGGCCAGATCTGAGGCCTGTGCGGAGCGGCTCCCCGCAGAGTCCATGCACATACCCCAGTCTCTCCAGCTGCTCTCGGGGCTCCTTCTCCTCCCACCTCGGCGGCAGGTCAGTCAGCGTTTCCGGCACCTGCTCAGAGCCAGGCCCGAGCTGTGGGAGCAGAACACAGGTGCCAGTCCCTGCAAGCAAAAGAGACACCTGGGTGGGCACTCGCAGGAAGCCTCCATGAAAGGGGCAGAGCAGGGTTCTAGAGGGGCCCCTGGCAGGTGAAGCGGCAGTCAGACAGTTAGGGGTCACCCAGGGTGCTCACCCCCTGAAAAGGACCCAGCACCAATCTCATCTCAGACTTCTGCCTTGGAGAAGCGGGGCAGGCAGACCCCACGCAGCTGAGCCCAGGAGGATGCCAGCCCAGGGCCTCCTGGTCCCCACACCCAGGACCCATGCAGAACCTCTGCAGCCACCCCAGCTCCCAGGCAGCCCTCCCAGCTGTTCCCAGGATAAACTTCCTCCCTCTGAAGCAGAACTGGGGGCCCTGCCGGTCCCATCCCACCTCTCAGGGCCTTGCTCCAGGACCCCACCCTGCAGCTGGCCCAGCTGACATGGGGACACCCTCTGTACCTTCAGGTGTCCGTACCAGGGCCACCATGCAACATCCAGACAGAGACAGGGGCTTTTCCCCGGTGGGTTGGGGAGCCTAAGGCACAGTCCGCTGCCCTGCTCAGGGGTCCTTGCCGCCGAGTCACAGATGCGGCCACCATGCCTCATTGATCCGCTCCCTGTTTCATGCGTGGATTAACACCAACAGCCACTCTCCGCACATGCGCTCTCTCACTCTGCCTATTTTCCCCCCTCCCCCATCTTCTGGGGCTCACTGCATGATGGTCCATGTGGGGACACCCCGTTCTGGGTGGCTGCACACTTCCGCTCCGTGCATGGACTGCCGTTTGAGCCGTGCCCCGCGCCCCAGGGACATCTATGCTGGTTTTAGTTTCAGCTGCTGTATTCATTGCTTGTTGACTGTACAGCAATGGTTCTGAACAGGTGAACTCTGAAATCACCCCATGCCAGCCACACTTGTTACCCCAGGGTATCCCCATAGCCCACCTCTGAGTCCTGCTTGGGGTTTCTACTGGAGAATTCCACGGGCTTTGGGGCTCTTCACTGGGCTAAGGTTGGGGTGCCCCCAACAGCCGAGAGTACTGCCTGAGTAGCGTTTCGCCCCAAAAGCTCCAAACACACGGGGCACTGGGGGCAGCCCTTGGTGTGCAGGGGCAAGGTGCCAGCCTGGCAGGATCACCTGAGAGCTTGCTTCCGCAGCACATGTGCCTGGTGCTGCCTCCTGGAGAGCCATTTAACCTAGGAGCCTTTTCAAAAGAGTGCCGTCACACAGCACCTCTGTCCTGGGGGCAGCAGCCCTGGTCCTCAGCCTCTGGCTTCTGTTTCGAGCTTAAGCTCTGCATGCTCCCTGTGCTCTATTTGTCCCAGAACTTCTGGGGTACAGCACAATCCTGCCTGCAATGCCGCTTGGCCTGTGCTTGTCTCAGGGACTCGGGTGAAGGGGGATTGGGCTACCAGCCTCTTTAAGGGCAGAGATTCTCGTGCCAAAGGGTATTTCCACCCTGAGGCCACTCCACCCCCAGACACCAGCCCCTCTGGGTGGCAGCTCTCCTGGGAGGTTGTTTCACTGGACCCGCAGGCCAGCCTGAGACTCGAGGGCCACTGATGCTCTCTAATCCACCACCACTCAGCACTTCCCGTCTGGACAGCAACAGCTCGCAGGCCGGCCGGCACCATGTTGTCCATGACATACAGCGAGAGCCTGCGGAGCGTGAGCAGCAGGTGCCACTCGGACTGGGCCCTGCACCCCGTCCGCCAGACGGACACCCTGGAGCTGCAGCGGCTGCGGGAGGTGCGGGCGGCTGCCCAGGCCAGGAACATGGAGAGCTTCCTCCGCATGCACGGCCTCTCCCTGGACAGCTGCACCGCCCAGCGCACAGGCATGAAGTATCGGTAAGGGCCGGGCGTGGGGAGAGGGCAGGCGGTCACCCCGCACGCAGAAGCCCTGCCACGGGGTGCTGCCGAGCACAGGGTGCAGCCTGCAGAACACTGCTCACAGTGTGTTGTGCAAGGGTGAAGCTTGAAGTCTGCTGCAGTAGAACACACGATGGCATCCGTCCCCTTCTGTCCAACCGACTTAGCCCATCATCCTGGCCACTTTCAGAACAGCTCTGGAAGTCCTCTCTCACGAGTGTCTTCAGTTTCGCCATCACAGCTGCCCCCACGTCTTGAATCATTTCAAAACATCGGCCTGCCGTGGTCTCTTTGACTTTGGGGGAACGAGCCAGAATCACATGATGCCAGAATCCGTGAATGAAGTGGGTGAGGTCACAGCGCCGTGCTTCTAGCAGCCTGCCCCCGACACAGGCTGGGATGGCATTCGGCAGTGGAAGCAACCACTGCGTTTTTGGTCACAACTCTCAGAGACCTGATGGAGGACTTCCAGAGCTGCTTCAGACAGCGGCGAGAAGGATGGGAGAAGGGCATTTGAAGGAGAGGCAGGGTTCTGGGGGACATTAGCAGTATGCCCCTCGCTGTCATAATTTCCTAAATTTAAAATTCATACATTTTGATCTCCCATGTATTTTGGGGTAAATATTTTGAAAATCCCAGCCGCGTAAAAATGTATCAAGGAAAAGAACCCAAACCTGCCATTGTCCTAGCTTTCCAAAGACAGCAGTTAAGTGTTTGATGTTTTCAAGCTGGGCATGGTGGGACATGTCTGTAATCCCAGCACTCTGGAGGCTGAGGCAGGAGAATCATTGCAAGTTGGAGACCAGCCTGGGTTACAAAGTGAGCTCGAGGCCAGCCTGAACTGAAAAAAAAGGAAGGGGGTGTCTCTTGCAGCTTCACTGGAACAAATTGGTCCTTAGGCATTAACTGAATATTAATTAGTGAAGTCACCAAATCATCATCTCTAATAACAAATCCATTCTGGCATCAGGAACCCAGGTGGGATTCTGGGGTCGACGCCACCTTTTCCTCCTTTATGTCCTTGGATAGGGCTGTCTCTGAAGAAGATGGTTTCCAGCTGATATCTTGAATATCACTAGCACCAGACTGTAATCATGCAAAAGATACAAATTACATGTCCGGCTTGTCCAGGTCATGGGCATGAAGTCCAACTCTTTGAAATCTCAAGAAGACAATTTGGGTTCAGCACCAAGGACAGCGCTCCCGTCAGCCACCTCTCCCCTGACCCAAAGGCTCCAGGGTCAGCTGTTTATAAATCCTCTAGGTTACAAATATGCAGCTCTGCCTCATATGTCTTTGGGGACAAACCCATGTCAGAGCCAGTTGGCCAAAGGGGGCCACGCTTAGCCTGTCTTTGTAGGGTCACCAGATACAAATGGGAATTTTAGATAGACGGTGAACACTCTTTCAGCATAAACACAGCCCCCGTGGTATCGGGGGGAGGACAGGTACACTACGAAGTTATTCATTGCTTATGTGAAGCTCAACTTTAACCAGCACCCATGGTTTATTGAGCAACCTGAAGCTGAGGCTTCCCTCGGACAGCACCCCAGGGGTTCACCAGCTGCCCCTCGAGGAGTCACTGGACTCTGGCCCCGTGCCTCTGGGTGGTCTCTCCAGTGGAAAGTGTCTTTTGTCCTTCAACTCATTGTTTGAACATGCAAGAAACAAAACACTTCTTGCATAAGTCCATTAGATGGCAGAATTCTTAAGGTTTTGCATCCTAAATCCAGCTGCAAGAAAGAATGTTCATCCAGTGTGACCACAGTGGACTCTCATTTCTGATGGAAATTTCTCAAGAGGGCAGCTGTGCACTGTTTCATTGCGTTCCAACAAGCCAGCGACACCATGCCTCCTCCCAGCAAATGTTCCTGGAGAGGCCACTTGGCCCCAAGGCTTAGGCTCGACCCCAGAGATGCTGCCTGAATACAGCCACCAAGGTCCCACCCTGGTGGCCCCTACATTGTGGTGCGGGGGAGACAGAGAGAAAGCAAGCACCCCCAAAAACGCATTTGAGGAGCATCACCTGTCCCAAGGCACGAAGCAGGATCATGTGATAGGAGAGGTCGGGTGACAGGATGATGGGGAGGGGGGGAAGAGGTGACATAAGAACTGAGGTGCTGGCCAGGCAGTGAGAGGCTGTGGGCAGACATGGGGTCACTCTTGCTGGAGGAGACGAGAGAGAGCCCAAGTGGCTGAGCAGGCACAGGGGACAGAGTGTGTCCGTTGATGAGCGGGGAGGGGCAGACTGTAGCTTCCAGACTCTGCAGGGAAGGCTGTGGCTCCCTGTGGTGTGGGTAGGACTTGCGATGGCAGGGGTGGTGGCTCAGGTCTCATCCCTCAAAATGTTAATGCACCTCGAATGTTGGATACATTGTTAACGGAAACAGTCTTTGCAGATGTAATGAGACAGGACAAGGTCACGTTGCATTAGGGTAGCAACTAAATCCTCTGCCTGACATCCAGGCCGTGACAAGGACTATAATGATAGTACTCAGAGGTAGACCTGCCCAATACCGGCCGTGGGTTCAATTCCCAGTGCTAGAGGAAGCGGATGAAGGGGGAGAGGTGGGGAGGGGAGGAAGAAAGAAAGGAACTACCCAGAGTGTGGCACTGCCTGACCACCGCCTCGCTGCCAGCGCTGACCGCCTCCCCTCTGCTCTGCACGGTCATCTAGTCCAGCCTGCCCGCCCGGATCCTTCCCTCCAAATCTCCACCCTCGGTCTGTACTTCCTGCTCCCTCTGCCTGGCAGGGGCTCCCCGGATTTCCTCCTTCCCATCATTTGTACTGTGGCTTGGCCTGCACAGAGACCTGAGCACGCCATCAGAACAAGCTCCTACCAGGCATCCTCAGACCCCTCCCTGCCCCATGCTGTCCTCTCCCTGCTCCTCACGAGCGCCCCGTGCATCCCAAGCCACTCCAGGTAGTCGGGATGGTGCGGGCGGCCTTGGTCCTCATCCGCCCCCCGACTCTACCTCTCCTTCCCACTGCTCCCCTAGAGGGGCAGGGGGAGCCAGAAGCCACCTGCTGGTATAGTGAGAGGGCCCAGGGTCCCTCAGGATTTGGGGTTCAAGCTCACATTCCCATCCCACCAGGGCACCGCTGAGGCCGGCCTCAGGCTGGGCTTAACCTCTCTGGTGAGGTTGTCCAGTGTCCCAGGGGGTATGTTGAGGCAAGACTGCAGTGAGGAGCCCACGGCTGAAGCACCCAGCAGGGTCTAGCCGGGAGCCATGGGGACCTCAGCGGCCCTCACCCTGTGGCCGGCGGCCAGGCACAGGGGAGCGGCTGGCCCTTTCTTGGTGTCATTTTGTGTTCGTCATCCCACGGTCATATAGTTCAAAGAAAAACTGGGTGCTTGTTTTCCCAATTGAAAGAACAATGTATTCTTTGATTAAAAAATAAGACGTTGGAAAACAGCCCCATTGGTGGTGTCACGGGTAATCCTGGCGCCTGGAAGCCCATGTAGGGAGGAGGACGGCACGTTTGAACCCAGCCAGGGCCACTGAGCCACGTAAGACCTTGCCTCAAATTTTTTTAAAAGGGGCTGGTTGTGGCCCAGTGTGAAGCCCTAGGTTTAATCTCCAGTACGGGGTGGGGGTGGGGGCATTGGAAGTGCCCCCCATGTCGCCCCTCTCCATGCCGGCTGGGAGCTCTGGGTGCCGAGCAGCCTCCTCTGGGGCTGGGTGTGTCTGCAGAGGCCCCTGTGTCCCCTCCCTGTGACTCACTGTCTCCTGCTTATTGGACAGTCTGCTCTGCCTTGTCCGAATGAGCGACCTTGAGCCATTGCTGACCCGGGACCCTCACTAAGGCACAATGGGCTCCCAGTGCCCAGCGCTGTTGACATTTGGCTGGATAATTTCTTCTGCGGGAAAATTATTCGTGTGTTCTCCTCCTCCCAATGGTGGCTGCCGCCTAGGAAAGGGCCCGAGCCGAGCTCACCTGCTGGGGGGCCTGGCCAGGAGCAGCTGCACCTCGTGTTTTATTCTGATTTCCACTGAAGAGGGGAGCTCACTGGTGCCGAGGGGGCTTCCAGCGTCCCTAAAATGTCTCCCCTGGGTTCTCCGAGAACCACGGATACAACAGCAAATGCCATTCCCCCAGAAACGCGCACTCCCCCGCAGTTTCCGTGTCCCTCTGTGTGGTCAGGGGTGTCGCCGAGTCTTCCATTGGCCCCTTGGTCCACTGGTCCAGTGTTACAGAAAGGCCTCTGGGTGCCTGAGTGTGGGAGACACCAAGGTGCCACAGCCAGTGACTCCCAGCCTCTGGGCTCCCCTGGGCGCAGCGGGGTAGAGAAGGGGGGTGACTTGTGCATGAGCCGGTGCGGAAGGAGACTGGGAGGCAGAGGGTGAGATCCAGTGGCTCTGGCGGGAGAGGCTGGGCAAGGGTTGGCTTCACTGCAATGTGATTCTCGCCACACAGAGCTCTGCCTTAAAGTGGACGGTTCAACAGTGCTCCAGCCAAGGGACATTTTCATCACCCGTCCCCTTTATTGATCACGTTACACCCTCCCCGCCCCGGGAGACATACACCTGCTTCCCGCCCCTCAGGGTTTATCTGGCCTTAGTGCTCTGTGCAAATGAAATTGTGTGACATGGTCTTTCATGGGGCGCGGTTGCCAGGTTTGTCTACATCCTTGGGTGTGTTAGGGCTGGAACCTTTGGAGGGTTCGGCCATGTTCCGTTGTGTGCGTGGACCACGTGTTGTTTATCTGTTGCCAGCTGATGGGCGTTTGAGCTGTCCCCACTTTGGGGCTGTGAGAATAACACTGCTGTGGACATTGGTGTTCAGGGTTGGCGGGGGCTCATGCTTGAGCTTCCCTGGGTCGGTGTCTGGGCGTGGGATCGTTGGATATGCAATGGGTGGATGACATTTTACACGTGAGGACTCTGACACTTCTGATGTCCCTGAATCCAGCCTGCTTACCGTACGTCCTGTAATTACGGGTGACCCTCAAACCACAAGGAGGCCCCAGCCCTTGTGAGACCCCCAGGTTAGCAGCACACAGAGGGGTGTGCATGGAAATGGGAGGTGGGGCCTGGAAGAGACCAAAGGCAGAATCTGGCCACACATGGTCCTTTGATAGGTCTGCGACACAGGAAAGGCAGGGCCTTGCAGTCCTGGGGTCCTGGGCTCACCTGCAGGACAGGCTGAGCTGCGTGGGGATTGGTGCTGGTCCCCAGAAGCCCCCGAACACACACTGGCCTCCTCAGGTTGCACAGTGACCTTCCAGGGCAGCCTGGGCCAAAGCTGGTGTTTGTCCCCCCAGCGCTCTGTGGCCAGGTCCCACCCCAAATGCTGGCTCCTCCTGGGGCCATATCAGTGATGCTCTGGGATGCTCTGGGAGCCATTCATGCTGCCCAGGGAGCAGGAGCCCCACTCTGAGCCCCATCAGACAACCATGCCTTTGTGCTGTGGGATTGTTAGAATGCATATTTATGGGCTGTTTGTTGTTTTGTTTTGTTTTGTTTGGAGATGAGGGAGAGGGGGTTGAGACAGGGTCTCACTGTGTAGTCCAGACTGGCCTCAAACTTGCGGGGATCCTTCTGCCTCAGCCTCCCAGTGATGGGATCCCAGACTGCCGCCATGCCCAGCTTTGTGGTTCATGTTATTCCAGACTGCTCAACCCAGGACTAACTCCAGTCTGCCCTGGGGCACACACGGCTTTGTGATCTGCGTTTTGCAGGGGAGTAGTTAAAAGCAGAGGCTGCCAGGCTGGTACACAAGGAGACTCAGACCCGAGCAGGAGTCAAAAGGCAGGGCATCATGGTGGCTCCTTTCCTGGGTCCCATTGGGAGCAGAGGGATCCAGTAGGTGCAGTGCCATGCCCCTGGCTTTCTTAGTGCAGACCCAGAGAAAGCCAGCCTCTTGCTGCGGTCACTAAGCCCTGTCCTGTGCTCTGTCTCAGCCCCCGCTGGCAGGGCTGGAGGGACCTGGAGTCAGATGCAGCCGGAGCCCACCCAGCAGCCCCCCTGTTGTTCACTCACCCATACACACATGCATTCATCCTGCGTTCAGCAGGACTCTCAGATCCCGCTAGGAGTCCTCCTCCAAGGGGGGGAGCTGCTCTGTCCTTTTGTCCCTTGGACTCCTGGGTTTCTGTCCTGGGCTGTCCCTGTCACTGTCATCAAGCCAGGGTGGGCTTCTCTCCATGGCCTCCGGGCTTGGCTTCTCCCCATGCCAGGCAGAGCAGGGCTCTTGCTCCCAGGGGAGGCTCTGCCCGCTCCGGCCTCGGGGGCCAGCGGGGCAGGCGGCTCTGCATCCTGCGTCATTAATAATGAATCTCCATCGGCTGCCTGTGCCGCTGGCCACCTCCCCGCCTCGGCAGGAGCCCGTGTGAGAGGCTCTCGGGAAGCTAGAGAGCAGCTGCTCCCTGCGACCTCTGGCCAGGAGCAGCAGCTACTTCAGGCCCCCCAGGCCCAGGCCGCCTCCCTGCTCTAGCTCGGGCTCAGGAAGGAAGCGCCCAGAGCGGCCTCCTCCTCCTGCCGAGGACCGTGGTTGCTCACCAGCTTGGAGGTGCTCCCAGCCTTGTCCTGCCCAGCACTTCTGAAGGCTGTGGGGGACTTTGCAGCCAGAGCCAGGGCTGAGTGGGGACAGAGAAGGCCCGGCTGAGAAGGACAATGGGAAGTGACCCCTGGCCCCCATCCTGGACTCCTCCTGGATGAGGTCTTCTCTGTCTGCGTCTGGAAATTTGATGCTCTGCGCTGGGCAGGAGACTGCATGGGCGTTTTCTCCATCATCGTCTTCAGAAACCCTTGCTCCTGAGAGGACACCTGGCTGCCTCTTCGTGCCTCCTGAGTAGCTGAGACATGCAGGTCTCCTTCGCATGCTCAGAACACAGCCTCAAGGCCCGGGGCCCCGAGGAGCGACTCAACCGGCCAGCGGCCAGCAGCCCCAGCCCGGGCACCCGTGGCCGCTTCCGCACAGTGGCCATGGTGGCCCGGAGTCTGGGGCAGCTCTCGGTGCAGAGCGCCCCGGGCACCAGCAATACCAGCACGCAGCAGGCCGGGATGAAATATAGGTACGGGGTACCAGATGCGCAGGGCGGGGTGCCGGGAAGCGAGGAGCTCCCTCAGGCTGCTGGCCATGGCTGAGCCCTCAGTGGACCTAAGAAGCAGAGCACGGACTCCTGAGAGCCCCAGTCTCTTTGCAGCTGTGGGGGGAGCCGTGTGAATCACCCCTATTCCTTCCCCTGCTTTTGTTTCTTTTGGGGGAACCTTCGTTTATGGCAGCCAGGGCCCCCCCCATGTTAAACTCCGCACTGCCTGCTCTTTCTGGGGATCCCACCCGCCGGCCGCAAGCCCCAGATGCCCCGTGGGTAGCATCTGGTCTCGGCAGAGGCCTCAGTAACACTCCTGAGTGCCAGGGGTGGGAGCGGGCAGCTGACCCATGCAGCAGAAGTGACTGCCCCTCCCTAGCAGACCCAAGTTCCTCCAGCAAGGAGTCTTGCTCAAGTGGGCACAGGGTAGCCAGGCAGTGCCCTGAGTTTTCCTGCAATGGTCTCCAGGCTGTCTGGTTTCTGTCCCCGCTCCCGGTCCTGTGACTGGTGTGTGGAGAGGGTCTGAGCGTCTGGGGCAGGGTCTGCCTGCCCTGCCTGTGTCCCCGAGCTGCCCCCTGGCCTTGTTCATGTGCTCCGGGGATGGGAGAAGGGTCCTGGCTTGGCAGGAAGGGGTCTGGGGTAGGGCAAGGACAGCCGCTGGTCTCTGGCCTCCTCGCCCCATGGGAGATCCTGACCGCTGGGTCTTCTTGCCCTGAGGAGATGCTCCAGGGAGCAAGGGGTCTCTGCTACTTGAGGCTGCACAGATGCAAAAGAAGTGGGGGACTCTGGGCCCTGGGATATCGGAACAGTTGAGGTACAGATGGTCCTGCTCATGTCAGAGGAGGGCAGTCAGGGTTTGTAGATGATGTTGGTGCCAACTTCGGAAGCCCCGGAGATTCCCCAAGAGTGGAGGTGGGCAGCTCCTGCCTCCCCAGAACCAACACGGGAAGATGAGCAAGTGGAAAGGGACCCTGTCCCCACGCCTGGCACCCCTCAGGTGACTGCAGGTTGAACTGGGGTCCTGCGTCTGCACACATCACTACTGTCCCCAGTAAGGGGAGGCTTGGTGCTCCTTGGCTGAAGGATTGAGTCCCGGTGCCCTAGGCCCAGTGGGGACAGCCCAGAGTGGACTTCCTAACCTAGAAGCACCGGGGTTTGTATCTGTTGGCAAGTGGGGTCAAAAATCGAATGTGTGCGTACTTTTCTGTGTCCGAATTCTGTGCCTGCTGCGCCTTTTGAGTCCATCCGAGGTCCATCAGAGGACCACGCCATGTGGCCCTATGTAAACAGAACATGTGACCTTACTGTGGTCCCTGCCATGGCTCCTTAGAGAGCGGGTCTCCAGGAGCCAGTGTGTGCAGGGTGACCATGTGTCCACATGTGCACATTTGGGTCCCTGCACGTGTAAGCACCTGCATGTCCCCATATGGGGGTGACCACTCTGCACGTACATGTGGGAGGCAGGGAGGGCACTGGAGGCTTCCCACTGTGGGGACCTGGGTTTGAGCCTGGGCCAGCTCTGCTCGGCAAGCTTGTTTTGGGGAGTTGGTGGAGCAGGGTGGCTGCGTCATCTCTAAATGGCCAAAACAGGAGTGGGAGCCCAAACCCAGACCCTTCAGCCCTGGCCAAGCCCTCTCTCTCCTGCCCCCAAGGGTGTCCCCTCATCTACCCCAGGCACAGCCAGGGTACAGTGGGACTGCAGTACCCAAGGGTGATCCTGACCCCAACACCCACACCCCCTCTCCTGGAAGCTTTGGAGAACCAGAGATGGCTGATTCTCAGTCCCACACTCTCCACAGGGCCCAAGAGTGCCCAGAGCAGGGACCAGGTCAGGGCAGCCCAGCCCAGGAGCAAGCTGAGTGGGCATCCTATCCCCAGGGCTGGCCCGGGCTGGGCTCCTCCTCCCCTTACACCAGCATCATCCCAGAATGACCTCCGCTGCAGCTGGATGCCAGACCTGACTTCTGGGAGCTTGGTATTTGCAGCAGAGCAGACCAGGAAATGGTCAGCGTCCCCCAGCATGTGTGTAGGCAGAGCTTGGGGGGAAGCACCTGCCGCCTCACTCCCCGGCCAGCACCGGGGCAGTGGCACCTTCCCTCCCACCACGATTTTGTCCTCTGTCCAGGTGGCTAAAATGAGCAGCCGAGAGCTCTATTTAAAAGGATCCGTAATCCCCTGGCACCTCCTAGCCCTGACTCTGCCCTCGGGGCTCAGGGGTGCGAGGTGTCCCCTAGTAGCACTGGCACTTTCCCGTGTGTGCGTCCTCCCTGGCCATTTCCCCGGGTCCTGGGAGAGACACAGATACACTAACGAGGAGCAACAGGATTCAGGTTTATCGGTACTGACCGAATAGCTTATCACTGTCCAGCTTCAGTTAGCGGAGAGAAATGCATCGGAAACGGTTCTCACGGCTGGAGTTTCGAGCGGCCCCATGGCTGCAGCTGCTGTCCGGCGCAGCCCGTGGCTGTGGCCTCCTCAGCCCCGCCAAGCTGTCACACCGATAACGCGCCCGGCCTGGGGCTCCCTGTCCCTTCCCATCCCTTCTGCCTGGGCTGACGGCGGATGGCAGAACTAATACGATCACTTCGTCGGGGAAGCCGGCGGGGACAGTCGGCGGCGTCTTGGAGTGCCCTAGTTTTGCTAAATTACTCCTGTGGGCAGTGGCGGAGAGAGGCCATCAAAGAACTGAGCCCCGGGGTCCCTGGCCAGGCACAGGGACTCAGAGCCCTCTCGGGAAAGCGGGTTCCTTTCGTGTCAGCCCGGAACTGACCAGAGGTCGGGGGCAGCAGCAGCGTTTGCCGCAGGTCCCCAAACGGCAGGGCGGTGGCGTCCACGCTTCTGCCCTCCCTTCACATCCTCGCCTGCCCGCTGCTGAAGCTGCTCCGCCCTTACTAGCAGTGGGCTCTGATGTTTTGGGGGCTTCTCTGGCTGACAGGCCTAACCCTGACCTCGCAACCCAGCCTGGCAGCACCTCGCTCTCCACTTTCTGTCACGCAGGTGGCTTTGCATGGTGAGGGCCACAGCTCCCTTTGGCTGCCAAGATCTGACCAGACTGGTGCACGGTGGGGCAAAGGGCTCTGCCAGTGTTTGCCAAAGGGGGCTCTGAGCCTGCAGCCAAGGGTACCGCTGATCCGAGTCTGCAGTCCTTTGGGTCAGTCATCAAACCTTCCAAGCAAACACTCACCTTTCCCTCCACGGCTACTTCCTCCTGGCCAGCACAGGGGAGGGGACACAGATTCCCGTAGGCCTGGCTCGTGCGGGACTTGCCAGTGACACGGTGGTGCCTTTCTCTCCACGTGCCAAGGGACTGTTGGACGAGTTCACGGTGTATAAGAGGAGGACGTTTCCCTCTCCATGTCTCTGTCCCTCTCTCTCCCCATCTCTCCCTCTCTCAGTTTTTCAGCTCTAGGGATTGAACTCAGAGCCTTCACTCTGAGCTACATCCCCAGCCTGTTTATCATTGTTGTTATTATTATTATTGTTTATCTTGCCTTTTTATTTATTATTTTGGGACTAAGTCACTAGGAGAAGGCTGGGTTGGTGCCTAAGAGCCACAGTTGGCTCCCGCCTGCACCGTCTGTCCCGGGCACCAGACAGACCACCAATCTTCAGCAGATGGCTGCCACCTCTGTGGCATTCTAAAGCCGCTCGTGACATCTTAGGCCCATGTGTGGGGCTCTGGCATGCACCCCGTCAGGCGGGGCCTCTGGGGGCCCAGCACAGGGCCCAGGCAGCACCTGGTGAGGGCTTCCACTGCCAGGTCTGCCCAGGGGTGAGACCTGGAGCAGCCTGTGGGCTCCAGTGTCCTTCCACGGCCATCAGCCTCAAGGAGGGATGGGGACAGGGCCCAGCCAGTGGCCCCCTCACCCGTCCTCGGAGGAGAGGCCTCTCTGATGGTGCTCTGTGCATTGTGGCCTCAAGACATGCAGTGACCATGGTGGGAGTGGGCAGGGCTGGCACCAACCATGGGGTAAGCCTGGCTGGTGGCACTGTGCCTGGGCACTAGAACTCAGGCTGTGTTTGTTTTCTAGGAACCTGGGCAAGTCCGGCCTGCGGGTCTCCTGTCTGGGCCTCGGTGAGTGTGGGGATCCTTGTGCAAAGGAAGGGGGCTGCAGCAGGGCTGGGGGGAGCTGCACCCAGAGAGCCCAGGACCAGAGGGACCCCGTTGCTATGTCAACCAGGAGCCAGCACAGGCAGGGAGGGGAACAGAGGAGCAGCCCCTGGCACACACAGCCCAACCCACACCAGGCAGCTCCTCCCACCTCAGCCTCCCCAACTACTGGGATGACAGGTATGCCCCCACAGGCACATTAAAGACTGGTCCTTCCATTTGGAGTCTTGCTCTGCAGGCCAGGGGTCCCCGAATACAGAGAACACACTCACCACAGGGCACCCTGGGGCCTGTGCTGCCGCCATCCCGGGCCCTGTGCCCCGCCGAAGCCTGGGGTCTGAGCACCCATGAGGCTGAGCTGGTCCCTGACAGGGGGGTCTAACCCAAGCTTTCCTGTCTCCTTCCAGGAACATGGGTGACCTTCGGAGGTCAGATCACCGACGAGGTAAGACAGGGCTCCCTCTACCCTGGGGCCAAGCAGGCCACGGCCAAGTCCCCTGCGTGACCCAGTGAGCAGGTGCCTGTGCTGTCCAGAGCAGCGGCCCGCAGGACGGCAGGAGGGGGAGAGGGGAAGAGGAGGCCACCCCAGTGCCGCCACCTAGTGGCTGGATGCCCTCCACGAGACCCCAGGAGCTCAGGGTACCCGCCGCCCCCACCATGGTTAACAGAGAACCCAGAGGGCACATGGGCCCCAAGTCACAAAACCAGCTACAGACGTGCACGTGAGTCTGTTGTGGTCTCTTCTCACGGAGCGTCCGCCGCCCCCCCACTGGCCGCTCTCTGAGCTCCTCGCCATGCACGTCCATGTCGGTGATGGCATGCATCAAAATGAAATGTGTCTGCGGGAGTTTGTCTGCACAGTCAGTCGGGACGAGGGGGCAGGAAGACAGCACCCGGGGCTGTGCTCCCAGCGGGGGTTCCCTTCAGGACAGCGTAGTGTGTTCAGGACCGAGGACGGGCATTCGCTCAGAAAGCCCCGGGCCTCTGCTCCCATGTGGGTGTCACCTCTGCCCAATTCCTGTCCCAAGGGCTGCGTTTAAAAATCACCATGTGCCTTGATTCAAGACCTTGTTAGCTGCTTGTGCCATTGTCAAAGAGAAAGCTGCTCCCAGCGAAATGTAAATACGCACAGTGGGGGAGTCTGTTCGTCTTTAAGTCTGGCCTGGCCAGGGCACTGCTTGCTGACTTGCTGATCTTGGAGGGTTTCAGGGGGAGGCCAGGAGCTTCTAAGGCAAAGGGGCCCCCCAGACTGGTGGGGTCCAGCAGCTCACTCAGAAGAAGTCAGCCAGGCTCGGCCTCTGGAGTGGTCGCTAAGCGGTTGAAGGGTGAGTTCTGCAGACAGCGCCAGCCTCACTGGGTGGCTTCACACCGAGAGCTGGTGGCACCAGGGCATTGATGAGTGCCAGCCCCAGCTGGCTATGTCTCCCTCAGGAACACAGGGACACAGCTAGAGACATCAGAGGCCATCGCTAGGGTCCTGGGCTGGGAGGAGGGCAGGGGATATGGCAGAGGACAGAGGCAGGCCCTGAAGGGCTGTAGCAGGTGACAGGGACTGATGAAGGATTGTGTCAAAGCCCACAGCCAATGTCAGGAGCAGCACCAAAGCGTCAGGCGCCCAGTCAGATGGCAGGGAACGAGGGCACCCTGGCGCGTGCCTTGGTTTGGGTGAATTTTCGTTAAATACAGGATGGTAGTACGACTCACCCCTCAGGGAACTGGGATGGAAAACATACGTGTAGCCAGACGTGGTGATACACGACTCCCTGATTTTTCAGACATGGGCCTGGAACCCAAAACATTTCAGCTGCTGTGTGGAAGGAGCCCAGTGGGCAGTGGCTGCAGTGCTGTCACCCCAGCACCCTGGGAGGCTGGGGCAGGAGGATAGCAAGTTTGAGGCCGGCCAGACTGGACAGCTTAACAATTTGTCAAGATCCTGTAGCTTTCTCTTTCTCTATTTTATTTTATTTTATTTTTTGAGACAGTGCCACACGGTATTATTCCAGCTATCCTTGAACTCACTGTGTAGCTCAGGCTGGTCTTGAACTCACAGCAACCCTCAGCCTCCTGAGTGCTAGGATTACAGGCCTGTGCCACCATACCACACTGGACCCTACCTCAAAATTTAAAATAAATAAAAAGGGCCTGAGAGTATAGCTCAGTGCAGGCCCTGAATTCAATCCCCATTACTGGGGGGGAAAAAACAAGAGAAAGGAAATCATTATTAAAAAAAACTTTAAAATAACAAACCAGGGCAGAGGTTGGGGGTTAGCTCAGCGGTGTAAGTGCCTGCTTGGCAATCCCGAGTGTGTGAGTTCGATTCTTGGTACAAAAAACAAAAAACAAAACAAAACAAAAAGACAGAACCAGGAACCCCATCTCCTCCTTTCTGATGCCTTCTTAGGGGACCTCGCTGTCCCCAGGTCACAGGGTACAGCACACACTTCCCTCTGCCTGGCTCGGGCCGGGTGCAGGATGCCTCCAGAGGCTCAGGGTGAGGTGAGGTGTGGCCTGAGGTGTAGAGAGACCTGAGGAACCCCCGGGGAGAGCAGTGCCCTTGGGTGCCCTGGCCCCAGCCGCTGCCCACTGGGCTCCTTCCACACAGCAGCTGAAATGTTTTGGGTTCCAGGCCCATGTCTGAGAACCAGGAGGTTCCACCCCCAGCATATCCCAAATTCCCTGAAAAATCAGGGAGTCAGGTATCACCAGGCCCCCTTTCTGGGGGCCACCGCATTCCCTGCAGTGCCGGCCTCCAGCGTCACCCACAGGTGTCTGCACCGAGCCCACTCGGCCTCCCTGCCACCTGCCTGGCGCCAGGTCTTCGAGCTCCATCTGAGCTCGGCCCCTACAGCTGCTCTGGCGGCCCCCACCCCGTCCCGCAGTGGTCCAGGGTGGTCAGGGTGACTTGCCCCACCCTGGGCTCCCTATGCAGGGGTCTCGGAGTCCACACTGGGGGAGGGGTTGGTGAGGGGGCAGAGCACCCTCCGGAAGGTCAGCAGAGCTCAGGCCCCTTCCTGTGCTACGTGTCAGGGGCAGGGGCAGGTGTCGGCTGCAGGAGGTCCCCAGTGCCCTGATCCCACGCCTACTTCCTTGGCACAAGCGCAAGTGTCCAGCAGCCCAGGGAGCAGGGGCCACTCCACAGCAGGGCCACGGTCCCTCCCACTTCGCCAAGGCCCAGGAGTGCACAGCATTGGAGAATTGCCGGCCATGGCCACGTGGCCACCTGGTAGCCGAGGGACCCCCATCCCTCCTCTCCAGAAGAGGACAGTGAGGTCCTCCCGTGCTTGCTGGAGGGGGTGCCCATGATGCAGCTGAAGACGCAGCCAGAGCTGCAAGAAATGTCATTCGTCCCTCAAGACCTGTGTGGCAGCTGCATGAATGTTCCGGGCCAACCACAGCAAAGTGCCGCCACTCGGGTGGCCTGAGACGCGTCCTCCCATCACGCTGGAGGTCTGAGGCCAGGATCCGGTGTTTGCAGAGGCTTGGTCCCTGCAGAAGCTGAGTGGGGAGGACCGTTTCCACATAAGTTCAGGTTCCAAGGTTCTAGGCGCAGGTCTGTTTTGGGGGACCCCATTCACCCCAGCCCATGCAGTCCCTGCTCCGAGAAATTCAGTGCATAGGCTCTGTCTTCATCCATTTGAGAAAGTTTGGGAAGTTTGTGACTTTTATTTTTGTCTTTTTGCTTGTATTACTGGGACTGTACTCAGAGCATTCGCACCGAGCCACACCCCGGCCCCTTCTAGGGTCTCACCAAGTCACTGTTGCCCAAGCTGGCATCGCACTTGGAACCCTCCTGCCTCAGCCTCGCAGAGTCCCAGGACATGAGGCCTGCACCGCCACACCTGCCTTCTTGTGGCCAGGAGCCACCCCAGGTCTGAGCACCTTGTCTTCTCATTTCAGATGGCGGAGCAACTAATGACCTTGGCCTACGACAACGGCATCAACCTCTTTGACACCGCGGAAGTCTACGCGGCCGGCAAGTAGGTGTCTCCTCCAGGGGAGGGTGGCACGGAGAGGCTGAGCCCAGGGCCTGCTGCCCTCCTCTGTGAGGTGCCTGCCACCCAGGCGTCTTCTCTAAGCTCCAAACAGCCCCGGGAGGAGCTTCTGTGGGGCAGGGTCACAGCACAGTTGGATGCTGGTCAGTTGCTAAACTCCTGCCATCTTACTTTGAAATCCTAGGTCGCTGTTATTTGTTCTTGCTGTCATTGTCATCGTTTGGCTTTTGTTGTTTTGTTTGCTTGCTTTTTTCTGTGCTTTTTTTCTCTTTAAAACAACAACAACAAGAAAAAAAAATCCCCCGCGTACCCAAGCACCACGGTGACCATAGTCCTTATGCCAGAGAGACTGCGCTGGGCCAGAGCCATGATGAAGCTGTCGTCCTGGGCCTCAGGACGGCTGGTAACCTGCGATCAGCCTCACGCCTGCCGTTCCCTCTGTGTCCTAATGATGCAGTTAGGGCGCAGGGAACTCGGGGGAGGCGCTGGCCGCTGCTGCAGGAAATGCTCCCCGTCTTGGCAGCAAACTTTCCTGCTCAATTATGTAAACGCTCGGCCCCTCTGCAGCCAGAGCCCTTGGCTTCAGTTTTTTAAAGACTGGCTGTAATCAAATCGTCCACCCTCCGGCCTGGTGTTTCCAAAAGTCAGCTTTTGTTTGTGAAATCATTTGCTGGCTCCTTCTTTGCTCCCCTCCTGCCTGGGGGCAGCCGAGTTCCTGTCAGTGGGGCTGCCGTGGCCCTGGCCCCTGTGCTCCACGGCCCCTGGGCCACCACCCGCCTCACGGGGTAGTCGTTACCTGCTGCCTGCAATGGGGCCTCGGGCCGACCCAGGGCCCCGGGCAGCTGACAGCCAGGACCCCCAAATGTCCCCCACACCCCATCAGCAGCCCTTCAGTCCCTCTAATCAGGCTCCTCCCAGCCCCTGCAAACTGCCAGCAGCCCCCCACCCAATGCAGGGCCCTCCAGACCAACAGATGAGCTAAGCTGAAGGGTCAGCAGTAGAGAAGCCCAGGGCAGATGCCCGGCCCATAGCACCCCCACTGAGCCTCTTCCTTGGCTCCCTCTTGCCCGGCTCTTGCTGCCCACGAGGGTGCATGGAGGGCAGCTCCTTCCAGCCGCGCCAGCTGCAGATGGCCAGTCCGGGCCCAGCACAGTCCACATCTCAGCAGCTCCGCTCTGCTCCTTCACATCTCCACCCTGTCTAACTGGAGTCCCGGGTCTGGCTGGCCAGCAGGCGGCCTCCAGGCCTCTCGGAGGCCCTTGCTGGAAGCTGAGGTCTCAGGGAGCAGCCTCCAGTACTCGGCTCCTGGAGCCCCCAGCCTTCCACTCTTCCCCTGGCCACCGAGGCTCATCCTGTTTCTCCACCCAGATTTGAACCAGCCGCCCATTCCCGCCCTGGGAAGCCGAGCCCTGCAGCATCGGGGCACAGGCCTGGAGGTGCTGCTCAGGGCCAGGGGCTCGGACAGCGCCAGCAGGACAGCCACGCACCGCACCACCCTTGTGTCCCGTTCTGACACTCGCCCACCCCAGTGCTTCCAGGGGAGCTGCAGCGTCGCCCTGCACCCCCACACACACAGCTGCAAGCAGCAGCGTCTGGTTAGCCCTGCTCGGCAGCCCCCTTGCCCCTCAATCATCTTCCTCCTCTCCTGATCCTTTGTCCGACAAATCAGGGACTGAGGAATGAAAGGAAGAGGGGCCCAGGGCTGAGCGAATTTGCTGTGTGCGTTCTGACCGTAAATGAGGCGCATTCAGAATGTGTGCTAAACAGCTTGCAAATTAGAGCCCATTATTTCTGAGCGGATGACTCAGGCGCTTTTATAATTGGAATGTAGCACAGCGTACGCATCATTCTCCGTCTGTTGTTTTTTTGCTCAGAAACATTTTTGCTACAAGCAGAAAGTTCTTCAAAGTTGATCCAGCCCGGCTCTGCCAGGGGAGGCTGGCGCAGCCCGCTCCTGACCCTAGCTGGCCCTGGTTTGGCGCAGCGCGTGGAGCGCCGCCGAGCAGAACCCACGGTGGCCGGGGTGGCATCTCAGGAGCAGGCGGCCAGAGGGCTGCGCGCCAACACACGCACACAGCACCACACGTGTGCACACACGTGCCCGGCCCCTCCTGGAAGCCCCACCATGGCTCGGGACTCAGGATGCACCCAAGGAATAATTTGCCTTTCAAAAACATACTTTCTGCAAATTTTGCCCATAGAACATGTGGCCAAGCATTTTCCTCTGTGGATTTCCAGTGGCCTGGGAAAGGGGACACTGGCCTCTCTGAGAGGGACAGTTCCTTCCTTCCCTGCAGTAACTGGAACACAGGCTCGAAGCCGCCTGCGTGGGAAACCGCAGCTCCGCTGGGGCTGCCTGGCAGCTCCAGGCCTCCCCTCCCTCCGGAATGCCAGCCTGGCTCTGCAGCCCAGAGGGGCTTCGCAGAGGGGCTGTCAGGGTGGGGCTGGCTTTGATTTGCCCGTTACGCCGTGATGAAATCCCCATGTCTCTCTTGCAGGGCTGAAGTGGTCTTAGGAAACATCATTAAGAAGAAAGGATGGAGGTAATTACTTGCTTCTCTCTGCCATCCATCCCCAGGGCACACACGCACGCACGCACGCACACACAGATGCACGCCCACGCTCACTCGTGAGGAAGGCCGGGGGGGAGGCAGCACTGGGGGAGTCAGATGGCTCGGCGTTCCCGGTGGGAGATGTCCGGCCACCCTGGGCAAGCCCAGGACGTGGGAAGAATGAGCATGCGGGGCAGGTGTCTTCCTGTTCACTAACACAGCACCCTGGGGTGGCCACAGCAGCCTCTTTAATAGGCCCACCAGGCCCTGGAAGTCCCTGGATTTTCCTTGCTAGGAAAGAAAATCCCACAGCCCTGGCCCCTCCTGAGGTAGCCAGACACACGTCACGGTGGCTGCTCCACGGCGAAGTGCCCAGGCCTCTGCCCAAGCCGCCAAGGGGTGCAGAGGCAGACACAGCTGTGCTCAGGGCCTGTGTGCGGCCACAGCCCCGGCATGGCCCGCCACCTGGAGTCTAAGTCTCAGGCCACATCCCTGTCCTCCCATCAGAGTGAGAAATGTGGGAAGCAGTTAGAGCCAGGTCTCCCCTCGCCCTCCTGACAGCCGCTTGGCCACCCCAGGTCGCCATGCATCCCATCCCATAGGGGTCCTGGCTCCTCACCCACCTCGTCCTAACTGACCCCAAGTAAGCCCCCCACCTGGGACTCAAGACAGCCACGCAGATTAGCAGATGCCACCCGCGGGTCTTCGGTGGGTACACCGGAGGTAGTCACGCAGCCTCCGTAAGACTTTGAAGAGCGTCCTGTCTGAAAAGAGCCTAGAGGCTCCCTGTCACTCCCAGGGTGTCCTCCTCCTGGGCAAGGGACCCTGCTGGCACTCTCTCCCCCCCACCCAAAGCCCCGCAGGCCCATGTTCCCAGCAGAGGCGGCTGCTTGGGGCCCCAGTGCCGTCAGAGCTCTGCTCACACTGTCCCCTGCCGCCTGGCCCTGGTCTTCCAGTTGCAGTTCTGGGGTCGTGGGGGATGCACTGTGCCAGGGCTGCCCGATAGGGGCCGCGACCCCAGGCTTGACACACAGCAGGCATCTAACGATGCAGAGACACCCATGTCGTGCCAGCTCTGTGTGGCCAGCGCAGGGCGGGTGAGGGCGGCTGGGGGCCGGCCCCGTAACTCTCCACCTCTCTTCTGTCCACAGGCGGTCCAGCCTTGTAATCACCACCAAGATCTTCTGGGGCGGAAAGTAGGTGCAGCCGCACAGTGCCTGGTCGGGGGGACCCGGGTGGTATTGGGGGACAGTGTGGCTCCCCCGCTGAGAAAAGCAGGTTCCGCCAAGTCTGCCCTGCGCTCCAGCCTTGCCGAGCTGCCATTGTTACTTGCATGGGCACCATAAAAATTCTAGAAAAGAGATCACTTGTCCACCGCCAGGTTCCCAGGGCCTCCCACCCCTGGCATCTGGCTCTACCAGAGTTAGAGCTAGGTGTCACCCTTAAACTTAAGAAAAGGCAAACCCAACAGAAGAGTGTCCCGTACGGCCACCTGACCTCGTCCCTTTCCCCGGCTGCTGTGGGGCAGCGTCGGCCCTCTGGCCTCTCTCTGGTCATCACCTCCAAAGTGGAACCGGCCACACAATGCATTTGCTGACCCATGTTTTCCTCCTAACACTGCACCCTGAACATATGCCCAAATGGCTCGAAGCATCTCACACGCTGTGGGCCTGTTTTTCAGAGCAGAGACGGAGAGGGGCCTGTCCAGGAAGCACATCATAGAAGGTGAGGATGGGCCGTGGTCCCCGGTACCCAGCGGAGGGCCCAGCCTGGGGCACCCAGAGTTCGGTTCTGACCTCTGCCCCCAGCCCAGATGGACCCAGGTGGAGTAGGGGGGGCACCTGGGCCAGCAGCCCCAGTCTCGGCCCACAGCACCACTCAGAGGGAGGGTGGCGGGCACGTGGGTTAGCTGCACCCTTCCCGTCTTCGTGCCTGTGGCTGTGATGTCACCCAGGAACCATAATGTCCTCTCTGCTTTAAACTTGTACCCGGTGGCCTCGGTGCCCCCAGAGGCTGTGGTCTTGATGGTGGCCATTGGGACCTGCTGGTGGGTGACTCATGCAGATACGACACGGACAGCAGGCACTGTCCTTTCCCCTGCCTGATCCAGCGCGGTCAGCAGGGGCCAGGAGCCAGCCCAGAGGACATCCAACCTGTGCAGCAGGACCCCACTTCCCTGGCAGGTCTTCACCACCTCCACTGGTCATCTGAAGCCTCAGGAGAAAGGGTCTCCCCCCTTCCATCGCCGTCCCCAAACCAGGCACAGAGAGGGCCCGGCCTACGCCACTGCCCTCACATCCCTCCCGGTCCTCCCAGGTCTGAAGGCCTCTCTGGAGCGGCTGCAGCTGGAGTATGTGGATGTGGTGTTCGCCAACCGCCCAGACCCCAACACGCCCATGGAAGGTAGGCGCTCCCAGGAGAGCGTGGGCGCCCAGGAGGCCCGTCCCACGGGCGGGGAGGGGAAGGGCGGCCTTGCCCAGCCCTGTATGCCCTGTCCGTGCCCAACCGCACCTGGCTGCATCAGAATTAGCCCCTGTCCCCTCCTCTCCCAAGCTGGCATTGCGTAGGAGACAAAGGGGCAGAAAGGTGGCGGGCCCACGTCACGTCCCTTCCAGTCTGGGCTCGTGGCGGTTTCGGTTTCTTTGGCCTTTGTTTCCTCTCTCAACTCCTGCGCCCTCCCGTCTCCCCAAATTCTTGCTACGCCAGCCTCTCGTTTATGCTTTGCTGCTTCAGGGGCTTGCAAAGTTAAGTTGTGTCCCAGTTGAGTTTTTCTCCATTTCATATATATATATGTATATATATATGCACCACGCATGTGTGTGTGTACACACGTAATACTTTCTTTTTAACAGAAGGAGCGTTCTGCACAGTGCTTTGTGTGACCCGCCCCTGCCCCGTGTCCTACCATGCCTCCTGTGTTCCCACAGCTATAAACTCTGGTCTCTTTAAATCTTTCTCTTATCACCAGGGGACCCATTTAGTTCCTCCAAGTCAAGGACATTCATCATAGAAGGTACACAGTACCCTCAGCCAGCTATTGACTTGTGTGTCCGAGCTGCATTTTATGAGACAGTGTTTTTATTTACACGACTCAGTTCCCGATGACAAACTTCTCCATAAAATGCGGAAGGGGGTGGGGGGCACCCTACAAGGCCATCTTGCAAGGGAAGGAAAAAAGCAAGGCAGTGTGGGAGCCCTCACCATCCACGCCATCCCCTGGCCCGCTCCGTGCATGTCCCCGTGCCTGCATGGCTGGGATCCGCGGTGCCCGGCTGGCCGGGCCTCTGCCTCGGCTGCAGCACCCGCTGGGAAGGACTGGGGAAGAGCAGGTCCCGCAGGGGCGACCCGAGCAGGGACCCCGCCATGGCCAGCACGCCCAGAAGCCTCACTCCTCCTGTCACGGTGCTCGGCCCCTGCCTCTGCCCCATCCACCGCACACTGGCCTCTCCACCAGCACTGTGGCTCCCTGGTCATCACGTCCCTTGACAGGCTGGGTCCCCTGTGCGGTCACCCTGGTCCCTGCACTCCCCTCGAGTTCGCCTTGAAGGTCGGGTCCAGGTCTCCTGGGAGCTGGGCAGCGCTCCACACCAGAAGGGCTCCCGCCTGCCACCTGGCACTGTCACCTGACCCCCTCCATGTATTATTCGTGATGCAGCAGAGATGCCCCGAGTTTGGGCACCAGCTGGAAATATGTGGTACCCACACTCTGCCCAGCGGCATTAAATATTGAAGTTAAGGACAGTCCTTCAGGGTCCCTGTCTCCGGGCTACTGGTATCGTGCCTGGCAGACGCACAGCACAGCCGTGCCCTCACAATGGTCTCTCTTCTGGTGGCCGCTGCCCAGGCCCCCCAGCTCTCAGGCCGGCCAGCCTCCCCCGGCCCCATCACTGCATGGACGCAGCAGCACAGGGCATCACGCAGCTTGGTGGTCGGAATCCTGGCGACAGGACAGCGTGAGGAGGCAGGGCGAGGTGGCCAGACTGCTGTTGGGGTCCTTGGGCTTCCTCCCGCTGGCATACGGACCTAAGGCTTGGCTCATGAGAATTGGGGAGTCACACTGCATGGCCACAGGTGCCCCAAGTGTTTCTAAGAAGCCTCACGAGGGCAGCCAAGCCAGGAGCCAGCTCCAGGCAAGGTCCCCTGGGCCCTCCAGATCTCTGACCAGGCCCTATCTCTCTTTCACTCCTAACAAGGTAGCATTAAAGCAGGTGACCCGGAAGGGTCCTGGGAGGTCTAGAATCTCCTCCCATATCCCCCATCTGGGACCCCCAGGAGCCCCAGTCCCTACCCTTGGAAGGGAGGAGAGGGCAGGGCAGGCCCTGCAGGAGGGGGAGCCATTTTCCTGGGGTCTCAGATCACCCTGCAGGGCCACCACCCTGCTTAATGCCAGCTCTTAGAATTCCCAGAGTCCCAGCCAGAACAGACCTCAACCAAGAGGTGCCGAGGGACCCTGGATGGGGGGAATGACACCTCAAGACGGGGGCAGACCAGAAACCAGCACAGTTGGCCCCCTACCGGGGGAGGCACCATGGGCCCAGTGCTGCTCCAAGGCTGTCAACACCATGCTGGCCCGCTCCTGCCCACCTGCCTGCTGGGGACCTTGGCTTCCCTGTCTGGTGGCAGATGAGCACAGACGGGCACGCTCGAGGGCGGCACCCCTCCTCTGGTTTTAGAAACACTTGCTCCCGCACTTGTCCATGCTGCCTGGGCAGCGGCCTTGCAAGCACTGTATGGGACCTGGGGAGACCCCGGGGCAGCCCCACCCCACAAGGCCAAGGCACACTGGGAACCTGGAAACTAAAGCCACAGCCCAGGGAGCCCGAGGGCTGCAGATCCTTCTCCCTTCCAAACCGTTTGGAGGCCGAGGGAGAAGCCGCTGTGCTGGGCAGCTCGGGGCCCCCTTCCCGGGGCTCAGCCACTCACGTCAGGACGCTGAGCCTCGGCAGTCCCTGTGTCCCTGGCCCGTCCCTCCCAGGATACTGCCAGTGGCCTGCTCAGCCTTTGCTCCGGGGAGACACTGGCCTGGTGCTGGGGCAAGGTCCAAGCCAGGCTCTCTGTGCTAACCCTACATCTCTGCAGACGCCTCTTTCCTTCGGCCCTTGATGTTCCAAGCAGAATACTCCCCAGAGACAGGCAAAGCTGGGTGTCCTCCCGTTGCCTTCTGCCAATCTCATTGAAACTGAAACCATGCATCTGCTCCCTCCTGAGTGACCAAAGTGCCCAGTTCCTCTCCAGACTCAAGACCCCCCATGCTACAGTCAAGTCGCAACCTTGGTCCCCCTCATCTGCCATCGGGACATCACTGCCCATCTCTCAGAGAGCCCGTGTGGCCTGTCCATAGCTGGGGAAACCCATTTCCAAACCAAGTGTTGGATGGCAGTTCCTTTTTCTCTTCTCCTGGAGCCTCTAGGCGAAGCCTCAGCTTCAGAGCCAGGGAGTACACTGCTTGCAAGACATCTCCGCAGCCCTCCCTCCTCCTGCGTGTCTCTGCGGAAAGTCCCCAGGCTGGGCCTGAGCCCTGCCGCCCCCGCCCACGTCTCTCCTTCTTTCTCTCTCCTTCTCTCACGACAGAGACTGTGCGTGCCATGACCCACGTCATCAACCAGGGGATGGCTATGTACTGGGGCACGTCGCGCTGGAGCTCCATGGAGATCATGGTAGGTACAGTGACACTCAGCATGGGTCCCTCCTTGCCCTGAGCTGTGGGACGGGAGTCCACCTTGCGGAGAAGGGGCTGAGCTAGAGCCCCAGCATTGCCTGGCACTGGACAGACGGCTGTCCATCCACCTGTAGGAGCTGCCCTGCCGTCACTGCCACTCAGAGGCAACATTCTGGGTCCCGTTTGGAGGTGGTCTCCCCTCTAATCCTCACATGGCCCATGGGCAGGTACTAACTGTGGATATGGAAACTGGGGCACACACAGGATATGACCCGGCTGTCAGGGCCCCAGTGGGGCCCTGTGGTCCAGGGTGTATTCAGAGAAGCACCCCACTAATTGTCAGCGCTCCTCACAGGAACCCTGGGAGGCTCAGGGTGGAGGTGGGGCAGCAGGTGCTTCTTGGCCTCTCTGAGTTCCAGGAGGGTCAAAAGCATGGAGACTGAGGGTGGAGGTCTTGTTCAGAACTGGTCCCCTCCCCCAGTCCCTGACACCACTTCTGGCCTCAACCCTGCCTATGCTGGGCCCCCCGGACCTCCAGCAGCCAGCATGACTCCAGAGAGTCCAACGTTCCTGCTTCAGGGCAGAATTCCCAACTAAGCCCAACTTCAGGAGCCCCTGGCATCGATAGGCTGTGATGGCCGCAGCATTAGCCGGCAGCCTCACTCCATTTTACAGATGAGGAAACTGAGTCCCTGGAGAGTTGGGGACCTCTCAGGTGGCAGAGGTGGCATCCAGGGGTCTGTGTGAAGACCCCTGCACCATCTCCCTGCACCATCTTCCTGGGCTCATGCCCTGGGCGAGGTGGCAGGAGAATTGTAAAGCTGGGGTGTCCGAGGCCCAAAAGTGGGCCAGGGCAGCTGCCCACCCTCCCCGCTGGACTTCACTGCCACCTCTGTCACCCCAGGCCCTGGGCTGCAAGGCAGCGATCCTGGTAAAGAGTCACAGTGCAGCTGGCACTATGCCACTTTCATGAGGATACAAACATCCTTGGCTCATGGGACCCTCACAACAGATGGGGAAACTGAGGCAGGGAGCCATGGCCCTGGCCCAGTGCCCAGCAAGTGCCAGCAGCCCAGCTGGCTGTGGCATTGTGCGCTCTCCCGTAGCCTTCAATTTCAGGGTCCCACAGGCCCCCCAGCTCATTGGGGGAGTGAAGGGGTGGCAGCACCAGCCACGCTCAGTGGGGCCTGTCCTCTCCTGGCTTCTGCACCCACAGGAGGCCTACTCCGTGGCCCGGCAGTTCAACCTGATCCCGCCCATCTGCGAGCAGGCCGAGTACCACATGTTCCAGCGAGAGAAGGTGGAGGTGCAGCTGCCAGAGCTGTTCCACAAGATTGGTGGGCACCTCATCTGAACCCCAAAACCCGGGCCCTGGTCCTGCCTTCCCCACCCCGCCCCGCCCTGGGGACCCCCTGACCTGCCCTGGCCTCTATCCTTCAGGAGTGGGTGCCATGACCTGGTCCCCGCTGGCCTGCGGCATCGTGTCCGGGAAGTACGACAGCGGCATCCCGGCCTACTCCAGGGCCTCGCTGAAGGTGAGGGTGCGGCCGGGGCGGAAGGGCGCTGGGCACCGAGACCTCCGGGAAGGCACCTGGGCACTGGCCAGGAAGGGCCTCCTGCACCACGACTGTGCCCACCACTGGAGGAGCCACTCGCTCCAGGGGACAGGCCCCACATCTGCCAAGGGGGCAGGGTCCACTGACGACGCTGGGGATCCCTCTCCCCATTACCCTGCACTCTACCGTCACTGAGACCCCTGGGAAATCCCTGCTGGGGGGCAGCAGGGTAAGCCCTGCAGAGCCCAGGGTCCCACACTCCTCTCCAGGCACAGTCCTGGGGGAGACTGGAAGAGACAGTATCCCCAGGACGTGGGGAGAGGAGGTCAGTCTTGTCTCCTCCCACTGTCTGGGCCCCGTGGGATGTGGACTGTCCCGTCCCTTGCCTGCCTGAGTCTGGCCCACAGTGCAGCCAGGACAGGGCAGGAGGCTCTGGGCCAGGGGAGCACCAGTAAGCCACGTGCATACCGAAGTCCAGGTGACACCCCTCACCGGAGCTGTCCCCCCCAGGGCTACCAGTGGCTGAAGGACAAGATCCTGAGCGAGGAGGGCCGACGCCAGCAGGCGAAGCTGAAGGAGCTGCAGGCCATCTCCGAGCGCCTGGGCTGCTCCCTCCCGCAGCTGGCCATCGGTAACGCAGGGCAAGGGGCCAGGCCATGTCCAGGGAACGTGGGGAGGTCCCCCTCGGTGGCCACAGGGAATGAAGCCGAGAGCCTTCCAGGGTTCCCTGGACAGCACCGCCAGGAGGCCACAGGTGGCTCCTGAGGGCAGAATTAGGATCCAAGTCCCTGGAGAGCGCAGGGTTCCCTGAGAGCCGGGGTCACCCTCATCTACCAGCTGTACCAGCTGTGGGTCATGGGAGCACTCAGGTGACCTCTCTCTGGGGACAGGTAGGCCAGGGCTCCACCGGGCAGTGCTGCACTTCCAGGATGCCCTCAGGGTCAGAAAGGCCTGCAGCGGACATGGCCCTCACTTCTCTCTCTCTGTCCCCAGCCTGGTGCCTGAGGAATGAGGGTGTCAGCTCCGTGCTGCTGGGTGCTTCCAATGCAGAGCAGCTCATGGAGAACATCGGAGCGATACAGGTGAGGCAGGGCCCACGGCAGGACGCCCATCCGACCAGTCCCCGGGGCAGCCAGCGCCAGCCCTGGATGCCACTCCATCCCGCCGCGTCCAGGAAGTGAGGGCACCCTACTCCCGGGAGCTGCTTTCTAACAGGAGTCCGCAGAAACCGTGCAAGCAGTAGGAGACTGGATGGACACGCAGTCCAGCCCTCTGGGGGGCTGCCACAGGAAGTCCAAAAGCTCAGCCCAGCTCAGGCAACTCTGGCTTAATGAGACCTTGACTCAAAATAAAACCTAAAAGGGGCTGAGGAGGTAGCTCAGAGTAAAGGCCTGGGTTCCGTCCCTAAAAAACAGAGACAGAAGGAAAGGAGGAGGGAGGGAAAGAAAGGGAGAAAGAAAGCACTGGCTGGCGTCAGTGGACAGGACAGGCCCAGGCAAAGGCCCGATGGGGCTGCAGCCCCAGGTTTGGGGGCTGGTGGAAACAGCAGCTTTCCAGCGAAGTCTCAGTCGCAGTGAGCTTTCTAGGCAGCAGGAGCAGCTGCAGAGAGGCAGGGAGGTGGAAGGCCTGAGCTGGGGCCTCTGAGGGCCCGCTGACGTGGGAGCCCTGGGGGGCGTGGCCGGAGCAGGGGTGCACGCCAATGGGGCTTTGGAGAGGAGCGTGGTAGGCTCTCGGGGAAGCCACGGCCAGGACAGAGACCGGGAGGCACAGGGCCTGGGGTCCCCAGGGTCCGATGGGGCTGTGATTGAATCCAAGGCAGTCAGTTACCCAAACAGGACGGCTGGGAGAGCTGTCAGGGCCACCCTGCTTCCGGAAGGCTCCAGGAGCTCTGGGGTTAGTAGGAAGGCATCACGACCAAGACCCTTGGCATCGCAAAAGCGGCCAGGCCTGCCGCACTGCACACGGACCCAGATGTGAGGGCCACAGCCAGGCCAGCCGCAGGGTGCCGGAAGTGTCACCCGCTCCTCGAAGGCCTGGCCAGATGGGGTGGAGGGTGAGGGGGCGCGAGTCTGACTAGCTCTGTCCTCCGGTACAGGTCCTTCCAAAACTGTCCTCTTCCATCATCCACGAGATCGATAGCATTCTGGGCAATAAACCCTACAGCAAAAAGGACTACAGATCCTAAGTCACCCGGCCACCTACCAGGACAGTTTCCAGCCCCCTCCTCGTCCGTTCGCTGCTTACGCTGTTCCCACACCAAGTGCAGAGTGGGTTTGCACCCAAGAGAACCCGCCACGCCCAGGCACCATCGGCTGTGACCTCCGAGTCACTATCAGACACTGCCCGCTGCTTCGCCAGACGCTGTGGGGTCCGCGCCCAGGGACGGCATCAATCCCGTGCCAGCCTGTAGCCTCCGCTCCTCCTCTGGGAAGAAACCAAGTTTGTACCCAGCCTTCCATGGAGATTCCCAAAGCCAAGGCCAGGCCGAGACCTGGCCGGGTCCTCAGGGCAGGCAGGGCGGGCCTTTCCCTGCCAGAAGCCCACCTGGGATCTCCCCAGTGCCCCTCTTCCCATAGGCTCCGGGCATATCATGCTCGGCTCAACCCCAAGCCCCTCCTGCCACCCCCCTCGACTCCAGTCCAGCCTTGCGCCCACTGGTCCTCAGCAGAGCCACAGCTGTCCAGCTGGCCCTGGCCCCCACACCTCCCCTTGCCGGCAGGGGCAGAGACCCCAGGGGGATTGGCTCTGTGGCTGGGGACCCACAAAAATTTGGGCATCTGACTTCCAGCTAATCATCCTGTTGTGTTCAATCCTGTACACAATCAAGGGGTCTCCTGCCAGGAGGCCGAGGCACTCGGGAAGGGACCCTGGGGAGCAGGCCCCACTGTCCTGACCCAGAAGGCCTGATGCTAAGCACTATGGCCTGGACCACACAGCGGGCGGGTGGGCCCCATGCACCAGGCTGTGCTCCTCTAGGCTGGCAGAAACCCTCCTCTGCCTCTGCCCCAAACCAAGGTGACGGGCTTGGCTTCTGCAAGAGGACCCGCTCAGCCCCTTCCCAGGGCAGGGTCCCTGGGGCTCCACACTGCAGGTGCAGAGGCTGGGGGCTGCTATTGGATACAGCCCCCACCGTGCAGAAAAAAACCAGGGACCCTCTCCCTGGAAAGACGGCTGGGGCTGGTCATTCCCTCCCACACACCCACCACGGCCTCGGGCAGGCTGTACAGAGGAAGAGGGAGTAAAGCAGGCCAGGGCCCCAGAACCTAGCAGAAGGGGTTGGAGGGAGGGAGATGGCTAGGGGACCCCCAGGTCTGGGGGCATGGGCTGCCTGGACAGTTGTGGGGACCCAGCCTTTGCTGTGTGGGGCCAGGGCTATACAGAACCCGCCCCCCGCCCTCCAGTCCCAGCTACACCTGTGGAGGACCCAAGACCCCGCCCATCTGTGGGCTGGACAACAGCGGGCTCTGCCCCGGCCCAGGGCCTGCTGTCCAGAGTGGGTTGGGTGGAGGCCAGGACAGTGGTGGGAAGGAGGCCACAGAGACACAGGCAGAGGAACTGAGGAGCCAGGGTCCCTGGCTGCCTCTATTCCCCAGGGCCTCTAGGTCAGCCTGGAGTCCAGAGCCCCCACCTGCCACGGCCGACATCCTGTGGCTCCCGCCTACCAAGCCCTGCCACAGGCTTCCATCAGCTGCGGGTGAATGGAGGGGGTGGGGCCCTCCAGGCAGAGGCCACCAGGCTGCAGCTGCCTCTTTGTGAGGACTGGAGGTAGCTGTCGGGGGACAGGCCCTATGGGAACCCCATGGTACTCAGGACCAGGTCACCTGCCCACTGCAGGGAGGAGGGGCGTGGCATGTGCAGTGCCTGGGTCCCAGGGGCCCCTGGAGGGAAAGCAGAATCCCTGCTGGCTCTCTGCCCAAGAAAGGGAGACACCCTTGTCCCTCAGGGAGGCCTGGGCACCTGGCACCCAGCACCCAGGCACCCCTCAGCGAGGACAGGGCTGTGCGTCCTGCGGGTGGGAGCCCCCTGTGGGGGGCGCTTGGGGGTCTCTGGGAAAGGACAGGGAGTCAAGGGCCAGACAGGGCAGCTTGAGGACCCTGGTATTGGCCAGGGGCTGCCGCCACCTCCCCAGGCCTAAGCTCCGGCTGCCTCTGTCCTCTCCAGGACAACTGAACGAGGAAGAGCCCAGGGGCCCGGTCGGTCTTCATCGCTGACAGCAGGGGTCCCCCACGCACCCTCCTGAAACCCAGTGAGGGCCAAGGGCCCGAGAGCGGCAGGGGCACCCGCCCTCCCCCCGCCCCGCAGCCGTGTACATAACTCGCTTTCTCTCCCATTTTCTAACAACCGTGGTTCCTCTGCTAACTGCGTCCCCCCCAGGCAGAGACCACCACGCCTCCAGCTTCCGGGAGGGCCACGTATTTATGGAATGACAAATAAAAGCCAAGCCCGTTGGTCTCTATGTCTCCTTCCCCTCATTTCCGCAGGTCCTGTAGCCAAAAACGGGATGGGAAGCAGCGTCTTCCGGGGACAGAGACTGGGGTCACCCTGCGGATCCACCTCTACTTCTCCCAAGTGACTCAGGCCCACATGGGATTGGGGGACCCCTGGGACCCCAGGCATGTCCTCCACTGACCCTTCTGAGGGCCCAGAGCGGAGGGCTTCCCCCACACTGCATGCAGCCACATGGGGCAGCCACATGGGGTTTCAGGGTCCTGCAGGTGGTTTTGGGGGTGTGGCCAGGAGGGGTCACCAGCCCAGCATTCTGCTGCCAGGGTCTCCCCTGCTTCCCAATGAGCCCTGTGCCTCAGCTGGCCTGATTCCTCAAAGGACAAGGAGGGACCCCCCCAGCCTGTCCAGCCCCACCTCAGACAGTCAGACACTTAGAAACCGTACCAAGCCGTCCCCTTCCCAAAGGATTTATTAAAACACAGAAACCAAAACATACACACAGAGTACAAAGTAAAGGGGACCGTGCTGGCTACAGTCTGTCCAGCCTCCCTTGGGCCCGGACGGGGAACGTGTCATGACTCACAGCGGGGCCCGGGGTCCAGAGCTCAACCCCTGCCTGCTGGGACCCTGGCTGAGACCCCCCAGCTTGCAGAGTGGGACCCCCACGCCCCCGCTGCCCCAGGCTGGCTCCGCCCTCTATGAGAAGCGTTCAGGACACACACACACCCAACGGGCCCTGTCTGGGTCATCGCACCTAAAAAAATACTTTGTTTAAAAAAAAATCTGAAAGTTAAGGGGGGAGAGATCATAAACACGACACGCAATGACTTTGGGCTGACGCAACCACAACTGTAAACTTCTGGGTGTGTGACCAGCTGGGCTCACTTCCGCCCTGCTCCCCCCGGCTCCGCATGGCCACCCAGCAGGGAGTGGGCACAGGGTGGCTCCCATCTGAGGTGCCAAGTGACCAACAGTCGCCTGCTGCGGAGCCCCTGGTCTCCCAGCTCCCCAGCCCACCCTCTGCTCGGCCCGGCCTGCAACACCTGGCAGGACCTGCTGACCACAGCCACGGGGCTGTGGGGGAGCACGCAGGGAGCTTCCAAAGGTGGCGTTCAGGGGCATCTCCTCCCCTCGGGCGGTCCTGGGAACACAGGGACTCCAAGTCCAACACTAAGCCCAGCTCCCTGTGTCCCCGAGGCACCTTCCGAGACTTCTGACCCAAATCGGTTCTGCACAGACCTGGCCGCACTGGGACTACGTGGCAGGAGATGGGAACAGGGGCTGCCAGCCGGGACCCCACTACGTGTAGGCCACCGGTTCTGCCATCAGCAAAACTAAGCCCAGGCCATGCTCAGGGCCCCTGGGAATGCTCCTCACCCCCGGGGCTCCCCACTCTGCCTCTGGGGCTCTGGATGAAGACAGGAGTGTGGGGAGCCAGCCAAGGTGGAAGGGATTTGGGAGTCTGGCCTCTGAGGTTCACAGGAAGAGCCACACTGTAGACAAAGGATCCACGAGAAGCTACGGTGACTGCCCCTCTCCCAGCCCCAGCCGGGCCCAGAAGTGCTGTCCCCCACATCTTCCCCTGAGGGCCTGGCCAGAGCCACTCTGGTGCCCTACCCAGGGTCCCTTCTCACTCAGAGGATTCTGTGCCCAAGGTCCCTCTCTTTCAGAATGGCCCAGGCTCCACGCTGCTCCTGCACGAGATAAGGCAGGCACCTGGTAGACACAGGCCAACGCATCCAGCCCCTGCCCTCCAAGAACTTAGCAAGCCCACAGCAGCCCTAGGCAGAAAATGTCACTTCTAAGCCTCTGCAGGGAGGGGGAAGGGGGAGTCCCGCCTCAAGGGTGGCCTGGTTCCTTGGCATCTGCGGCCCAGGGCACTTTGGACAGGGAAGTCCATACCCAGAGGTGAGCAGGACGAGCCTCCCAGGGCCTCCTGGGCCACCATGACCACGACCTTCCCTGCGAGGGCACGAGCCACACCTGCCTACAACTACAATCCCGGCAGACAAGGAACCTCCTGCCCTTCCTGCAGTGGACCTGTCACAGCTTCAGGCCCTGCTATGCACCCCTAAGGCCACCATCCCGCTGCTGGAACCACAGAGCCCACACTGGGCCGGGGACAGACCTGTGCCCACCTTCTCCCAGGGGACACCCAGGAAGGCGGCAGGAAACACCCTCTCAGACCTGGGTACCAGCCAGTGTCCTGACCGCCGGGCTGGACAGCACCCTCGCACCTGACCCACTGGCACAGGGGTCCCAGGCAGGCAGGGGACAGAGCAGAAGGGCACCACAGAGACACATGGGATGGGGTGAGGGACACACTAAGGGCTCCTTAGGTCGCCAGGCACTGCGTCCTCTCCAGTGGGGCAGTCGGGGGCTTTCCTTCAGGTCCACGGCCGGGGACAGGGGTGCTCCAGGCCGGAATATCCCACACGGCATCCGACTTTCATCGAGACAGAAGCATCCATGTCTTCAATAGGAAAGTGCAAAGATGTACAGATAAATGAATCTTTTCTAGGAAGTCGCTCTGGAAGGGGCGAAAGGGACACATCCGCGTGGCCGTGGTGCGGTGCCGCGTGGAAGAACACTGGTTTATGACGAGGTGGCACTTCACGGCTCTGGCCCGGCCAGGCCGGGCCTCCTCCTCCACGTGATACCGTCACTCGGTTTCCCTCTTTGTCCCCGGCTGACACCGGCTCCTACACGTCGGGAGCCTTTCTCTCCCGTGGGGGTCAGACAGGTGGCCCAGCGAACGTGTCTACAGAAGACAGATCAGGGACTTCAGTGCCATGGGTGACCAGAGGCACTGGGAGCTGGAGCTGACCCCAGAGCTCAGACGGGGTCCCCCCCCCGACACCTCCACCCGCCTCTTCGCAGCCAGTAACACCCCCCAAACCCTTGGCCATCCCCTGCTATGGGCAGGGGCAGGTGGGACAAGCAGGACTCCCTGGGGCACCTGCCGGCAGGCAGGGCAGTGAAGGCCACACTAGCATCAGCCAGGACCAACGAACCAGGCTCAGCCCGGACAGTGATGGGGGCGGCCGGTGGGGGCCCTCACCTCGGCTGGACACGGGCGCTGCAACGGGCGGGTGTTGCGGGGACGGCTAGATGTCTGCAAAGAGAGCATGCGGCAGGCTTGCCCGGGGTCTGCAGCAGCGGGCAGGCCGGGCCCCGCAGGGCACCTGTGTGCATGCTGCCCGGAAGCGGACGGGCACCTACCAGTCACATAGGGCCCCAGGGGCATCTGGTTGTAGTTGACAATCCCTCCCGGTCCAGGGCCCCGGAAGTTGGGCCCAAAGTTGCTGTTGTACATCTGGGAGGAGCCGAAAGCGCCCTGGAGGCAAGGACTCAGCTTTACACGTGGCCCTGAACCCACCAAGCCCGGCCCGGAAGCCACTGGACGTGGGCTGAGCCTGACCTGCTGGACGGTGGGGTCCCCGGCGCGGTTGGTCAGACGGCTCAGGATGCTGCGCTCCGACATCTGCAGGCGGGCGGCCACTGGGGGGATGCGGGACAGCATGGAGGGCAGGCGTGTCACGTCCGCCTTCATGTCGCTCAGCAGCTCCTCCAGCTGGTTCAGTACTGCGGGGCAGGAGGCCAGAAGTGGACGCTTTGCCTGCCCCGGGCCAGAGCTATTTACGAGGGTGCACCGCAGCGAGCCGCCAGCCTCAGACACCAGGGGGCGCTCCTCGCCAGGCCTTCCAAGGACCGAGCCTTGCCAACTGGGGATCCGTGGGGGTTTCCAAAGAACTCCTCCAGGGGCCCCTACTTCCGCACAGCAGACAGCTAGAGGCCCTGACCAAACCCAACAACACTGGGCCTGCTAGGGTAGGATGGGGGCCCTGGACAGGACTGCAGCCCTTGGTGGGGGGAGAGGGCTGGGCAAGTCCAGCCTGATCAAGGCCTGGCATGCCCCTCTCCACTCTGGGTACCTTGCCAGCAACCTGAGAACTACCTAGGGACAGAAAGGAGCCCAAGGATTAAAGATTGCTGGAGCGAGAGTCTAGCTCCAAGCACGGGGCCTCCTCAGGCTCTGTCCACACTTTCGTCAGAGGGACAAGGGAGGCTCTCTCCCCAGCAGCACACGGTGAGGATCACGGTGACAGGAGTGTCCCACTGTGGGTCCCCCAGGCTAGCTGGGCCCAGCCCAGGCTGCCCCACGGATCTGGAGAAGGAGCATCTGGACACTGGGGCTGTTTGGCCCGGCCTGGCAGGGAGCCACACCCTCCGGCTGGCGTTGTCCCCAGCCCTGGCCTCCGGTTCCCCAGGCCCGGGCCCAGGAGGCTCACCCTTGTGCAGCACGGCATTGGCCGGCTTGTTCCCGGCCAAGGACTCCTTGGACAGGTGCTGGTGGCTCTCGGCCAGGCACTCCACCTCCGCCAGGCGGGCGTTGAGGGCCATGGCTGGATGGTTGGGGTCCTGGGTCATGTTGAGGTACGCGGCCCTCCGCAGCTGCTCCTCGATGACCAAGGCCTGCTCCAGCAGCTGGGGGATGACAGGGCATTGGGGTGGCCCCCCTGGATGGCTGCTACCCCTCAGCATCCACCCCAGAACCAGGGAAAAAGGGGAGAGGGACCTTCTGTCACCCACTGCGCATCCTCACCCGACCTGGCGGGACCTCAGAGCTTTTTACCAGCAGGGCTCCCTGTACCCATGTCATCCAGGGCAAGGGACACTCGTGCAATGGGGCCTGGCCTAGAGCCAGGGCCTTGTCGCTCTGCTAATTGACTGACTCCCTGACCCTCTGTGAACAGCCTGGCGCACACGGAGGTATGTGGCAGGGATGCTGCTGTCTAGCACCCCTGTCCCAGGTGCCCCTCTTGGACCCCCATCCCCTCCTGTACCCCTCCACCCACCCACCCAACCCCCTGCTCCAAGCCCCGCCATGCCTGACCTTGAACCTGCGGGCCAGGAACTTATTCTTCATCTCCAGGTAGTTGCCCTTGTGGATCTCAGACTTGAAGGGCTCGTTGAGGATCAGGTACCTGGGGTCGTTCTGGATGTCTTGCCAGCGGGCGTAGCCGTGCCTGGGCCCCGTTAAGGCGAAACCAACACAGGACGAGGGGGTCTAGGCCGGGTTCCCCAGCCTGGAGCCATCAGGGCAGCGCAGCCTGGCTGACCCAGGATACGTGACGATGCCCAAGCCTCCCGCTCTGGCAGATCAGAGCCTCTGCTGCATGGGTGCACAGGGATGCTGAGGATGGTGGTGTCAGTGGGCGTGGATAGGTGCACGCGGAGGCCCCCCGGGCTCACTGCCTCACCCCAACAACAAGAGGCGCTCACTGGGGCGTGGCCTGGAAGGGGTCCCCTCCCCTTCCCCCCTTCCCCTCTCCTCCTTTCTCTCTGCTTCCTGCCCACCGTGCTGTGAGCAGCTTTTCTCCCCCCAGGCTCCTCTGCCATGAGCCCCACCTGGGGCCAGCGGACTGAATCCGCTACGAAGAGGGTCCCAAAATAAACCTCTTCACCCTTAAACTGTGTGCATCACACACTGTGTCTCAGCCACAAGAATGACCAAGTTCAAGGAGGAAGAGAGGTGGTTTTGTTTTGTGTTTTGACTAAGTGGCCCAGACTGGCCTCACACACACGGTGATCCTCCTGCCTCAGTCTCCCCAGTGCTGGAACTACAGGTATGGGACACCACTCTCTCCCTGATAGGAGGAAGAACTTTGGACACGACAGAAGCCGGGTTCCCCAGCCTGGAGCCATCAGGGCAGCGCAGCCTGGCTGACCCAGGATACGTCACGATGCCCGCCAGCAGCCAGTAGTCGTGGCGCCGGTGCCAGATGTCGTAGATCTTCCCCGAGGACACCGCAGCCCGCTCCTCATTCTGCCACAAGGTGTGCAGCTCTGGGGGAGACAGCCAAAGTGAGCAGGAGGCCAGGGCCCCCACCCTGCTTCCGCTCGGAGCAGAGCCTGGGGAAGATAACCCTTCCCTCGCCCGACACAGGCCATCGGCCCATGCCCCAGGCTCATGGCTCAGGTGCTGCTAAACAAGGTCAAAAACTCAGTGGGCTTCTGCTAACCACTCACACTCTAGTATAAACGAGCCACCTGCGCAGACCCCAGGACTCCGTCCGTACCTGTGAAGCCACCGTCCGCAATGTTGAACATGAATTTGAATTTCCCGTTCTTGTCCTCTTTCTTGCCCTCCTCCTCTTCCTCTCTGTCACCATTCTGCTGGGACTCACTGGCCTCCTTCTCGTCAGTCTTGGAGTCATCTGTGGGGGACAGATCACACTCAGTGTCCATCTGGAAGGATACACCCTGTGCAGACAGAGCTCAGGGATGAGGACTCTGAAGGGACAGGACAAAGCACCTCTGTCCCAAACAGGGAGACTAGTTCCCGCCAGCCGGGGACAGAGTCCAAGATCACTGCACCAGTCCAACAAACAGAGGGAGAGGCTGAGGCAGGAGGATCTCCACAAGTTTGGGGCCAGCCTGGGTTATAACTGTGAGCTGACCTGAAGGCACTGTCCTAGAGGTCCATGCAAGGGAGCCCTACTCCTCTGGGCCACCTCTGGGAGCAGCTTGCCCCTCTCCGGGTGGCATCTGTGACCAGGCTTGGGACAGTTTGGGCAGCCTCTGCCAGTTCCAGTGAGAGCCCAGGAGCTGACCAGGGTCCAGGTGGCAGCCCAGAAAGGCCCACAGACATGCAGCAGAGTGCAGAGAAGACCCCCACACCTGGCCCGAAGTCCCCGCTGTCCCCTCTGCTGTGACTGAGGCTGAGGTCCAGCTTGTCCGGGGCCTTCTCCCTCTCGGGCAGTGTCTCCTCTGCAAGACAAGGGGCTGATGGGCTGAGTCCAGCAGGTACATCCTCCCTGCACTCCAGGTCACCCATCCTCCTCCCACACCCAGCCCTGGGGCCACGAAGGCCAGCAACACGGTGGGCCTAGGTGCCTGGCCTCTGTCTCAGACACCAGACACATACGGTGCTAGGGAGGGGGAGGGCTGGAGTGCAGGTCAGCGGCTGAGTGCCTGCCTAGCGTGTGTCAAGCCTGGGCTCCAGCCCATTACTGCAAAAAGCACATAATGATTACATATTCTAGAGAAGGCATCGGAAAGCACTCAGGAGAACAGGGCATGGTGGCCTCTGCATCCCCAGGTATTGGGAAGGCTGAGATAGGAGGATCACTTGAACCCAGGAGTCGAGAGACCCTGTTTCAAAAAAAAAAAGGCTCCCCCAGGGGAGCTCACAAGAAGAAAGGAAATCATCAGATTCCAGAAATGAAGGTGAAATTACAGCTAGAGATACACACGGTGGCATCTGGTGGCCCAGGCAGGGGTTACTGGGCACCGGCATAGGAAGCAGGCCTGATGCTTGGGGCTGGGGTGCCACACCCAGGCGGGACAGAGCCGGGGTTCAGCCAGCACCCCCAGCCACAGTGTGCTGTGAACCAGAGGAAGGAGAAGCAGGAGAGGTCAGCGCCAGGGAAAGGAGGTGCCCGGAGAGGGACATGAGCCCAAGGCACGGGGCCAGCCAGTGAGAGCAGCTCACCAACCAGCCCCAAACCCACCAGCGAGACCACCAGGCCTCGAGTTTCCAGAAACAAAGGGGGAGGGACAGGGCACTACCCAGGGAACAGGGTGTCGGCCCCGGCAAAGGAGAGGCCGCCCGAACCTAGGAAACCAAGGTCCTGTCCACCTCGGGCAAGTCCGCGCAGACAGGAGACCTCAGTCAAGTGTGGAGCTGATAACCCGAGGTCAGGGAGATGCTACGGGAGGTCTGTAGCCAGGCGTGGTGGTAGGCGCCTGTCACTCCCGCACTCAGGAGGCTGGGCAGGAGGTCGCTGCGAGTTCAAGTCTGTCCTGGGCTACACAATGAGTTCAAGGCCAGCCTGAGCTACACAGTGAGACCTTGTCTCAAAGGAGAAAGACCAAAAGGGGAAACAAAATCACTCCAGGGAAAGGAGTAAGGCAAAAAAAAAAAAAAAGGGAAAAGGCCAGATGAAACGTCTAGAAATAAAATACTTGGCTGTTAGCACGTTAACCGCAGATTCTACCTTATCCCTAGGACTTCCCGGCCACTGACCACCACGCCCGAGTGAGTCCAGGACCCTGAACAAGGTACTCACTCCCGCCGCTCTAGCTTGTCACGTGGCACAGCGACCCCGTGCGGCCTGACTCCCCCACACGAGCCCTTAGAGAGCCAGCGTTTTCTCTAAACACGTGCCAAAAACAAAAAGGAGTCAGGGTCTCCGAGAGGGCAGCGCGTCCGCGTGGGAGGCAGGGAACATGGCCCCAGTGGTAACCTCGAGCACCTGAGCTCAGCCAGCGCCGAGGAGCGCTCGGGAATGGCTCTCCCCGTTAGGGGACAACTCGGCTGCCTGCGTCTCAGAAACCCTGGCACGGAGCCCAGCCACACCGAGCCAGGCCTGCGCACACAGGAATACATCATGCAGTCGCACGACATCTGCAGGAAAGATGTAGCCGGGCACGTGGTGCACGCCTGTCATCCCAGCACTTGGAAGGCTGAGGCAGGCAGATCCCTGAGACTAGCCTGGTTACAAAGTTAGTTCAAGGAAATCCTGAACTACTGTAGCAAGACTCTCTCCCAAAACAAACAAACAAGCAAAAGACCTTCAGCCCAGGAAGCCCAATCTCTGCACACAGGACAAGTTAAAGCCCACGAGGAGAGAACCAAGACCCGCCACGGGGACACAGTAATGCCCGAAGCGATGCCAAGGCCAGAGGCCATGTGTGGTGGGCGTGTGGGCCCTGCCTGGCCCCTACCTTTGGGCAGCTGCTCCGGGGAGCCCTGGGCCTTCTCTGCCTCCTCCGGCCGCTCGTCACGGGCTCTGTCCTTGCTGTCCAAACTCTCCTGCTTGTCCTCCCCGTCCACTCTGTCCAGGACAGCGGGCGGGGCCTAGAAAGGGCATGCTCAGGGCTGCAGAGCCTGGGGCCTCAGCAGACACAGGAGGAGGGTGGGGAACAAGGGGGAGCCCGGGACCCTGACTGTGTCCCCTCCTGCAGCCTCAGATGCAGTAGCCAGGATGCCGGGTTTAAGCGGGCCAGGCAAAGCCAGGTAAGGGACCCAGATCCAGCCTCCTCCCACCCCTACGGCAGGCCAGATGCCGGAGACTCCCGTACCTGGGTTTCCAGAGGCTTCTTTGGCTTTGGCAGCCCTGGCTCCTTCTCCTCTACATAGCCCAGTGGGGCATCCAATTTGTCTGAAAGATGGAGGGAAAGGCTCAGTGGGAGAGGAAAAGGCCAGGGCCCAGCGATCCCAGAGCACCCAAGCCAGGCCTCTGACTAGGGCCGTGGTGCATCCTGGCAAAGAGAGGGCTGTCAGGACACAGTTGTGGTCATTCAGCCAGAAGCAGAGAAGTTGGGGCAGGGTCCAGACTGAGCCTGACGCTGGTCTGGTCCCACTTTCCAGCTGGCTGACTCTTTGGCTGAGCAAATACATCATGACCAGGAAAACACATAGAGACAAGTAAAAATGGCCAAAGGCTTGCCATGGTGATGCACACCGGTAACTCCAGCACTCTGGGAGGCTGAGGCAGAACAATCCCGGGCTTGAGTTCAGCCAGGGAAACTAGCAAGACCCTACCTCAAAATTTAAAAATAAAGCAGGAGTCGGGGGACTGGGGATGGAGTTCAGTACAAAAGCCCTGTGTTCAATCCTCAATAACCACAAGAACAAGATAAAATACAAATGCCAGTGGATCTGCAAAGATGTGTCTTCAGATATAAAAATAGCGCATAAGCACAAGAAAAAATAGGCGCTCCAATCCCCAGCCATCGGGGAAACACAGACCACAACCACGGCGAGCCAGCATTTCACAGCAGCCAGAGCCTCAACCCACCGGCAGGAGAGCACGAGGGCCCCTCGGAGGGCCCACAGCTGCCACTCCCAGGGGTGCGCCCGGGGGGAATGGGAACCTGAGCGCACAGCGGTGGGCACAGAGGCTCATCACAGAGCCCTGCAAATCCCCCCAAGTAGACACAACCACGTCCTCCGTCATCGTCGAACGGATCAACAGCACGTGAAACGTCACCTGACCACAGAAGGGATGAAGAACTGATACCCAAGCCAGACGTGTTGGCACACCTGGAGCCCCTGCACTCAGGAGGCTGAGGCAGGAGGGTCACCCCGAGTCCAAGGCCAACCCGGGCTACACAGTGAGTTCAAAGGCAGCCTGGACTACATAGTAACACCCTGCCTCAAAAACAAAAAAAAGTACAGATGGAGCTTCCATGTGGATGGATCTCCCCAGGGGCTCATCAGATCACACAGTGAACAATTCCCCGGCAGACCCTGGGGCTGGGGAGGTCAGCACTGTCAAGAGCTCGGGGCGGGACACAGGAAGCGGCTGCCAATGACCAGGAGCACCGGCTTACTGGAGGGATTAGAATGTTCTGGCTCTGAGATCAGGACTGTGTGGAACTCTGCTGCTGTGTGCAGCTCTGAGAGTTCCTCCTGCTGTGGCTCATGCCTAGATGTCCCCCAAAGTTTCCTGTTGGCAGAGGTGAGGCTTTTTCAGAAGTGGCTAGATCTAGAGTACGTGACGCTGGGATTGATTCACGGTGCAGTGCTAGACTGAAGGGCACCAGGATTAAGAATGTGAGTGCTGCCCGCCCTGAGCAGCCTGGCTGAGATAAAAGGGCAGAAAGACACTGCTGAGGTCCTTAGTCATTCTGCTGTCTCCTTCCCACCACGCACTGCTTCTCCTCTGTGATGCCCCTCTGCCCCGTACCACCTTCCGTGGAGCCAGCCAACTGGACTAAAACCTCTACAAACTGTGGTCCAAATAAACCTTTCCTCCTTTAACTTTGGCATTTTGTCTCAGCAATGAGAAAAGTAACTAAGACAGGATTTGGTGCCAGAGAAATAAGGTTATTGCTGTACGTGACCATGGGGTTCAAGAATTTTTGGGTCTGGCTTGTGGGAAGAGTTTGGAATGGTTCAGAGATGCCAGAGCTGAACACCTGGCTGAACTTGATGGGAGATCCTGGTCCGAGCCCAGAAGATCACAAGGCTGATAGAAATCCTGCCAGTAAAGACCAACAGTGGGAAGTTTCTGCTGGGAAGAAGGACAGCATTGGCTGCTGGACTCCAGACCATGTGTGCTATGCCTTGGCAGAAAGTTTGTCTGCATTTTGCTTGTGTCCAGAGACTTTGCCTGAGACTGAGATTAAGGATGGCAGACTAAGAAATTTCAAGGCAGTCTAATGTACATGCAGTGGTATGGCTACTCCTGGGGGGTGTTGGCAAGCTTTATGTTGAAAATAAAAAGCAAAAACCCCAGCAGAATGACTTAGAATGTTTTAAATTTGGCCAGAAAGGAAACTCCAGTAAACTGGCAGCCTGAAAAGATGGAACACAGGAAAACCTGGTCACTGAAAACACTAGCCAAAGAAAGACAAGTAATTTCAGAAGACAATAGAAAAGACAGCCTCAGGACACCACAAGCACAAACAGGACTGCAGCCTCTGCACCTTCAGAGCTGCAAAGGTGAGAGATGCTTTGAGACAGAACCCCAGAGCACCAGGCTCCAGCGTGGCAGCAGCCTAGGGAAGTTGTTCCTGAGGATTTGGTTCACAGGCACTGGACACTTGCAGCCAAGACAGGAGGAAGGCTGGCCACTACTCAGCTGGAGGGAGACCCCAGCATCATTGACATGGCACTGGTTTTATACGCAAACAGAATGTAACAGTTGTAGGGTCAGGAAGGCTTCCAATGAGATTTCTTAAGGCCTGGGAGGCCAGGCAGCGTGCCTCTGAGAGGGCAGCGTGTGAAGCTGATGGTGCAGAGTTTGGAGAAGCCAGGAAAGTGGATCATCTGAGGAAAACTGCAAGGAGGGAGCAGAGCCGGCCCCAGAGAGAAGCCATGGGAGCCACCACCGCTGGCAGTGGTGATGGGTGGAGCCACCCGAGCCCTTTGGAGTTCACGTTACCACAGATTGCCAGAGCTGCTGGGAGTGGAACTGGGAGATTTAACGTTTGCCCTGCTGAATTTTGGTCTTGCTTTATTCTCATCTCTTGCTATCCCCATTTATAACTTTTGCAATGGAAATATTTATCTTGTGCCATAGAATTTGGAAGAGTCTAAATTTCTTTTCATTTGCACAGGGTCTCACAGCTCAGAGTTTGCCTTAAATCTCAGAGGAGACTTTGGACTTGGACTTTTCAGCAATGCTGAAACTACTAGGACTTTGGCAACTCTTAGACATGGACCAAATGCATTCTGCATGAAGGGATGTGCATGAATCTTTGGGCCAGGGATGGCTTGTGTCTAGATGTTCCCCCAAGCTTCGGGGTCACAGGTGGGGCTTTCTCAGGGATTTAGTGGGTAACACTGGTATTGCCTCATGCTGCAATGCTAGACTCAAGGGCACTATGATTAAGGGTGAGTGTCACCTGCTAGAGACCTCGGCTAAGATGTAAGGGACACATCTGTGGATGTCCCTTGCTTGCTTGGCTACCTTCTGCCTACCATGAACTTCAATGCGTCTGCCATGTGCCTGCCTGCTTTGGAGCTGGACAATTATGGACTGAAACCTCTACAAACTGTGAGCCAAATAAATCTTTCCTCCTTTAACTCTGGGTGGTCTGTATCTTGCCTCAGGAAGACAAAAGGAACTAAGACTTCTTAGAAGAGGAAACTGTGTCATGTGTAAAGAACTGGATCCCAGGGGCTGGGGTTTAGCTCAGTGGCCTGAGTGCCTGCTTGGCAAATGTGACGTCATGAGTTCAATCCCCAGCACCAAAAAAAAAAAAAAAAAGAATTGAATCCCAACACCACTGTCAAAAGAAAACTGCTGTGTACAAAGATGTTTCTGTAGTGGACACTTCCACTTGGGAAGCTGGTTTTGATTTTGGTTTGGTTTGGTTTCTGGTACTGAAGATTCAACCTAGGACCTTCACACTGAGCTTCATCCCCAGCCCCTTTTTATTTTAAGACAAGATCTTGAGTCTCTAAATTACCCTGGCTAAACTGGAACTTGGGATCTCCCTGCTTCAGCCTCCCAGAGTGCAGGAACCCCCATACACAGTGTGCAGAGGACTCAGGGTGACTGTGGCTCAGCCCTCGGGTGATCCAGGTGCCCCCCGCCCATCTGGGTCCCAGACCTGGCAGGCCCAGTGGGGCAGGTGGCAAGTGGGCAGGGCTGGCGGGAACCGGCGTGTTGGGGTCTGAGGAGATGGCTTCACTTGGCTTCTTGACCTCGGGTCCCTCAGGGACCAGGTCCGGGGTGCTGTACTTGCCATTGACGTGCTCGAACTCCTGAACCTGGGGAGAGGCGGGGACCAGGGTGGTGGTGGCTCAGCCCTAAGGGCCAAGGGGCAGCCTGCAGGACCAGAGGTGTCACAATCTTACAGGCAGGGAGGTGAGGGGATGTCCCTGCCCCGGGCTGACCAAGACAGACTGGCGCTGGCCACGAACTCCCCTGCCAGTTCCCCCGCACCCTCCTTAGCCCCGTGACCCGTGGTCCTGCCCTCAGCCCCCTAGAACCCTCACTCCGGGTTGGACCCTGAACAACCTGTGTCCCGAGCCGGGCACTGGGCCTCTGCCCGCTGACCCCAGGGCGGTGCCAGAGCCCATGTGATGTGAGGCTTACTCACCCACCTTCTTCCTAACCAGTGACATGACCCCGATACGCGTGAGCACATGCTGCCTGGACAGCCCTTCCCGGGGCACGCCGTCCGCGAAGGTCTCCGCACCGTCCGCCCCCGGCTCACACAGGTGCCGCATGAAGAGGGACACATAGGCTCTGGGGTGGGGGGACCGGCGCTCAGGGCTCAAAGGCTTGGGGGCAGAAGAACCCCAGAGGAACTCCCGCCTGCCTCCCAGCCGGTCTGCCGGCCCTGTCCCAGCAGAGGACTGAGGGGACCCTCCAACAGGGACCACAGGATGGCTGCCATCATACCAGCTGCTGGGGCCCAGGGCTGGCAGGAGTTTTCTACAAAGCTGCCGTGCCCAGCACCCCACCCCAGGCCTAGGCCACAGCACTCAGGAGGAGCCTCCCAGGGCAGGGGAGGGCTCAGTCCTTACCTGAACTCCTTCTCGCTCTTGCCCCGCAGGTCCCTCACGAGCCAGTGGGAGTTGAAGGCGTCCTGGGGCGGCATGCCCCAGCGCATGATGGCGTTCAGGAAGGCCTTCCGCTGCCGTGCATTGAAGCCCAGCACCTGGGCAAGGTGGTCAGCAGGTGGGTGGACCCGGGTCAGGGACAAGGTGGGCATGGAGAATGTGGGGGTGCAAGAAGAGGAGGGGGGACCTTCAGCCAACCCCCGGACCCACTTCCACCCTCCCATAGATGGCAGGAAAAGGCCACAAGAGATGGGGTGCAGGCGGGCCCCACCTCAATGTTGCCCCCAACTCGAGCAAGAAGAGGCGGCAGGGGTTTGTCCCTGTCACTCTTGAGCTGCCTCCTGGATTGTCGCCGTCCACCTAGGGAGCAGCCCAGCACAAATCCTCAGGGGAGGGCCTGGGCTCCCAACCCCATCACCACCACGTCCCAGGCCAGCAGGACCCCCGGTGGACCCCAGCCCAACCCCACGCGGCCACCAGCAGCTCCCACTGGCTCCTGCAGCAGCAGCACTGACACTCACTCTGGCCCTCCGGCCTCTCCTCGAAGTCCTCGTCCTCGTCTTCGGAGCCAATGGAATACTCAGACTGGTTGTCCGAGAGCTCGTCCTGCCACTCTGCGGGTGCCGGGCACAGGGGCACAGAGTGAGCAGTGCAAGCTGAAGTCACCTCGGCCCCCGCCCTACGTTCCTTTCCCACTGACAGGAAAGCTGGGACCTCAGGGGCGGCACCAGCCCGGCCCGGCCGTGCCCGTGCCGGCGCTCACCCTGGTCCTCCTGGGAGGCGTCGTTGTAGTTGACCTGCTTCCGGATGCGCTTGCCCTTGCCCAGGTTGCGGGCCAGGTCCTCCTGCTGCTGCTCGTAATGGTGCCGCAGCAGCTTCTCCCAGTAGTCAGGGTCTACGTTCTCCTCCTGCTTGATCACCTCCCGCTCAACCTCCTCCTGGGGAGGCCGCAGGCGTGGGGTTAGCAGGGCAGCCTGGCCAGGCAGGCATCCCTGGCTCTGGGGGGGCCTCTGGCCACCTCTGCCAGCTTTGGGGTGCAGGCCTGAATGTGGCCCTGCCCTGCCTTCAGGGCTCCTGCTCCCAAAGGAACTGCTGGTGGACCCTCAGGGTCTGGGACAGTAGCAGGAGCTCGGGGAGGTACAGGGGCCTCCAGGAGGAGCCCTTGTCAGGGAATCGGGGCCAACAGCACGGTGGAGAAGGGAAAAGATGCGGCCGGTGCCAGGCATACTCTGGGAAGGGGACCCTGCCCAGGAGGTGGCTTGAGGTGGACCGGGTCAGGTATGCGGGACCAGCTGGGCAGGACCTGAAATCAGCCCTGGGCAAACTTCTACACGGAGTGGCAGATCCCTGGCATTGCAAAGAGGTGGGGTGAGGAAGCTGGAGCCCAGGCAGGAGGCCACAGCTGGCGTCCCAAAGGCCTCAATGGGTCTGGAGGTTACAACTCCTTCAGTACGATCTCAACCAGAGGGCACCCGCGGGGCCTGGCATGAGGGGGTGGGGTTTGTGGGGTGGGCGGTGCCACAATGAGGGTGGGGCCATGACAAGGGGTAAGGTGCAGGGGCGGGGCCACCGCTAGGGGGCGGGGACACCGCAAGGGATTCTGGGGACCTTACCACGCCATCCTCCTCGCGCACCACGTACTGCGCCACCTTGAAGGAGCTCAGATACTCATTCATATTCTGCAGCTCCGTGTCGTCTGTAGCATCCTGGTTCCTATCCAGCAGCTTAGAGATGGCCGCATCGTCATAGTGGATCACACTGCTGTCCTCCACGTCCTTGTTGTCACCTGAGGGGTGGAGTTTGGAGTGGGGACACAGAGGCAGGGTGATCAGGTCCCGCTCCCAGCAGTGGCCCTTCCTGGTCCCCTCTGGCCAGGGAACAACGCAACCAAACATGGGCTCAGCAATGCGCTTGGTCACAACACCCGAGTGGGGTGGCAGGAACCTGTTGGTCTCCTAGAGCAGCCCTACCTGGTGGGGTGCTACCGTGCTTCTTCTTGGCACTGGCGGCCAGGGCGCCACCCTTGGAGGACTGCATGTCAGGAACGGGTGTAACAGGCCTCTGGCCCTGGGACATCATGCCTGGAGGGCAGAGCAGGAGGCTGCTGGTCGGAGCAGAGGGCTGCACGGGGGCAGGCAGCAGGCAAACCTCCCACCAGGCCCCACTCGGGCAAACCCTGGAAGGAGACACGGCAGGGAACAGGAGGGACTGCGGTGGGGCCTGTGGGACCACCCGGGCCCTGCTGCGCCCCACGGGAGGGAGGAGGCCCACCCTCCACGTCGTCCTTGAAGAGCTCCTCCGTGCCGAACTTGAGGATGTCGTCCAGCTCCTGCTTGGTCATGGAGCCTGACTTGGAGCCCAGGCCGGGCCGCACCACCAGGTGGGTCAGCATCATCTTGCGCTTGGCCACCTGCGTGATGCGCTCCTCCACTGACGCCCGAGTCACAAAGCGGTAGATCATCACCTTCTTGTTCTGCCCGATGCGGTGGGCACGGCTGAAGGCCTAAGGAAGACGATGAGGGCTCTGGGCACAGGGCCGGGTGCCATGGGGTGCGGGGCTGGCAGCGCACCGGGAGGCAGGCGTGCCGGGTCTGCAGGAGGCTGGGTGCAGCAGCAGCCTCATGTCTCTGACGGGGCTGCGCCTCCCCGTGTGTCAGGATCTAATGCCCACAGGGACAGGAGCGGACACACAGCCGCCTTCTGAGGCCGCGAGGCCTGGGAACAGCCCTGGGCAGTGTGATGACAGCTGCATGGGGCCCCGGCCTGAGGGGACCCTGTGCCTGCGACCGTGTGCAGGTGTGCCTGAGACACAAGTGAGAAGCCCGGCCAAGAGGGCACAAGCACGGGAGCTGAGGGAGAAGCTGCTGACCTGGATGTCATTGTGCGGGTTCCAGTCCGAGTCATAGATGATGACCGTGTCTGCTGTGGCCAGGTTGATGCCCAGGCCACCCGCCCGGGTGGACAAGAGGAAGCAGAACTGCTGGGCCCCTGGGGCTGGGGAGAGAGGCCAACAGATGGGGTCAGAGAGCAGGAGCAGGGGCTGGTGGGTGATGGGCGCAGGCAGGGGGACAGCAGGGTGCGGACTGCGGCGTGAGTCCCTAGCAGAGGACAGTTCTGAAACCCATCACTGATGGGCAGGCACCCACACTCAGGAGGCCAGGAGCCCACATGAGGCTGTGCAGCCCCCAGAGGTGCCCTGAGTCCCGGTCCAGGGGGAGGAAGCCACACACTGCCCAGAGCCACCTGTCACTGGGGTTTATCTAGTGATGTCAGCTAGACCTCAGAGCCAGCTTCATTCAGTGACAGAGGTGACATTTTTCTCCCCCACCTGCTTTTCTTCTTGTCCACTTCTAATTCTGCTCAGAGCAGTGGTACTTGCTGGGCCTCCTAGTACTCCAGTGGACCACCAAAAGTCCCTCGGGGGTAAATCCTTTTAGCATTTAAAGCTAGGGCTCTGCTCCCCTCAGCTCTTAGCAGAGCAGTTAATGGATTACCAGGTGGGTCCCTGTGAGAACCCCCAACAGTGAGATACCATTGAATCTGTCGATCGCCTCCTGCCGCAGACCCCCAGTGATGCCGCCATCAATCCTCTCGTACTTGTAGCCCTCATACTCCAGGAAGTCCTCCAGAAGGTCCAGCATCTTGGTCATCTGCAAGGGAGAGAACATATGAGAGGTGCCAGGAGCCCCATGGGACATGGACAGGGACCCACTGCAGTGGGGAGGAGACAGCAGCCCACTGAGGGTAAAGGTAAGTGGAACCCAGGCAGGGCTACAGCAGGACTCGGTGGGGAATGGGGCCTCCGACCTCACACCGGGCAGCCCATCCACCCACCTCAGCCTCTCAGAGTGAGTCCCGGCTCCTCGCCTGCACTCAAGACTCTGCCGGCCCAGTGCTCCCTTCCTCCCCCAGTCCATCCCAGCCCCGGGTCTCTTCCTGGAATACCCAGCCCTTACTGCCCATCAGCTCTTCTGCCATGTGTCCCTGTCACCACCTTCCCGGGACAGAAAGCAGTCCCTTCTGAGTGCCCATAACCACGTCTATTCCACAGCGGCCTGGGGGTAGTTTAGCTGGGTATGAACCTCAACCAAAGGTTCCCCGTGGTGAACGGAGACAATGCTGCCGTAATCACCACCACCTGTCTTCTTGATGTGAGCCTGAAGACTGTCTGGCCCTCTCTCCGTTGTAGGTTCCAGGTCAAAAGCACTGCACTTCCCCTGCAAGGTGCCTACAGGCCGGTGAATCAACGCTGTCCTTGCTTGTGCTCCACAATGTCCTGTAGGTCTGAGACCTCGTTTTTCTCCCAGTCTGCAAACTTTGTCCAAGTCTGCTTTGCACAGTCTGTTGTTTTCTCCTGAAATCCCTATCAGATGATTTCCAGAGCCTCCTAAGACACCATCCATGCTTTTTTCTGATTTTATGTTTGCCCCTCCACCCTGTATCCTGGGAAATCTCTCCGCACCATGCTTTACTTCAGCAGTGTGCACCGGGAGCTTATCCACTCATAAACGCAACTTATCTGCTCTTCCTTCACCGCCTGCTTTTGCCTCATTTCTTCTTGGTTCCTGGGTGTCTGCCATGAGGACTCTTAGTCTGAGAACCCTACGCGTGTCTGTTCAGTCCTTTTCAGGCAATCCTACTGCAGTTTTTATTTGGACTCCAGGTACAGCTTTGCGGGATATGTCTGCATCCTGTGTGACGACAGGCTGTGGAGCTGGGCCTCTGAGGCTCATCCTGCTGCGCACATGTAGGGCTTGCCCTGTTCCTTCTTCCGGGGCTCTCCGGATCGCCCACACTTGCGTCTGACACTGGTAGCAGTGTCAAGGGATTGTGAACCTGTCTCCCAGCCACCCCCTGTCACAGGCGTGGTCTGCTCTCCTGGAACCCTGCAGCTCATCACCCACCGAGGGTACATCAGAGGCAGCAGGGACCAGTAGGCGTTTCCACTTGACTTTTGTTTACAGAGGAGCTGAATCCCCGATTCTGGCTTTGAGCAATGCGCCTGGCTCTGTCTGTCCTAGGGGAGCCTTTTTATCCCTGGAATCCTCCAGGTTATGACTGTAACACAGCTGAGCTGAGTAAGGCTAAGCTGCCTTGTGAGCGGTCTGCCAATCTAGACTGAGAAGCTTGAGGGAAGGGAGCGCGTCCTCTGCACCCCTGATGTGTGGCACACACACAAAGGGATGCAGATAAAACAGGCAACGCAAAGCTGGATGGCCCAGCCGCTGACCGTGCACAGGCAGTGCTGCCGAGGGCCCTCACAGGGCACAGGGAAAGGACCCTGGACACCAGACCCTAGCTGGGGGGGGGGCATCAGGACTGGAGAGGCTCGGGCGAGGCTGGCCCTCGACCTCCAGGGCAGGACGCCCGGCCCACCTGGGAGAAGATGAGCACCCGGTGCCCCTCGTCCCGCAGCTTCTTCAGCATCTTCTGCAGCAGCATGAGTTTCCCTGAGGACTTGACCAGGGAGCTGCCATCGTAGGAGCCGTTGGGCAGCACAGGGGCTTCCTGCAGAGCAGCAGAAGAGGGACTCTGGGGAGCTCTCCTCTGGCTGGGCACCAAAGGGGACAAGTCACGGGCCACGCGGCTGTGTCTTCAGATCCGTGTTCCCAGGCAGGTACAGACCTGCCACCCTGCCCTGGCCTTACTCCCTGGCTGAGAAGTCAGGAAACAGTGAAGCCAAGCTGGCCTTCAGTGTCCATCAGGGCCAACCTCTGACCCCAGGGAGGCGACACCCATGGTGCCACACTAGCACCAGCAGGATCTGCGGGTGGCCTGAGCCATGCACCCTAGCCCAGCTCCGCCACCTGGTTCTTAGAGCTGAGTGAGGAGAAACTGTAGAGGGCCTAAATTAGAAGCCGGCAGGCAGGGACACTGGTGGTGGTGGTGATGCCCGGCCCAGAGCCTGAGCTTTGTACCAAGCCTTTCCATGGGGATGTCCTCTTCAGCCCCACCCCACAGCTAGTGGACGCTCCGCAGTGGCCCAAGGAGCCCACGCAGGGGCAGCGGGCACCTACCACTGCAGCCACAGGGAAGAGGTAGGGGTGGTTACAGCACTTCTTCAGGTCCATCATGATGTTGAGCAGCGACACCTGGTTCCCGCCCCCCTTGGAGTTCAGCGCCTCGAAGTTCCGTGTGAGGATGAACTTGTAGTACTTCCTGAGGGGACAGCAAGGCGCGCTGGACGCACTGGCCCTGGTGGGCCTCTGGGGGGGTGCGCGCTGCCCTCCCAGGACATGGGGCACTCATGGTGGCCAGGCGCTACTAACAGAGCACCCTGGGGAGCCCCCAGAGGTGAAGCCATGGAACCAGAGTCACCCAGCAGGTTACTGGGGGACACCGCCAGAGCTCAGAGCTGAGAAGACACCTCCGGAAGGAAGGGGTACCAGAGGTGAGCCAAGGCGGCGGTGTGGGAGAAGCGCCCCACTAGTCAGCCCAGGAAGGTCAGGTGGGGCCCAGGGACAGGACAACAGGCAGCTGCCTGGGCGCGGCCTCACCACTCACTTCTGCATCTGGCTCAGCTCCACGCGCACGATGAGCTCCGTCTTGGCCGGCATGTTCTTAAACACGTCCGCCTTGAGCCGCCGGAGCATGTGCGGCCCCAGCAGGTCATGCAGCTTCTTGATCTGGTCCTCCTTGGAGATGTCGGCAAACTCCTCCAGAAAGCCCTCCAGGTTGCTGCAACAAAGCGCGGGCTAAGAAAAGGGGGACAGAGGACAGGAGCACAGGCCAGCGGCCTCCCTCCATCGAGGGCAGAGGATGGGAGTGGGGAAGACGCAGCCTGAGTCTCCTTCAAAGCCCGAGTGACCCAGGTGTCCCAGCCCTCCCTCTCTGCCATCCCCCAACCCGTCCTGGACAAGAGCTTTCCAGGGCTACCGGCAGATTACAGATTAGGAAGCCGAGGCTAGAAGGGCCTGAAGCTGGGAAACCCACCAGAGCCACAAGCTGCTTTCTAAATCCAAGACTGGCAGACTCCCCTGGAACCCCCTCTCCGGGCAGGAAGATGGGTAGGGGAGACGAAGAGGATGGAGGGGGGAGCCGTGTGAACCCACCCCCGGCCTGGCTTGGTGCTCCCAATTCACTGATGAGAAGATAGTACCCAGCAGGCAGGTCTTGCCTCGTCCAAACGGGGCCCCAGCCCCCCAGGCACACCCGGGGCACTCACTTGAACCTCTCCGGGGTCAGGAAGTTGAGGAGATGGAAGAGCTCCTCCAGGTTGTTCTGAAGGGGGGTTCCCGTCAGCAGCAGCTTGTAGTCGATCTTGTAGCTGTTCAGGACCCTGAAAAACTTTGGGGAGGAAAGGGGGGCCCGGTCAGGGGGTGCAGGGAGGGCCTGTTCAGGTGGCCCAGCCGTGCAGCCACTGCCGCCCACCTTGGACTGGTTGTTCTTGAGCCGGTGGGCCTCATCCACCACAAGGCAGGCCCACTCAATGGAGCCCAGGATGGCCTGGTCGATGGTGATGAGCTCGTAGGAGGTGAGCAGGACGTGGAACTTGATCTGCACTTCTTTCTGGAAAGAAAGAGAAGTGCTGGAGGGCGCAGCTGGGGGTAGAGGGGACCAGAGTCCCAGGAGACAGAGTCAAGGGGGAGGGGTAGAGCCAGGTGTGGTGGTGCACACCCATGATCCCAGCTCCTCAGAGGCTGAGGCAGGAGAATCGCCATATGTTCAAGGCCATTCTGGGCTGCATAGTGAGTTCAAGGCCAGCCTGAACTGCATATAGACAGCTGTCACAAAAAGCCAAATGATTAAAAAAAAAAAAGTATGGACAGGAACCTCAAAAAGACTCAAAAGAGCCCCAAAAGTGGAGGGGGGGACACCAGCCACTAGCCAAAGGGGTCATCTGGCCTCAAATGGAAAATGTTTGGGAAACAAAATTGTACCCACAGTAAAAAATGTGCAGTTTGAGCCAGGTGTGAAGGTGTATGCCCGTAATCCCAGCACGCAGGAGGCTGAGGCAGGAGGATTGTTGCAAGTTCGAGACCAGGCTGGGCTACAAAGTGAGCCCAAGGCCAGCCTGAACTGCATGGGGAGACCCGGTCTCAAAAAGACAAAAAAAAAATGTAGGGTTTTTTGGTTGTCCTCACTTCCTCACAACGGGACCAGGCAAATGCAGGGAATGACACTTGTCAGGAGCAATGTCATAAGGCAGAGATGACAGAGTGCACGGGAGGAGGGCGCAGGCCACACAGGTCCCGCACCACTTCCTAGAAAGCGCCTGGACAGGCGGGTGTGGGCACTGCGCCCTCTCCCCGCCCTTGGGAGCCGCGTGAGCTCCTCCCCTGCTCCCCACTGAAGCCCACGGGCCTCTACTCGGAATCTTCATGCTGTCTCATGTTCACTGATTTGAAATTCTAAGGCCTTCAGGCGCCATTTGTACGAGAAGCCCGGTGGGATGGTGATGTGTGCCCTGATCTGAGGTCCTGCGTCCCTTGGACCTCCAGTCCTCAGCCTCCCACACCTCGCGCCTGCCCAGGGCTACTGCCACACTCAGGCTGGACCCGGGTGCTGGTGGGGAGGGACCGGTCCACACCTGCCCCCACTGCAGGAGGGCTCCCGGGGCCAGGGACTGCACACCCAGTGAGCCTGCGCTCAGAGCATGCGACATTCAATAGCTACAACTGATGGTGGCAGGCTATGAAGGGAGAGGAGGAAAAGCACTGGGTCACAGTGGCCGCCAGTAATCCCAGCTGTCCAGGAAGCTGAGGCAGGCGGACCACAAGGTGGAGCCCAGGCTGGGCAACCAGTGACTCTGGTCTTGCCTCCCTGGGGCTCCCGGGTGCCTCCCAGGGGCTGAGCGCGGTCACCTTCATGCGGAACACCTTCTTCCCGCTCCGAATGGCATTGTCCTCAAAGGAGAACTCGTTCTCGCGGATCACGGAGCGGCTCTCCTTGTCCCCCGTGTAGGTGACCACGTAGAAGTCCGGCGCCCACATCTCGAACTCGCGCTCCCAGTTGATAATGGTGGACAGGGGTGCGCTGACCAGGTAGGGCCCCTTGGAGTGGCCCTGTGGGAGGGCAGCAGAAGCAGTGAAGCTCCCTCCGGGGGCCGTACCCAGCCCCACCCGCCCGCCGCTGCCCGCCCAGCCGCCCACCTCTTTGTACAGGGAGTAGAGGAACACGATGGTCTGCACTGTCTTCCCCAGGCCCATTTCATCGGCCAGGATGGTGTCGGTGCCCTGTGCCCACGAGAAGCGCAGCCAGTTGAGGCCTTCCAGCTGGTACGGGTGCAGCGTGCCACCCGTGGCATCGATGTACCATGGCTGCTTGTCAAACTTGACTGTGGGCTGCAGGAGAAAGAGGCCCAGAGGCTCGAAGTCCTGGCCACCCAAATCCACCCTCCGGGCCTGCGCACTCGAGACTGCCCCTGCTGCCCGCCCTGCTGACTCTCCTGCAGATCGGGCCACACCTCCATGCTGCTCCAGCCCTGGACTCCTCCCAGCGGGGAAATCCCCTGGCCGTTGACTCTCTGCTTGTGACCCCAGCACATCATGACCACGTGGCTCCTGCTCCCTGCTTCCTCCCAGCCCCAAACATGTCCTGCCTGGGCACAGGGCACTTGATGAGACTGTCCAGGGCCTGCTTGGTGCCCTCAGGCCCAAGTCCAGGCTTGTGCTTGGTGGACTGGACCCACAGGGAGCCCCTGCAGTCAACCTTATCCCTGCCTGGTCCCCACAGGGAGCCTTTGTTCTTCAAACAGGGCCAGGGCCTTTTAACCCATGCTCCTCGTGCCAGGGCCCTTTAACCCCATGCCCCTCATGCCAGCCCTGCAGCAGGCCCAGCAGACACCCCAGAGAGGGCCACCCTGGAGCCCCTTGTTCACGCAGTGGGCTAAGTAGCAGCTCAGCTGTTGGTCCCGCTGAAGCCTCCCTCCCCACTACCCCATCCTGCGTGGCTGTGACTCTGGACACACAGCCAAGAGGGCACGAGGACAGGCCCCACTCACGTCCACGATGGGCGTGTCCGGCGGCTTCTCCTGTTTGTCGTCCTTCAGCTTCTTGCCCTTCTTGATGAGCCGCTTGGGCAGCCGGGCGTCCTCCCCCAGCATCAGCTCCCTGGGAAAGAGCGAGGCACATGGCTGAGCAAAGCTGGAGCCAGGAGGGGTGCCCGGCCAGCGCCCGGCAGCTGGGTGGCACTGCCCACCTGTGGCCCCAGTATGCCTGCTTAAGGCTGTCGTAGTAGGGGATGTCGATGTCATCGATCTCCCAGGTGCACTGGTCGTAGGGCAGGTCTTTCCACTTGATCAGGTAGTGCACGTCCCCCTTCTTGTCGAAGCTGCAACACAAAGAACTGGCGGTGGGAGCAGCGGCCACAGGGTGGTGCGGGGTAGAGCCTGGCCCCTGGCAGGACAAAGAACAGCCCTCTGGGATGAGTCTGGGAAAGGGTGCCAGGGCAGTGGCTCCAGAGAAGTGCAGGGGGCCTTGGCTGAGGTCACACAGCTCGGGGTGGGGGCGGGGGGAGTCCACTGTGAGGGACAGAAGCAGAGCAAGGGACAGAGACGCCACAAGCCTGCCTCTAGCATCCTGCAGAGACAGGCACCCATGGACTTTGCCTTCTTCGCTGTTTGGTTTTTTCTTTTGGTTTTTGAGACAAGATCTATGTTAGCCTCAAACTCACCACAGTCCTCCTGCCTCAGCCTCTCATCACCATACCCGACTGTGTTTCCTAACCTAAAAAATCCAAAGGCCTAAGGCAGGGCCCAGCCCTGGTGATGGGCCCATCGCTGCACAGAAGGCGAGAAGCCATGCCTGCTGCGGGTGGCTTCCTACACACACCCCAGGGATACCAAGCCCAACAGTGGCCGCTATGGGGTGGCAGAGGGGGTCCTCCAGGCCTCCCACACCCCATTCAGTGGATCAGGACACCAAGCCAGAGGGCCACAGCACTGTTAAGTGGCAAGCACACAGATGGGGGGCAGGGGCTACAGCTGGCCTGGGGACCATTAAGAGCCAGGCCAATCCTCAGTCACCAGGAAACCAGTGGATTTGCTTTTTTTCAATAAGTAACGAGATGCTATGCAAACTCAGAGGAATAAACCTGTCCCACTTTGGAGGCACTGAAAAGCTGCTGTATGTGCTCTGGGCGTGCAGGCTGATAAGGCAAAAAATGGGGGTCAATGCCACAGGACTCAGGCTTCTGGGACTTGGGGTAGAGCAGCATGTCCAAGTTCAAGTCCCTCACCACTGCTGGCCATGCTAGTGGGCCCCTAGTGAGCTCACAGCAGCCCCTATCCTCCAGCTCCTCTCCTGGAGTTACTCCCCGTGCTGCCTGCTCCAGCCTCCCAAGGCTCCACCACCTGAGGACTTTCCAGTCTGCTCCACTAAGGGCTGTGGAGGAGCATCGGGGGTCAGAACGGGAGTCCAGAAAGTAGAGCCTGCTCTCAGAAAGCACTGGGTTCAAATCCTAGCTCCTCTAGCTCAGCCGTGGGGCTCAACCTTGCCATGCCTGTCCTCGCCTCTGCGTCTCAGGGTGGTTATAAACACAGGGAGGCACCTGTCCCCCAAGCCAAGGGCCTTTGCTAGGCACCGAACACTCACCCAGCAAGAGTCCTGTTTCCTGCAGGACTCCCCGCTTATGTCTGTGACCCTGGCCTCCCCCTGGACAGTCTGATGGTCAGCAGAGCCGCCCTCGGCCTCCCCTCCTGCCCCGCTGCAGCCACACATGGGTCTGAATGGCAGCCTGAGCGCGTGGCGCACACCTGTGGTTCAGGATGCGGTGGACCATCATCCACTCGGGCTTGATGCCGTAGCGGTAGAAGCGCTCCTCCATCTTGGCGTAGAGCGGGTCCTTGTTCTTCCTCTTCTCGCTCTTGCCCTCCTCATCCCCAGAGCCGTAGTCGAAGGGCGGCGGCTCGTCCATGTCGTTCTTTCTTTGGTAGTTGCGGTACATCACCGTGTGGTACAGTTCCAGCTGCTCCGAGCGGGCACAGGAAGTCAGGCAGACGGCCTGAGCCCTGGCCCCTGGCTTCGCCCCCACCCTGGCGACCGGCAGCTCGGGGATGAGCAGGGCCACACCTGCCGGGTGTCTCACCTGCAGCTCCTTCACCCAGGAGCAGTGCCAGTAGGACAGCCCCGCCCACTTGACAAAGAACTCCCTCTCCGGGATGCCCTCCAGGGGCTTGGGTGGGGGCAGGCCCGGCTCCACCTCGGGTCCCGGCAGCCCGACCATGAAGGGCGCTGGGGGCTCCGTCCACCGCCAGTGTAGAATCCGCTGGACTTTGCCCTTCAGCGGGGGACACTGTAGATAGAAGAGGGTCCCCAAGTTCAGGGCTTAGCAGCTGCCTGGCTCCATCCTGAGGCTACCACAACAGGCCCTTGCCACCCAGGCACGGGCCCCAAGTGAGTGCTGCGGTGACCCCACTGTCCCCTTCCACCCTCAGGAGCACTACAGGGCAGGGCGGTCTGGCGACCTGGGCACTTGGCAGTGAGCACATGGCCAACCTGAGCCAGGGTGGGTGACACCGCCACCAGTGCAGGACAGGTGAGAAGAGCAAGACCCTGTCAGCGAGGTACCACAGGGCAGGGAACAGCAGCCAAAGCTCTGGACTCCTCATGATCAGGGGCTCCCTGCCACCTCATGTCCTGCTTAGAGCCACCCCCTCAAGAACCTGCCACATACAGACCCACCCAGGGGGCACAGAGCTCCCAGGGACTGCAACCCCACTGCCCCCGCCACCCCTGGGCAGGGCTGTGCCCAGGCACCTCACGTCTCTAGGCCTAAAAACATACTCAGGGGCCCAGGAAGCTGGAGCTCCAGGGCTCCGCTGGCTGCCACAGAAGCACCCCCAGCATGCAGCCCTGGGCTCAGGCTGGACGGGCGGGGACAGGTGGGCCTAGCTCTGCCCCATCTGCCCTGCATCTAGGCACAGGCTGCCTGAGCTTGTTCCCCCGCCTCCCCTCCCAGACTGCAAGGCATCCTGTCAGGCACTCGGGCATTCCAGGGCTGGGAATTCACCCCAAACCCCAAGCAGACCTGGTCTTGCCTCAGTGTGAGTGGAGGCCAAGGGCGGAGGACAAAGTGCACCTTGTGTGGGCTCTGGGGGACAGATGGTGGGGAAGCACGAAGCCCCACCTCTCCTGAGCGCAGGGCAGCCCTCCAGGAAACCTGAGGAGGTGCCCTGTCCCACGAGCCCCACCCCGGACCCTTACACAGACACAGACATGTGCACATGTGTGCACAGGCAAGACACACACACACAACCCCCGCCGAGGCGGGTAGGGGACAAGTTGGACCAAAGGAGCTTCACCGCCTACAGTGACTGGGCACAGGGAATGGGGGTGCTGGGGAGCACTGTCCGGCCCTGCACCTGCTGAGGCTCCAGTGCCTGGAACCTGCTGCCCTCTCCAGGACCCAGCTGGGGTTGGGAGGCAGTTCCTAGAGATCAGGGATGGGACGGTCAGTGCTACCACTGTGTGGCCCTAAGCCAGCCACTTTACCTTCCTGAGCCTCAGGATTCTTGTCTGAAAATAGAATTCATAAAAGCTTGGTACTTGCACCCTCAGTAAAGGTGAAGGAAGCCTTCAGTGCAGAGTACACTCAGTAAACAGTGTCTGGGATATTGGTGCTAAGCCCACTGAGCTGGACAGGCCTGGGTGTGGGGGCGTGGCCTCGGGCGGACTGGGCGGGGCCTCTGGTGGGCGGGGGGTAAGGGGTGTGGCCTGGGTCAGCAAGGGTGTGGGGGTCTCAGCCCCAGATTGGTGGGCCGCGGGGCGGGGCCGTCCTCAATTGGTGGAGCCTGTAGTGGGCGGGGCCTGTAGTGGGCGGGGCCTCACTGGGCGGGGCGGGGCGGCGTAACACTCACAGTACAGCGCGGGCAGAGCCATTCACCGTTTGGGATCTCGGGCAGCGGCGGGTTGAGGCAGTGCAGGTGGTAGGAGGAGGGGCAGGCGTCGCAGCATAGCAGCTCGCCACCGTCCTTGCACACGCGGCAGAATTCCATATGGTCATCCTCCTCCTCCTCACAGCCGCCCTCCTCCTCCTCGTCTTCGTCGTCCTTCGGCTCCCACTGGATGCCCTCCTTCTCCTGGGGGCAGTTTAGATGGGGGCACCCTGGCCAGTCCTGCCCGACTCCACACACTACCCAACCCCGGCACCGCTGCCGCCCCGGCCCGCCCACCCAGACATACGCAGTGCGGGCAGCTCCACTTGCCCTCGGGAGCCTTCTCCAGCTCGGGGTCCAGGCACACCAGGTGGTAGGCCCGCGGGCAGGTGTCACACAGGATGATCTCCCCACCCTGCTGGCACACCTCGCAGTAATCCTGATGGTCAGTCTCGTAGCCGTCACCATCGTCAACTGGGGTGGGAGAGGCCGTGATGGAGGGCCTCGGCCCCACCAGCGGTGCACAACTAACTCCAGCACCCCGGCCAGACACACAGTAGGTGCTTACAGATGTCAGCTGGGTGGGGAGGATGGAGTAGATAGGGGAGTGGGTGGGTGGATGGTGGATGGACGGATGGAAAGGCAAGCAGGGGAGCTGGGGTAGACAGGTAGATGGCTGGACACGAGGTAGGCGAGTGAAGGAATTGTGGGTACATGGACAGGGGAGCGGATGGGTGGGTGGACAGGCTGAGGAGGTGAGTCACTGTTGGAGAATAGCTCAGATAGTAAAAGAGTAAAAAGATGGACAAAGACGGATAAAGGAAGGGGAAAGGTAAGAGCAGACAGAACAGATTCACGTAGATACATGCACGGCTAGAAGAATAAGAAGCAAGGGAAAAAGGAGGAGGGAAGGCAGGCAGGAGAGGAGGGTGGCGGAGGGGGATGGAGGGCAGAGGGGGGTGTCAGCGGGTGACTACAGGGGCGGACGGTGGGTGAACCAAGTGCGTCCTTCTCTGTCCCCACTGGATGTGGCTCGCACCCTAAACTCCCTGTTTCGTCCTCACAGGACCTCCCTCCCCGGCAGGACAGATGAGAGCCATGCTGGAAGCACACAGCCGCCGCCTGACCAAGCCCTGAGCGGTCCAGGCAGGGGGTGCCCCCCACTGTTTCCCAGGGGAGGGCCCTGCACCCCTCCTCCTCCCCCACGAGAGCCCGTGAGCCCGGCAGGAAGCCCTACTCCTCTTCTTCTTGCGTCTCCGCCTGCTCTTCTTGCCCAGGGCCGCGGAGCACTCGGAGCGCACGGAGGAGCTGTGGATGCTGGCACTGTCCAGGTCTGACTCCTCTCGATCGTCCTCCTCACTCTGGAGAGGAGGGGAGGAGCCTGTGAGCCAGGCCGGGCTCTGGAGCTGTCCCAGGGCTTGGGTGGCTGTGGTTGGGGTGGTGGGTAGCAGGGCAGGGACAGGGGGGGCTTTGGGGACAGCGCACCCTAAGGTTCGCCTCATCCCCCAAGCCAGCTGGACACTTCCTGCCACAGCCCAGGCCGGCCAGATGCCTGCATCCTCTCTCTAAGCCCAGCCTGCCAGCTCTCCAACGCTTCTGGTCTCCAGGCCCAGCCTGCTCCTGCCAAACTCTGCACACCCTTCAGGAAGCAGGGCTTAGGACCCCTCCAGCAAGACATCTCCCCAGATCTCTGCTTGACTGGACCCATGAGACATCACTGGATCCCTTCCGGGGGCCATGCCTGCCAAGCCAAGGGCAACCTAGGAGCAGGGCCCACCGTAGCTCAGCACCGTAGCTCAGCCTTGTGCACACTTGGCACTGGGCTGCCGGGCCACCTGTTCTTTTATGTGCTCCCCTTTGGAGCAGCCTAAATCGAAACCCAGCACTTGCCTCTGCCAGGAGACAGAGGCACAGCTTCTCCTTCTCTGCCCGCACACAGGGCTGTGGCAGGAGAGCGCCTCACTGAGCAGGAGGCCCAGAGGCTGAGGTGCGGGTTAGGCTCTGAGCCTAGGGTGTGGGGAGAGAGCAGGACTCGGCCTGCCCAGACCTACACACCACCTCCAGCGCCACTCCCAGCCCTCCTGGGAAGCCAGGCCCATAAGGACCCCAAAGGCCACGACTCCTGCTTTCCGCTACCTGGAGCCGCAGCAGTGGGCTGGCCAGACTCCAAGCTAGAGGGGACCCCCCAGCCAGACCCCTGGGGGAAGAGGCCCCGCGGGGCACGGGTACAGTGGAAAGGACCTGCCAGGGTGGGCTCGGGAGAGTGAGCGTCCTGTGTTGCCTGGCACACACGCATGCACACTGGTGTACACACACACACAGGACCTCTCACCGAGGAGCCTTTCTTCCTCTTGTTGCTGATCCCCCCAAAGCGGAACTTGAGCCCCGCCACCTTCTTCCCCTTCCCCTTCTTCTTCCCATCTTTGGAGCCTTTGATCTTTTTCCTCACGCCAGGTCCTGCAAAGCAAGGGTCACGATGACTGACGGGTGCCACCGCCACCACCTCTTCCCTGAGCCCTCAAGTTACCCCAAGATAAGCAGCGAGTCATTTCCCACCATCAGCCTTTCCAGGTGACATGACAGAGGGGCCTAAGAGATGACACCCCTGGGAAAGCCAGAGACCAAGCTGCCCCGGGTCTGCCTGCCCTGGCCACCAAGCTCTCTCTCTACCATGTCACCAGCACTCCTGGCCATCTTAGGGACATCCTCCTACTGTCACCATCCCCAGCCTCCATGCCAGGTCCACCAAGGGCATAGCGCCTACCTACTGTGGTCCACATCTGGGCTCCGGAAGGCTATCTAGCCCCCCTACGCCCAGGCTGTCTGGATGCAGTGCCACCTGTGGGCACCAGCCACAGCTACCCTGGAAGGTCATCAGGTTGTGTGGAGCTGGCCATGGGGTGACCAGCCTCCTAGAGAGGAACAGCACCACCCCCACCTACCCAGCGGGCTGTCACACTGCGCTGGGATGAGCGGGGAGGAGGGGCCTGGCCTTGGAGTCGCGCCACACACAGGTGGCCTTGCCCCAGGCCTCCCACTGCCACACAGAGACATGGGCTGGAGCTCAGTTGTGCCTTCAGCGGCACCACAGAAAATCTATTTCAATTTTTCAGGCTCGGAATATGAAGCTCAGGGAATCGATGGGTCAGCAGCCAGAGCCCCAAAGGAAATGAGGAAGGAAGGAAGCCAAACCGGCCGGTGATGGGCCATGGCCCTCCCTGAGTCCCTGAGACCAGGATGAGGCAGGACAGGGAGTGGAGCTCTAGCCCACATCACTCGCCGGCCAGGCCTCTAAGACCTGTCAGAAAGGCACCAGAGACAGTGTCCTGGATCATTCCAGAAACCAGAGCTCCTGGGGCTGACACACGGGAGCCAAAGACCCCTCCTCAGCCCCCCATCAAAGCCCAGATAAGCACCCGGGAAGGCCGAACTGCTGGTGACACTACCAGAGATGGCCCTGGGGAGATGGATGACTCCAAACGACCCAAGCTCCACCCCCCCAGCACCCAGGAACACGCACCCCAGCACCCACTGCAGCAGACCTAGACAACCCTCCGGGCCTCCCTAGAAAGTGACCCCAACCCTGCCCACTCCCTGTTCCAAACTCCTTTGTGCACAGAGTTCCTGAGCCAGATGCCAGGGCCTCAACCCTTGGGCTTCCCTAAGGTCTTGGAGGAGCCCACACACACGGTGAGCCAGAAAGCAGGGTCAATGGGCTAACCTGGGGGCCACGTCCAACTTAAAGCCCTGGGCTGGGCCTCCTGGCCTCTGCCGCCCTCTGTGCCCAGTGCAACCAGCCTGCTGGACTGCCAGGTACACACTCCCAGAGCTCTGCCCACATCGTCCTTTGTGTTTGAGACAGGGTCTCACTACGCACTTCAGGCAGGCCTTGATATTACATAGCCCAACTCTGCCATCCTCCTGCCCCAGCCTCCCACGTGCTGGGATTACAGGTGTGCACCACCACGCCTGGCCACATGCTTCCTGCTACTGCACCTGGCCCCAAAAGCAGACGGGCAGGACACAATGCCAGTGCCACAGCACTGCTGAGAAAGGCCACACAGGCTGGGGTCCTCTCTGCACCTGTTCCCGTGGCGGGTGCGCGCCTGAAGGGCTTAGTGTCCACCCACCCACAGCCTTACCCTTGCCCTCTTTGGTCTTGGCCTTTCGGATGGGCACAGGCTGGGGCACCTGCTGGGGGCTGATGGCCAGCGGAGGGGCGATGGTGACTGTCTCCACAGCTGCAGCCACAGCTGCCGCTGCTGCCACCGCAGAGCTGCCCTTGAAGGGGTTGTTGGCGCTGAATTCCCGCCACTTGGCCCCCAAGACAGTCATCATTTTGGACATGGGGATCTTCGGGTTCTTCTTGGCAATGAGAGGCCTGTGGGGGAGAGGCGGCAGTGAGGGCCGGGCCCATCCCTCCCCCACCCCTGTGGTGTGTGGCACCATTCCCTGGTCCCCGGTTTGAGAAAGCCGAGAACACGGTGCACCCCAAACACTCCCAACTCCCTCTTTGTGGGTGGCAATTTTCCAAGGAGTCTGCAGATTTAGGAGCAGAGACACCTGCAGCAGGCCACCCCAAGGGGACCGGGAGAGACCTGGGATCCACTGAGGGACAAACCCTTCTCCCCCAGACCCAGCCAGAAACTATCCTGACCACCTCCCCACCCAGGAGGTAGGACTCTCTCCATCCCCAGCCCTGGCCAGCCACCCACCGGAGGAACTGGCTGAAGGCCTTGTAGTTGGTTAGCGTGTGATAGTCCTCCTCCGAAAACAGATAGTCTACATCGTCCAGGCCCCACTCGGCCATGAGCTGCCCCGAGGACTTGGGCTCCTGGAAGACAGGGCCAGAGGCACAGTCAGAGGGACCCTCGATGGCCTGCACGCCTCCCCGAAGGGCCCCTGTCTGGGATGCCTGGGAATAGGGCAGAGGTGTGATTTATATCGCTCCAGGTCTTACCCACCGCTGGGCCCCCACAGCACCCAGCTCCCCAGGGTCTGAGCAGTGGGGTGTCCAGATGCCAGCTCACAGGCACCCATGCTTCCAGAGAGGGAAAGCCAGGGAACCAGAGAACAGGGCTCCCCCTCATGAGGAGAAACCTGGAGCTGGGGGAGGGAGGGTGCCCCGGGAGGAAACTGGCTGAGGGGCTGCTAAGGCATGCAGAGGAAAAATGGGACCTCCCCGGAGACCCCAGGAGCAACTGTCACGGCCCCCAAAAGGACACTGCTGGATTCTGAAGCTAAGAAGTTACACTCGGGCCAGGGCAGGGCATAAGCCAGGGGCCCAACCAGGGCAGAGCTGAAACATCTCTCAGCCGCTGTTTCACTTTCCAGAGGGACACTGAGGCCAGGGCATCCCAGGGACACCCAGTGGGCCTAAGGGTCAGGTGAACAGAAGATCAGATGGGCTGCATGGCCCCAGGAGAGCTAGGGATACAGGCTATGGGCTTGGTCCATCCGGCTCTGCTGCTTCCAAGTTACTGTCCCTCTCTGCCTCAGTTTCCCACCCCTAATATGGGCACCAAGCTGCACAAGCATCATGTTAGTGCAGGTTGCTTGGCACAGGGACTGTGAGAGCTCAAGACGGCTGCCTCCCCTGCCCTTCGCAGGCTTCCTCCAGGCAGGGTGAGCTGCCCTGAGCCCGCACACACACCTGGGCTGGGGGACAGATTCTGGCCAGGCAGTCACGAGACATCAGCCAGTCCAATCAAAGGAATGCTGGCTCTCCTGCCTGGACACCCTCCTGCTGGACGCAGTTGCTCTGCACCCATTCACACCACCACACTGGGCTCAAGCCAGAAGTAGGTCCCACAAAGGCAGAGAAAGGGCGCAGGAAAACCACTCCTGAGCTGGGTGCAGTAGATGAGCCCCCACCCCAGCATCCCACCCGTGGGGTGAGCCAAGAGAACCGAAAGGCGGAGCCAGTCAGCCACTGAGAAGACTCTCCAGCTACAGGGCGGAGATGCAGCTCTGTGTGACGGCCTGAGTTCCATCCCAGTGCTAGAAGCAAACCTCAGATGACACCACTGGGCCCACAGCCCAGAAGCCTCAGTGTCCCTTGGTTCCGTGGCCCCTGACACACAAACCCCTTTGCTACCCAGGACTGGGAACCAGGCTTCCTGCTGCCACAGTGGAAGCTGCCCAGGCAGCACCAGAGTCCCTGCCAGGCTGTCTGAATCCGCAGCAGGACAGCCTAGGAACTGGCTCCAACAGCCTAGAGCTGTTCCCATACACGCCCCACAGCACTCCTGCGGCACACGCAAGGGGTGACATTGTCACAGGGAACCCTGGACCACCCACCGATGCACCATCACCATTGCAAATGACCCTAATGCCCTGCCTGCACCTCAGGACCCCAACAAGAAGCACCTCTGAGGGCTGGGAATTTAGCTCAGTGGCATAAGCGCCTGCCTTGCAAGTAGGCAGTTGTGAGTTCCATCCCCAGTACCAATAAAAAGGAAAAAGACAAAAAAAAAAAAAAGAAGCACCTCTGCCTGGGTGCCCTGGGATTCACATCTCGACCTCACCTGGCAGCCCCGGACTAAGGTGCTGGGGGAATCAGCTGCACGCTGTGAGGTCCCAGGAACACAGTGCTCTACCTCTCAAGGTCCCATGCCCATGGCCCCGGCCGAGGCCCAAGTCCCCACACGTGCTCTCTGAGACCGGGGAGAGGGCCATCAGGTGACCCTACAGATGCGGTTCCAGGGACCGCTGAGGCCGCATCTGCAGCTGCCCTGCTCCAGCCTCTGCAGGCCGCCACTTGTTTGATTTTTTTCCCAAATTGATCCGAGCAAATCACACTGTCACCCTCCCTGGAAAAGGGGCGCCCCAGGCAGCCCAGTTGGGGCAAGAGTGACCAGGACGTCAGGAAGACACAGTCGATCCCCTCCACAAACTACGTTTCCCCGTCCTTATTTCTCACACATCCCCGAGACTTCTGACCCAGCTGCTTCTCACAAGCAGGGTTGACATCCACACAGAGGACACATGCACACACGTGCACGTGTGCTCACATGCACTTCCCCACATCAGGGAGGACACTGTAGCTCCACAGGAGAGAGAACTGGGGTCTGTCCGCCCAGCCCCGGCTGTCACCTTTAAGCATCCGTCGTCATTGTCACCCTCATCCTCGTCCTTCCTTTTCCGCTTGACCTTCTTCTCCTTCTTGTCCTTGATTTTCTTCTTCTTCTTCTTGTTCGGGGAGTAGTCGCTCCCCTCGCTCTCGGACTTCTCCTCCAGGTCCTCGTCATTGTCTGACAGCTCATCGTTGCTCCCCTAGGGAGAAAAAAGGACACTGAGGCTGACGAGAGGTTTCAGGAGCATCCAGGGTGGTGGGCGGCAGTGATCTGGCCAGGAGGATCGGCCAGCCCACACGTGGGACCAGTCACTCTGTCACCAGTGTCCACTGCTCCAGTGTCCAGCCAGGAGGAATACCCCGAGCCCACAAATGAATGACGGAGCGTGCAGGCAACATGAGACTCTCGGGGACCCAGATGTCCCCCAGGCAAGCTCACTGCAGCCAGGTCAGGGCACAGCCAGGCTGCATGACAGGGCTGCAGCTCAGGAGCCCAGGGCACAGATGTGACGCCCAGGGCCAACATCCAAAGCCTGCAGAAAAATCCCAGGGCAGCAGAAGTCCATCTTGGACTCTGCCCACCCAGCTGCAGCCCCAGAGCTCTCTGCCTGCATCACATCCTGTGCGACTGTGCAGATCAAGAGAAACCTGTAATTAATGCCAGGCACCACCCACCCCAGTCCTAGCCACTGGCCAGCTCTCTGGAGGCTCCCTGGGCCTGAGCCCACCTTCCCGCTTCCATAGGAGAGGAGGTAATTTAAGCTTGGTTTCTTTTATTTAGTTTGCTGCCTGTGCAAGCAGAAAATGGCCCATTTATATGGAGATAAGGGCGTTTACAGCCACGGAGTCCCACCAGAAAGGCTCTGCCCCTCTGGGGAAGCAGTTTACTCCCTGCCCTTCCAGACAAGTGGATGACAGCTGCCCAGCTCGGCCTGGAGAGGGGCTCACACTGCTGCTGCAATTACCTGCTCGCCGGATAGGGGCTCACTGCTCCGTGATTGCTGTGAACTGTTTTCAAGGTGAGCAAAGAGAAGCATGGGAAGAGATGGAGAGAGAACTGGAGAGATCAAAAATGAGCTCAGGAGACTGCAGTGAGGGAGAGGGAGGCGAGGCAGGAGGGAGGGAGAAGGGAAAAGGATGGGGGTGGAGGAGGGGCAGCAGGTCTGCCCTGAGAAGTGTGATCTCTGCCCTCTCGGCCACACTCAGAGCTGAGAGAGGCTCTGAGCAGGCCTGGGCCAGGACTCAGAGGGGCACAGGGTCCCTGAGACCCATCCGAAGAGGGCCTTGGTCACATGTGCACTGCACCGCCTGGCTCCCCATCTCCTGGAACCTCCATCTACTCAGTGCCAAGTCGGAGGCACCAGCAGCTGGCAGGAGCAGGGCCTCCTGGCTGTTCTGGAACCTGAGCACTTCCCGTAATACTGACTTAGCCCTGGGTGCCCCAGGGGCAGCTCCAGCTCTGGCTACTGCCTAGGCCTGGCTAGGGCAGAACCCTGCTCCCAGGCTATGGGGAACGTGAGGGCAGACAGGGAAGTCCATTTGCTCTGAGGGTGTCAGAATGCAGGCAGCTTTGAGAGACCACCTAGAGGCACACTGCAGCCCACCTGCCCTCACCCCAGCAGAGGTAAGATGGGAGGGAGGGATGGACAGTGCTTCAGCACCACGGACAGAGGTCATGGGCCTGTGGCCACCAACACCCCCACACCCCCAGGCGAGGCTCGTACAGTGAGGCCACAGAACCCAGAGCTGCTATGGAAGCCTGTCCTTGCTAGCCTGGGACGTCAGCGGGTGACCACGGCAACCTAAACCTCAGCTTCCTCATCTGCGTGATGAGGGTGCCCCCAGGATGTCACATAAGAAAAAAAACCCTTCACCATTGCTGCCATAGGAGGCAGCAGGGCACAGAGAAGCCGCACTGGGTCAGGCCACATGGAAGGGCCAGGTCTCCAGGACCAAAGGTCCTCACGGTGCCCGTGTGAGGAACTCAGCCAGGCCAGAGTATTCACACCTGCAGGCCATGCCAGCCACCTGATGCAGTCCTCCCCTGGGACCCATGACACCCTCGACTCTACTTGGAAGCCAGCCAGGGGTCCACCTGGAGGAAGCCCACCCCCTGCAACCCCATCACCCTCGTTTCCACCCACAGGGACTGGGCTGGAACTGTCCACTCAGGACTGGGTACCCAACTCGGGTGATGGCAGGGGAGATGGCCTGAGGATCCAGCTAATGGGAGGTAGTCACTGCCATGACCTAGGATGCAGGAGAGTCAAGGAGTTGCCAGCAGGACCCAGAAGGAGGGACAGACAGAAGAGGGGACCGAGTGTCCACTAGAGAGCTGAGCAGGACAGGAGCCAATCAGGAGAAGAGAGCAAAGAGTGGGGCTGCACCACTCAGTCACCCGCCGGGCAGGGCAGCCACCCACCTGGGGCTCCAGCAAGACATCAGCCTCCCCTTCTGTTGTTTTTTTGTTCGGACACAGGGACTCACTAGGTAGTCCAGACTGGTCTCAACTCTGCAATCCTCCTGCCTCAGCCTCCCCGGTGCTGGCATTACAGGCTTGTGCCACCTCGCCCAGCAAGACTTCACAGAGAAGAAAGAACCATTTAAGAGAAGGCTCTGCTCCCCCAGGTCCCAGTCCTCTGCCCTTCTCTGAGTCTCTCTGTCCTGCTTCCACCAGAGGTCTGAGCCGCCTCCTCCTCCACCGGACCTCATCCAGGGTGGTGAGGTTTGGAGTGCAGAACAAGGCTGCCCCCAGAAGTCAGTGCTTTTGAGACATGTGCAGCTGGGCCTCCTTTCTCTCCCCAAACGTTGCCCCGCAGAGCAAGGGGCAAGAGGAAAAGCTAAAAGAGGATGGCTCTGCAGAGAACAACTCGTGGTGACCATCAGCAGGACCTGGAGGTCACCAGCACCCAAGGGAACAAAGGCCACACACAGCAGCACCATCTGTAATGGGGCTGCTCCGGAGACTGAGGCGGGAGGGTGGAGAGTTTGGGGACAGGCTGGGCAATGCAGTGAGAGGCTGTCTCAGAAGGTAAAGGGCTGGGATGTGGCCCAGGGCTGGAGTGCCCTCGGCTTCAAGGCCCAGTACCAAAAATAAAAGAGAGAAAGGAGGGAGGAGGAGAGGACAAGTAGGCCACGCCCAGGCAGGGAGGAGGCTGGGCATCGACCAATAATTCCCTAATAGACCATTCTCAGGCCTGAGGTCCAACAACATCCACCAACCGCAGGCAGTGAAAATCCAGAGGACATGGGGCCTCTGACCTTGTCATTGTCCTTTGGCTGCCACAAGCCTGGGTGTGACCCTGGGGGATGCGCCACCAGCTAGAAGAAGACTCTAGAGGTTCTAGAATCCCTTGCAAAGCACCCTGGACTCTAAACCAGACCAGGGGAAGGAGTAGGGAGCAGGGGTCCGTGTTCTGAGCCCGGCTCCACCACGCTGAGGGCCCGGCATGCCCACCGCAGGTGTGGGGGCCCCGGTGGACAGTCCCCTCCACCCCACCTCCTCCCCAGCTCGGGCTCCACAGATGTTTCTGGATCGAGGCTTCCGTCTCCCTCTCCCCACCCCCTCCGCGCCTGGCACGCGCGTCGCATCTGCCGAGAAGGGAGGCATTTACACCCAAGGGGAGGGCTGGGCAAGCTGGTCATCCTCGATTTGGGGTCCCTCAAGATTGAGAGAGGGGGAAAAGGAGAAAGAATGAAATATGAGCCTTCCCATTCACGAGTGTTATAAACAGTTATAATTTAGCACTGAATAATTGGTTGCCATGGTAACCGCTGCAGTACAGGTTGAAATCATTTCTCCCTCCTGCGCTGGGGTCTGACAAGAAGCTTCATCTACATATGCTCAGGTTCCGGCTGCAACCCGGATATTTTATGTAAATCGGAATCTGAGACTTGCTGTCTGCCACCCCCAAACTGATGCTCAGGACTGCACCTCATCTCGGGGTCACCCAGTTGGAGATGGAGGGGGCAAAGCGGTACCACTCGCCCACCCGCCTGTGGTCTGGATGCCCTGCTCTGTAGGGGAGGGACCCAAGATCTTCCTCTCTGGACATGGCTCACTCAAGAGCCCCTAAGATCCAATGGCCGATCAGAGGCAGGCTTTTGGAGGCGCAGGGAGGAGCAGCCCCAGTCCGAGGGTCACCGCGGAGGCCCCTCCTGTGGGGCCTCCTGTCCACCCCGCCCCATCCCTTTTACACAGCAGCATGCATCTCGGCAGAGAGCCAGGAAGGGGGGGAAGGGGGAGGGGAAGGGAAGGAGATGGGGGATGCAGCGGGAGGGGAGGAAGAGAGAGATTAATAGGGCAGAGACCAAGCACAGGCTGGAGAGAGAGACCGAGTGAGACCCAGTGAGAGACAGAACACAGAACAACGGTGCAGAGACAAAAACACAAACACGTCTCCAAGAAAGATGGGGCCCATCGGGAAAAAGAAGAACCCTTGTCAGTCATGAAACAGGCAGAAGCCGGCCCTCCCCAGCCCCCGAGGCCACCCTAACCACCCTACACCCTCCCACAGAGGCTCCTGACCAGAGGCTGCCCTCTCTGGCCTCCTGCCTGGCCAGGCCCCTGCCATAGAGAAAGAAGGAAAAAGCCAGCCCTGCATGAGTGGGGTCCCACAGACACCTGAGCACCCTGCAGGGCCGTGTGGGAAACCCTGGACTAGCCAGGCCACCTCTCAGCCTGGCCTCCCACACATGGTCCAGGAACTGCTTCAGAGGAAACTGAGGCACTGGGTAGGGGCCTCCTTCAGGAAGCCCATTCCCAAGATGCCACCAGGCTGAGGGGCTGAGGGCAGCAGCAGGTGTGGGACAAGATTCCACAGCCTCCACCACAAGGTCAAGGCGCCTGTGACCCTGGAAACATCAAGGACAGGCAGGCCAGGGGACAGCCACATGCGACCCCACTGAGGTCGCCCCTGAGCCTGCAGGGCTGCCTGGGGGACTGGAGGGGCACCCCAAAGCCTCGAGGTCAGGGTAACAGGCAGGGTGTCTGGGTCCCATTCCAAGCGGAGAGGGCTTTCACCCACACCTAACGTGTCCAGGGCTGATGCAGTCACGTGGGCGTGTCACCACCTCTCCACTGGGCAGTGCTGAGACCCAGGGAGAAGAGAACAAGGACAAGGGACACCAGGCTCAGCACAGACTGCAGGTGGCCCAGCTGACCCTGCCAGTGCCCACTGGTTTCTCCAGCTTTATTTCTTTGAGACAAGGTCTCCCCATGCTGTTCAGGCTGGCCTTGAGCTCACTCTCTAGCCCAGGCTGGTCTCCAACTCACAATGCTCCTCCTGCCTCAGCCTCCCAAGTGCTGGGATCACAGGTGTGCACCACCACGCCTGGCACAGCTTTCATTTCAACAGGCTTCACTTAGAGGGAAAGAGGTCTCTGCCACGGAGCAGCCCCACAACATGGCCACGAGCCAGGGACACAGAGATAGCACCGTCCCAGCACAGGACAACCAGAAAGAACGAAAGGGAAACAGCAGGACGAGCCCGGGGCGCTGCTCAGAGGAGGCTGAGGCAGGAAGGTAAGGCCACGCCACCCTGGCTCTAAATAGAAATGGTTGGGGTGCAGCTTAGCAGTGCAGGGCCTGGGGTTCGTTCGATCCCTGCTACTGCAAAAGAGCAGGGAGAAATAAGAGGAGGGACAGGAAGGGAGAGAAGGAGGCAGGAACACAGGACGCTTCACTTTCGTCATGGAAAAGCGTGCACGAGGCTGGACTGCAGGGACTCCGGATCCGGGAACCCCGCCCACCCCGGGCCTCGCTGCGGCCCGCCCAGCCACGCCCTCACCTCTTTCTTCTTCCGCTTCCCCTTGGACTTGCTTTCCTTTAGCTTCTTGGCTTTCTTCTTCTTGGGAAGGCTCACAGGCTCGGCAGGGAAGAAGTCGTCAAAACCTTCGAGGCCACCATCTTCCTCCTCTGCAAGAGCCGGAGGGGAGGGGCTGCCCACGCTGCGCTCAGCCACAGCCTGAGGGTGCTACACATGGCAGGGTGGCGGAGACCGGGCACAGCTGCAGCCACTGCGCCCTCCCAGTCCAGTGTGGACAGGCGTGGCGTCTGCGGTGGCCGGCGCAGGGTTGCCTTCCCTCTTAGGGCCCTTCCTTCCCTCTCTACAAAATGAAGCAACGGGGAAACCGAGCTCCATAGTCGGTGCTGGCCTGGCTCCGGGGACCCATGAGCCACACAGCACCTCCACCTGGCCCCAGGGAAGAGCCGGGGGAAACCCAAAGCCAATCCGAGTGGCAGCTAGGTGCCAGAGTTACTGGGAGGGCTCGCCCCGGGATGCAGTGATGAACCCCCCTTACTGGTTAGCCTGAGGCCCCTCACTGCCGCCCACCCCACAGCAGCACCTACAAGCACAGAGACAGCGCGATATGCCCACACAGCTGGGCACAGAGGATGGGCCACTCCAAGGAGCCACCACATCTGACCCAAGGGACTCAGCCAGACGCGGCCTGGAGGCCGAGTCCCCTCCACACTTCCAGAATCTAGGGGGACTGTGAGGGCGCAGGGTGGGCTCTTGAGAACAGCTGTGAGTTCTGTGCCACTCACCCTGCTCACTTCTGGCTTGAGGAGGGAGCTCCTGTGCGTAGGAGCCACAGGGAGCTGGGGCCTGAACCCCATCCAGGAAGTATGGCCCTCAGGAGGGTCCCCTTGGGGTACCTCGTGCCCGAAATCATCACCCAGAGGTGTGTCCACCCACAAGAGGGAAGAGGAGAGAGCCAGCTGCCTCCGGATGGGTGACTTGAGCATCCCAGCTTGGCCTGCTGCCACGCCATGGGAGCTTGGGGGGAGGGAGGGTGGGGCCTGCCCATAGGGATGTGCAGAGGACCTGCAGCACCAGTGAGAAGGCTGCCTCGAGGACCCAGCTGGTGACTCTGAGGTTTGGGGTGCCGGGACCTCTCAGGGGACAGCCACCCAGGAGAGGGGCCCCTGCTGGCAATGTCAGCATTCTGCTCCTCTGACCTACTGGGTGTCCCCACAGTGCAGACTGTAGACAGCAGACATACAGCCACTCTTGTGCACAGAAACACACACGTACACACCAGCACACATCTCATGTCCTTCCCGAGGTCCATGAGGGTGCTCGAGCCAGCCTGGGACCCAGCCCTGTCCCCAGAGACTGACTATAGCTGCAGCTTCAGCCACAAACACCCCACTCCCAGAGGCCCTGGGAGCTCTGGGGCCAAAGAGAGGCCTCTGACACCCTCGCACCCCAGATCACAGGGGCCACCCCAGCAGGGCAACGTGGAGGCAGCAACACAGCCTGGCAGCCCTCTGCCTTGGACCCGTCAGGGGGTGAGTCCTGCCCTGCCCAAGGGGGGAAGAGTGCACGGACCGTCGGGTGTGGCCAGCAGAGAGGGCGGCACTGTAGGCAGGGACGGGGCAGCCTCGATGGCGGGGCTCCAGCACGCAGGGGAGATGGAGCAGGGGTTCCCCACGTTGGGCTGAGGCCAGGGGTGGCTGGGAGTTTTCAAATCGGCGGACAGGTGATCCCCAGAGTCATCCTGATGCAGAGAAGGCCAGAGGCAGCAGTCAAGGCTGGCAAGGAGCCAGGGTGGACAACAGGACGCTGGTGCTCACCTGCCCACTGCCCGGGCTCCAGGGCGACAGCCCGGCAGAGCCACCCCGCCCCCGGCGGCGCTGACACCGTTATGTAACGGGCTCGGGCTGATGCAATCGCCCGGGCCTCTCCCTCCTCCTCTTCCTCTGGGCTCTCCCCGTCCCCTGCCGGTAGGGGGGTCCGCAGACAGAAAGGCCGGCCTGGCACATGGTCCCCAGCTGACCAACTGACCGGCTACGCACGCCAGGGAGCAGGGAGGCCCGGGATGGCTGGGACAGGAGGACAGGACGGCGTCCACAGCCAGCCCTACTCATTCCCATGGACCTGCAACTCGGTCCCTGGCCCTGGCCCATGGGCAGCCCCTCCTCCACTCCCAGAGAATCTCATGGCTGTGGCTTCTGCCTGGAAAACCCCCTCCAGGAAGGTTCCAGAACAGACCCCTCAGAGTGGGCCTGGGCCCTTTCTGTCCCCACACGGCTTCAAGGGACCCTGGGGACACCTCAGATCAGACCCTGTGACACTACCCACCCCATACTGTCTGTCCCCTCTCCTTCTTGGCCCCTACACAGCAAGCCTGGGAGGGGTACCTGAGCCCCTCAGCCAGTGCCTGGGAGCCCTGCTCCCCTCCTGCTGCCCTCCCACAGTGACAGAGCAGAGCAGCGATCTGGGGCTCCCCTTCTGGCCCAGCCCTTCTGGACCACCTGGTTCTGCCTACCTGTGCCCACCCTGGCCCTCGGGGCCAAAGCCCCTCAATCCTGGTCAACTGTAATTAGGACCTTTAACCCAGCCATCTCTCCAACTGCCCATTGAGTAGCCTGGGGCAGACAGGGTGCTGCTTCTGGGTCAGTGTGGAGACAGGGACCTGCCACAGCTTCTTCCTGAGCACACCCTGGCCCCTCAATAGCTCCCTGCATGCCCTGGAGTCAGTCCCACAGGACCCCTGGGCTACAAGCCAGTGGCTCGGTGGCCTTTCCCACCGAACAGTGGTGCTGTGGGAGCTGGCACCTCCATGCCACTCACTAGCCTTGGGAGACAGAACCGCCTTCCCAGCAGGGCACAGTGGCACACGCCTGTTATCCCAGCACTCTGGGAGGCTGAGGCAGGAGAGTCGACAGTTCAAACCCTAGCAACTTAGGGAGACCTTGTCTTTAAAAATAAATAAATAGGGGCTGGAGATTTAGCTCAGCGGCATAAGTGCCTGCCTTGCAAGCAGGCAGTCGTGAGTTCAATCCCTGGTACCGATAAAAAAAATAATAATAATAAATAAATAAATACAAAGCTATAAAAATGAGCTGGGAAAATAGGTAAGTAAATAAATAAATAGGAATGAGCTGAGGCTGTAGCTCTACGTGAAGGCCCTGGGTTCATTCCCTAGAAACAAAAAATAAGATAAAATAAAACTACTACCCTACTTGCAGATGTGGAAACTGAGGCTCACAGGTTCTCGCCCACTGGCCTGACCTCCGTTCCTCGGCCGGCAGGTGGCAGTGCCACAGGTAAGCCTGCCTCGCTCCCACCACCTTGTGTGGTCCTCTCCCACACCAACCTCCAGATGTCACACCCTCCTTAAGCGCTGAGTGGCATCAGCACCCTCTTCGGGCCTGCACTCTGGGGACTCGGAGGGGAGCGGCCAGCACTGGTCCACACACTCCCTCTTGGGGCACAGCCTTGCCCAGCTCCAGCCCACGCCTCCCTGGGAAGGGGCAGCAGCTGAGCCAGGACACAGCCGCCAGAGCTTTGCAAAAGGCAAAGCAAACAGCTGCAGAGCGAGCAGGAAGGTCGTCAGATTCTGGGGGTCAAAGGGAAGCTGAGCCAAGCACAGGGATGAGAGCTCGGGCAGCCAGTCTGCCCATGATGGGGACCCCGCTCAGCACCCACCCAAGCTCACCCAGGCTCCAGTTCCCAGCACCCAACCCAACTCCAAGCACAGAGGAGGCTGCCCAGAGGCCAGCAGGTCAGAGGGGTGACACAGGGCTTCGAGCTGCCGCCCGCCACTTCATCTGTAACACAGGCCTCTCTCGGGCAGGGGGAGAATCAGACACTAAACAAGTCCGGCAAGGCACCCAGAAGGAGTTGGGGAACACAGGCAGGGACAGGAAGACCACAGCTGGGGTGGGGGCCGGGGGGGGGGGCTCTAGCTGGGGCACTGTGGGGCCAGCAGCCCTGACCTAGGTAGGGCCTGGACCGAAGCTTGCTTCAGACCGTGGTCCTCCCTACAACATGCCCTGAGCCGGTGGGGGCAGCTCTCTACCCGAGAGGCGATTAATAATTTATTTATGACATTTAACAAAGCCCAGACATCACCTCACTGGCATCTCATCCAAAGAAAGGACTGAGAGGGAGAGAAGGGAGCAGAGTGGGTGATGCTTTCACCCCAAGTGCCTGGGGCCTGGGGATCGTGGTGCAGGGCCAGGAGGGGGGCAGGGAGAGGCATCCACGCAGGCTCAGATGGGGGGGTGGCTGGGGAGAGAGGCCAGGAAGGAGCAGGGGGGCGTGGACAATTCTGGAGCCTGGGGACAGGGACTAAAGAGGGACAGAGATGTCACTCTAGCTGAGTGGAGCTAGAGGGGGACAGAGTGAGAGAAAGGGACAGGAAGGAAGGAATGGGAGATAGATCCACAAACCCGAGGAAGAAAGTTTCAAGGGTTTCCTGCACCAAAGTCCCAGAAAATTAGGATACCGAGCAGCAGTTCAGAGAATACTCAAGAAAATTTGTGTTGGGCGGATGGATGGTGGATAGATGGGTGGACAGCTAGTAGATGAACAGATGGATGGATAGGTGATGGGTGGACGGTGAGTAGATGGATGGATGGATGGTACAGGGTGAGTGGATGGATGGATGGATGGATGGTGAGTGGATGGACAGATAGGTAATGGATGGATACATAAGGGATGGATGGATGGATGGATGGATGGATGGTGGGGCTATGGATAGATGAGTTGATAAATGGTAGATGGACAGATGGTAGTGAATGGATAGATGCATGGTAGACATATGGTTGGTAGACAAATGGATAGATGGTAGATGGATGGCTGCTGGGTGGATAGGTAGATGGACAGACAGATAGTAAACCAAGGAATGGATGGATTTTGGAAGGACGGTGGGTGTAGGCACCCACTTGGATGGATGAGCTGACAGATGGTAGATGGACAGACGGGTGGGGAGTGGATAGATGCATGGTAGAGAGAGTAAATGACTAGATGGTTGGTTTTACAGCAGGCAGGTAGATGCCTGGTGGGCAAATAGACACTGAACGGACTGGTGAAAGGGTACCTGAACCTCTCATCTTGGTTCAACTTGGAAAGAGAACGTCCAAGCCACTGGGCACCATGTCACTCTCCTCCCAGACAAAACATTACAATAAGGCTCCCTGGAATGCTGTCCTCTGGCCATGCTTCTCACAAGGTCAGTCTGAGACAGCATGGGCTTTGGTGACCTCGACTCCACCCTCCCCGGCCCTGAGCCTGAGAAAATCCAAGACGGTCATGCAGGCAGCGCCAGTCCCTCAGGCAGAGGAAGCCCCTGGGCCACAGAGGGAACACTGCCCTGCCAGGGGACAGCTTGGGCTCCCCAGTGTGGCCGTGATTGAGAAAGGGTGAGGCCAACCAGGCAAGGAACATCTCAGTTCATCAGTGGCCCCAGAAGGGCAAGGACCACATCTTTCTGGGAAAGATACAGATGCCCAGGCCCTGCCCTCCCTCCCTGCAGCCCGCCCTGGACCCTTGCTTCAGCCCTCCTCCTGCCCTCACCCTGGGAGAAGGCTGTGAGCCTCAGAAGCATCTCCACGGGGAAGCAGTACAGCTGTCTGCCAGGATGGTGCCAGTGCCAGCTCTAGTTTATTGAGCACCTATTATGTGCTGGGCACTATGTCCTCACAATAACCCTCTGTGAGGTAGCTAGCACTGTGCCCCATTCTACAAGTGGGGACAGTGAGGCAGAGAGCTGGGGACATCACCAAAAGTCACACAGTCACCAAAAACAGAGCTGGAAGCCGAGCGTGGTAATGCACCCCTGTCATTCCAGCACTCAGGAGGCTGAGGCAGGAGGACCACAGAGTTCAAAGCCAGTCTGAATTACATCATGAGACCCTGTCTCAAAAATAAAATTTTAGGGGCTGGAGATTTAGCTCAACGACATAAGCACCTGCCACCTGCAAGCAGACAGTCGTGAGTTCGATCCCCAGTACCGATAAAAACCAAAAAGACAAAAAAAAAATTTTAAAAAATCAATAAAAAAGAGCAGAGCTGGGTTTGGAGGCCTCCTCCAGTTAACTTTAAGCCTCTCTGACCAACCCTTTCCACTCCCAGCAGGACTGACACCTAGTCCCATCCCACCTCCCTCCTGCAAGTGCTTGCCCAGCTTCCAGAAGGCCAAAGAGACGGTCAAGGCAGCAGGGGACAAGGCGACAGCTAGACCAGCTGAGAGGGAGATAGGAGGCAGAGCAGAGTCCAGAGAAAAGCTCTCACGAGTAACAAACGCTGCAGATTTAAAACCTCGCTTGGCAGCTCCTCTGACCACTATCTGGGATGGTCCAGAGCCAGCCAGCTCCAGACCTGTGGGGTCACAGCCACGGCTGTTACTATGCTGGGGAGCCTAGAGAGCCCTGCTCTTGGACACCCAGACACAGCCCTCACTCGAGCACCCTGGGTTCCACATGCAGCCAGGACAGGAAGACACAGAATCTCCCTCCGGGGAGGGGAGAGACCACCAACACTACAGCAGCCAGAACCATCCCAGAGCGCAGGAGAGCTGTCAGAAAAAGAAAGCATGAGCCGGTGTGGTGGCACATGCCTGTGACCCCAGCACTCTGGGAGGCTGAGGCAGGAGGATGGAAAGTTCAGGCCCAGATGGAGCAACTTAGTGACAGACCCTTTCCGAAAAAGTAAAAGAAGGGCTGGGAATGTAGCTCAGTGCAAAGGCCCTGGGTTCAATCCCCAGTACCATTTAAAAAATGAATTATTACACTTTAAAAATACTTGGGATATAGCTCAGTAAAAGGCCCTGACTTCAACTCCCAGTACCACTCCCCCGCAAACAATTTAATTAAAAAATAAAAAGAGGAAAAAGACAGGATTAAGAGGGGCCACACTCCAGCCAGAGGACCAAGGAGGTCTCCTGGGTGGTGGTAGAGCTCGGCTCTCTTAGGCCAGTAGGACCTGTGAGCAGAGGTCACAGGCAGAGGCCAAGGACAAGGCAGAGGCCAAGGACAAGACAGAACCCAGGAGTCAACAAGGGTGAAGAAAGAGATGGGGGGCAATGTGGATGGACCTCGGGGGTCCAGCTCTGGGGTCGGAAGCCAGCAGGGAGGCTGGGAGGAAAGCAGGTGCTCAGGCCGATGATGGGCAGCGCCCCAGGCCTGAGGGCCCGAGGAGGGCGTCTCCTCTGCCGGGATAAGGAGTCAGCTCCTGCAGCCCTGGGGGTAACCCCACCTTGCTCTGGAGAGGGGGCGGGTGGGTTGCTTGGGCCAATACCCAGGCTCTCTGGCTACTGTACCAGTTTGAACCCCACCAATCTGGGAAGGGGACCTCAAGCTCTTCCTTTTCCTCAGTCACTGCACCCAACAATACCAGGAAAAGCCAGAAAATAAGGCAGGCCAGGGGTAGGGACCACATCTGAGGTCTACAGTCCCCAAAATGGACTGGATGCTGTCCAAAGCTGTCCACTGGCCCGACCAATACCACAAAGGGCCACACCCCAAACGCCAGGGAAATCTCCGGGAGAAAACCAGCCAAGCTGACACCCAGCGAGAGAAGCCGCAGGTTTCTCCACAAGTGTGGGCTATTTTCGCCCCACCAGGAAAAGAGTCTGGAGGACCCAACGGCTGTCCAGGTACCGGTGACCTTTCTCATGCCACACACCCCTGCTCCTCTCGCCCTGATCGGCTCTTTGCCACCTTGACCTCTGTCTGAAGTGAGGGCCTCGCCAGGCCCCAGATGAAGCAATAGTCACAGCATCAAAGCCACTAAACAGGTGAAGGAACTGGGAACACGGGGGGGGGGGGGGGGGGCGTGACCACCTGGTCAGCTCACCCAGGGGCCTCAGGTGTCAGGCAGCCAGGACCCCAGCTGGCCGCGGGGGGCGCCCATGCACATTCCCCGGCAATCGAGGCCTCCTCCTCAGGACTCTCCAAAGTCCAGCAGGGACCTCGGACTTGGACTTGGACAGTGGAGAAGTAATCCGGTCCCCCAGGAAGGGGTGGAACCGGCGACAAGGTGAGGTCCTGCCCCGCGTGGCAGGAGGGGAGACGTCGGGGCAAGGAGGGCGCTTTTGCTCAGGAACTGCCCTGCGAGGCAGCCGCGAACGCACAGCCCTTTGCTGCCCTCTGCTCGCTGGAGCCCGCGAGCCGGCGAGCGAAGACACCAGGCGAGGCTGGCAAGGGCAGGGGCGGCGCCCGGGGCGGGCCGGCAACGCCGTTACCTGGGCGAGCCGGGTTGGGGACGGTGGCGGGCGCCGCGGCGCGCGGGAGGGCCGGGGGCCGGCGAAGCGGCCCAAGTCCAGCCCGCGCGGGCCCCGAGGGAAGCCGCCTGGCCGCGCGCGCCCGGGCCTCAGGATGCCCGGCTCGGCCGGCGCTCGCCCGGTCCCTGCCCCACCCAGCGCGCCCGGGGCTGAGCCGGCCGGCCCGGGTCCCGCCCGCCCGCGGGGAGGCCAGGCGCGCGGCGGCGGCGGCGGCGTGGGGAGCGCGGCTGCACCGCGCCGGCCCGAGCGCGGCTCCCGCCCCCTTCAAGGGCACGCGGCTGACCCCGCGGCGCCCGCCCCCGCCCCCGGCGCCCCACGCAGGCCGCGCCGGCCCGCCGGGGTCCCCACCGCACCCCGCCCGCCCCGGCGCCCGCCCGGCCCCGCGCCCTTGGCCGCCGGCGCCAGCAGGGCGGGAGCGCAGCCCGCGGCGCGCGGGTCCCGGGGCGCCCCCCGCGCCCCTCACCTGACATCTCGTCCTCGTTCTCCATCTCCTCGGCGAACAGCCGCGGCAGCTCCTCCTCGGTGCCCAGCGGGCCCCGCATGCCCGGCGCGGGGGGAGGGGAGGTGGGCGCCCCCCTCCCGCCGGGCGCGGTGCCAGCCTTAACTCGTGCGCTGCCGGACGGACGGGCGCGCGCGGCGGGCGCGGCGGCCTCGGCGAGAAGATGGCGGCCGCCGGCCCCCCGCGCCCCCGGGCCTCGCCCTGGCCCGACCCTGCGATCCCGCCTGCCCGCGCCGCACGCCCAGGCCGCTCCGCGCGCCGCGCCCCGCAGCCCGAGGCCCGCAGCCGGCGAGGGTGGCGGCGGCGGCGGCGGCGGCGGCGGCGCGTGGGGGGGCGCACATGCCCGGATTGTGACGTCCAGTCTGGTTGCTGTGGCAACCCCATCCCATCGTTCCGGCAGCACGACTAGTTAACGGCGAGGACAAGTTGGGGGGACTAGTCCCGAGCCGCCCGCCGGGGGAGCGCGGGGTACGGGGGCGCGCCGGCAGGGGGAGCCGTCGAGGCACCGCGCGCCCGGGACCCGACGGCCGAGGCTGCGGCGGGGACGGGGCGGCCCAGGAAACGTCACCCCGGCCACGGCTCGCTGCCGCCCGCAGGCGAAGGATCCCGGATCCCGGGCATCAAAGGCGCCGAAGCGCGGTCCCCGGGGCTGACGGCCACGAGCTCCCACTCCGGCCTCGACAGGAGAAGGAAGCTGTGTCTGGGAGCCGGGGGAGGGACGCTGCGTCCAGGCCGCCTCTTGCCTTGTCCCAGCGTCGCTGCTCCCACTCCACGAGCCTGCTTACAGAACGCCCCTACCGACACGGGGGTCTCAGGGCCCTGGGGTGGCGCCGCTCCGCGTGGTCAGCACCCTAAACTCCCATTCGGAAGTGACACCTGTCGCAAAAAGACCAGCTGCCACTGCCAGCCTGGGCTTTTAAAAGTGAAGATGGAGGCCGAAGCCCTGGGGACCGAGGCTGGAGTCTGAAGCAAGTGCTTCCTGTCGGGCAGCAGCTAGTCTCACAGCCACTTTCAGATCACTTAAGTTCCAGTAGCCACAAGGTCACCAGCTAATGACAGGACTGGTGGGGCAGGGCGAGCTTCCAGGGCAAGCCTGTGGCCAGGCACCAGGATGCTGCTACCCAGCCACCACCAGGTTTCCTGTCCCAGCACCTTTGGGAAACCAGGAGAATTATGTCCACTTTGCTGAGAGGTTCCAGCATAGCACTTCTTGCGGAGGTCACCAGAGCCCAAGCTATTGGCTAGCTCAGGGATTCCCAGGGCAGGGTTGGCAAGATCCCATGCCATCCAGGTGACCTAGCAGCTAGCCCCAAAGTGAAAAGCTTCATTCGTGGGATGGGTCAGTCTGTCCAGGCGTCTAGGATCAAAGTGCAGGGCACCGAAACCTGTCAGCTACCTTTTTTCCCCAGTGCTGGGAGATGAATCCTGGGTCCAGCAGTAACAGCAGCCCCAACACTTTTGTCCTTTTACTTTTAACAGTGGCAGTTTCACATTTAATAAAGTCGAAGAAAAGTTTTGTAGAACAAGTTTGGGCAAAGCAAAATCAGGAAAAAGGTAGAAAATAATTTTTAAAACACAGCCTATGGCATAAGGTGGGCTCCCGTGAGGAGACACGATAGCCTGGCCCATGTTTTGTCTTTTATTTTGAGCCAGTCTCACTGAATTGCCCAGGCTGGGACTTGAACCTGTGATTCTCCTGCCTCAGCCTCCTATAGTGCTGGGATTATAGGCATGCACCACCACACCCAGCTTCTCAGAAATCACAGAAGACACAGATGTTGGATCAGTACTGCCAGGCCACCTGCAAGGGTCCAGGCTGAGAAAACAAAAGGCCATCAGCCAAGCTGCCTCCCCTGGTAAGCCAGGAATGGGAGGCCAGGTCACTGCCCAGGGAGGTTTGGGCGGATCTTGTGTACAGGAAAACCCCGAGCCTCTGCTGCCAAGGCCTGTCACCTCCATAATGAGGGGCCTTCGGCCCTTTCCAAATCCCTCTGCCCCACTGCAGAGAAATTTCCACTTAACACTCCTCACGCCCATGTTTGCGTGCAGGTGCACACACGGTTAACCTCGACTCCAATCCCAAGTGTTCAAAAAACAAGTTCCACTGGCTTCATTTTCTGGGGAGTGGAGATGTTCATCACTCACAATGTCCTCTCTACCCTGTTCTTCCTGATCCCTGCAGCTGGGTAACATCAGCTAGTGACATGACCAAAAGCAAAGCAAGACAAAATCTGGGAGGGTCAAGACCCAGACATGGTAATGCATGCCAGTATTCCAGCACTCAGGCGACTGAGGCAGGAGGATTGCTGGAAGCTTGAGAACAGCCTGGGCTCCTTAGTGAATTCAAGGCCAGCCTGAATTACATAGCAAGACCCTGACTCAAAAAAAAAAAAAAAAAGCTAGAAAGCTTTGCATGAAAAACTCCAGTAATTTTTAAGAGAAAGCCTCTTGTTAAACTATGAAATGTCCAGGGCTGTTTTCATGGTGGTGGCCCCAAAATGCCTAGTGTGTTAAAATCGATTCCTGAAAAGGTGAACATTCAAACTGCCTTGACGCTGTGAGAACAAGCCTGTCACCAAGCATAGATTCACGAGAGGAGATTCTCACCTTTGCTGACCACAGAGCTTACAATTACACCTCAGGGGCAATAAAAAGATAAGTAATTTTAAAATACATTGGTTATAAGCGGGGAATGGTGGCACATGCATATAACCCCAGCAGAGGCCTAAATTCAAGCCCCACCTGGGAACTAAGTGACCTAGCAAAACCTGTCTCAAAATACAAAATAAGTAAGTGCGCATGTGGCTCCATGTGAAGGCTCTGGGTTACGCAGAAATTCTGCAGATAAAATCAAAGACAAGACTTTTTTCCAAGAACAGAGTTGCGACAGTAGCCAATCAGTTTTTATTAGTCTCCAATCCTGTACTGTCCAGGTCTGGCCTGGATGGGTTCCTTTAACCCCCAGGTGTGGTGCAGACCAGGTGGCCAGGCTGGGACCCAGGCTTCGGAGGGAGCCTCCTGCTCTGCAGCAGAGGAGACGGCATGGCAGAAGCAGCAGCGTCCTCTGGGTGAAACCCTGGGCAGCACCAAGTCCTCACTCCCACTGAAGCCGTTCCCCAGGGCGGACCTTGCACAAATCACCCGGGGTCTCAGGAGGCAGGAACACCTCAGCAAGGGAGCCTTGGGCCAGGGCCACGAAGTGCTGGTCCCAGGTGTCCTGGGCTGCATCGTGGGAGCCAGTGCACTCATCACACTGGCAGAGTCCTAGGATATGAGCCAGTGGAGCCCAAAGCAGCCTGGACAAAACCAACGTGGATGCCCAAACCTCCCGAGACGGCATGGCTGCATCACACTCTCGTCTCGTGTTCAGTCTTGTTCCAGGAGGTTAGCACCAGTGCAGCATCACTGCAAAGGAAGTCCTCACCCCTCCCTCAGCACGGCCTCCTGCAGGTGGGCAGGCGCCCCTCAAGGACAGAGAGCAGACCTCCATCCTTCACCCCTGTCCAGCCCATCCCCAAGAATGCAGGGCCTGCATCCTAGGTTCCCTCCCCCCAGCCCACTCACACCGCCCAGGGGAGGATGAGCCCCGAACCTCAGAAGCAGGTGCAGCCGGGAATGGTGGTACTCACCTGTCATCCCAGCACTTGAGAGGCTGAGCCAGGAGGAGCACACATTTGAGCCCACGCTGGGCAACTTAGTGAGACTCTCAAAATTTTTAAAATAGAGAAGAAAGGCCGGGGAGATAGCTCAGTACATAGGCCCCGGATTCAATCCGCCCTACCAGGAAAGAGAAAGCCACGGGGTGGGGGGGGGACCTGCAGGTTTCGGGAAGGAAAGCAAATCCCTCAAAAAATGTTCAGAGCCTGGTACTTAGTGAGTGACCGCGACTTTGCTGGCTGCACCACTCAGGGAAGGGGGGACATTTTCAGCAAACGGAGCTGGCAGAAGAAGCCTATGCAGCCCCTGTGACTTCTGTGAACTTAAATCAGAGCCTGAATCTCCACCACTCTGAAGCCAGGCATGGTGGCACACACTGTAATCCCAGTACTCGGGAGGCTGAGACGGGAGGATCGCTGAGTTTGAGGTCGGCCTGGGCTGCATAGGAGAGATGCTGTCTCAAAAACCAAAAATCCTCCATAGCCCAGGTTCCTGTGCCCTGACACTAGATGGGGAGGTGAGGCACAAGGACCAACCCCCTCAGAGGGGTCTATGGCACGCCCTGGACACAGCGCCCGTGGCATGAGCTCAGGCTTCCAACAACTCCCCTCAGAAAAAGGCGACAGTCTGCAAAGCTGTTCTGGAACTCGGTCGCCACCAGCTCCGGGATCTGAGGCAAAACTGCAGAATGAAGGAGACACAAATAAAGGACCTATTGTCCTCTGCACCTAGTAAAGAGCAAGGTACTCGTCAGCACCGCGACTCAGAGTGAGGACGAAGTTAACAGATTAACATGCCAGTCCTTTAAAAAACAAGGCTTGCACAAGAGTAGCCATGTGTGAGCCACTTTAATAGAAAACGTGATCAAAACCCAATTACAAGAGTTCAAAAAGGCATAGAAAAAACAGTAAGTTTCAATTTTATTACAAGTCTTAAAATCTGGGACCAGTTTTTTATTGTTTTTAAAAAAAACGCTAAATTCAGGCCAGGATTCATGTTTTACAACCAAACTGAAAATTACCACACAGGAACAGCAATGCAACAAGTAAAATTCGTGAATCTAAGCCGCAGACTTACAAAGTTAGTAGCACGGTAAGGACACAGCCCAAACCACCCAGGCCCCCCGTCTGAAGGAATCCCGCCTTCCGCGAGGGCAGGGGCAGGTCTGCAGAAGACCCGGTCTCGAGAGTTGCATAGAAATAGAAAATGCTAGCGTCTTTGCCTTTGCCACCGGTGAAACTGCAAAGCCTCCACGTGTAGCTCAATCCCAGAAGCACAGGGTACACTGGAGCCCAGACAGAACTTAGGCATTTCATTTCCAGTGGAAATCGGCTGTCAGCCAGCTCTCTAAAAACGTTAATTTTTACACAGCAGAACTGCTTGGACTGCAGAGGGCCTCCTACAGGGCTCGGGACTCTCCAGCTAACACCAACCACAGGGTGAGGCTGGTTCTCTGCCCCAGAGCTCGGAGGCCCATCCGTCTGTGTACAGGTCGCTTCATTTCATTTT